ATGGGAGTTCTGTGTGCTAAGATTGGTTCAATTATTATTATTAACTTTATTTGTACCCCACTAGCATCTCCCGAAGGACGCAATGCGGCTTACAAAGGCCAAGGCCACAATAAAACAACAATATAACAATTACATATTGTATAATAAACCAAAAGCAAATCAAAAACATTAAAGCAATAACAGTAAACAATAAAACAACACAATAAAAACTAGGCCGGGCAAATGTAATGGGTACAGATTTAAAAGTGCTGAGTGTGCTGAGTGATATATAAGGATTTTGGATAGGTGCAATGTGCGGACTATCTTAATCTCTAATAAAGTGCTTTTGGGACGTGTTGCTGGAGTTTTCCTATTCTGGAAAGGCACACTGGAATAGCCAGGTCTTCAAACTCTTCCTAAAGACTGTCAACGTAGGGGCTTGTCTGATGTCCTCGGGGAGGGAGTTCCAGAGTCGGGGGGCTACCACAGAGAAGACCCTGTCCCTCGTCCCCACCAGCCGCGCTTGCGACGCAGGTGGGATCGTGAGCAGGGCCTCTCCGGATGAACGAAGAGAGCGTGCGGGTTCATAGACGAAGAGAGCGTGCGGGTTCAACGTTGGTGGAGTTTAGAATGCTTTTTGACTATAGGCTAACAATAAATCCAAGCAACTACAACTCCCAAATGACAAAATTACCCCTAACTCCACCAGTATTCAGATTTGGGCGTATGGAGTATTTGTGCCAAATTTGGTGCAGTGAATGAAAATACATCCTGCATATCAGATATTTACATTACGATTCATCACAGTAGCAAAACTACAGGTATGAAGTAGCAACAAAAATAATGTTATGGTTGGGGGTCACCACAACATGAGGAACTGTGTTCCTGCATTACAAGGGTTGAGAACCACTGTACTAGAGCTCTCTAGCTGAGAAGATGAAAAGCCCCTTCCTAAACAGCCACCCTCAAGATTACATAGGCTAAAGTGGCATCGTTGTGCTGTAATTGTGTAGGAAGGGCAAAAGGCACAGGAATTCCTCCCCTTGATCCAGTTGTATAAGCAAGAGGAGATAAATTGTCATCCGCACATTAGTGTGTCATCAGTGCTTGGAAGTTGCTGTTTTTATTTCCTCTGATCACCCTGCTGATAGTTTCCCAAGCTTTTCCCATACAAAACAGACTCCGGTTTCTCACGGCTCACATGATTTATTCTGATCCAATTAGCCACACACTGGACTACAGTTTCTTCTTTCCGATCCATCATTCTGAAGGATTAGTATCGTGTTCGGTTTGTATGTGGTGCAGGACAGAACTGTTACAGAGAGCATAAGTTCAACACAACATACAGACAGAGGGCAAGCACATGCTATGAACTGTGTCCAAAAGCATAGCTGTTAACGCAGATATTTTGTCACCTTGATCGGATTCACAGAACGCAGTAACCATGGCTCTCGTCATTTCAGATCGATTGACAGTTTTGTTAGGTACTTTGGATTCTTGGTGAGATGCCTTTCATACCTCGACAAAAATACAAATCCCAGGATTCTGTCGGATACCATCATGGCAGCTATCAAGGTGCAATAATTGATCACGTGAAGCTCTTTGGCTGCAGAGGAGCTTGAAAAAAATCTTGATTTTTTTTTTACTACCTCTGAGGATGCTTGCCATAGATGCAGGCGAAACGTCAGGAGAAAATGCCTCTAGAACATGGCCATATAGCCCGGAAAAACCTACAACAACCCTGTGATTCCGGCCATGAAAGCCTCCGACAATACATCTTGATTTTTACTTTTAAACCTGGCGCATTGCAATCCCAGTAAACGAGTAGTTCCCAACCTTTTTTTGACCGGAGACCACTTTCCAACATTAGTACCAAAAGGATTACGAATCAATTTTTGGTCAACTTTAGATTTGGTTTGGTTATTTGGGATGCCGATTCAGAAAATTGCATTGGATAGACCACATCAGCTCTAGTTTCTGATACAGAACATATGCCATCCAGTAGTCACCATCTGCTCACCCACAGAAAACCATATTTAATAATCTAGAGCTGATGTGCTAGTAGTAATCATTTGTCAGTAGTCACTCTCTCCTCTCCCAACATACCCGTTGCCTTGGCACTATTAGAGGGTTTCGCAAGAACAGTCGCTCACGTTGCTGCGTGGTTTTGAGGCAATTATGTAGTAACAGTGAGGCCATGGACTATATTTTCATTCTTTTGGACCACTGGTGGTCTACAGACAACAGGTTGGGAGCCACTGCTGTAAATGGACCCTTTTGTCATTCCATCTTCTTAAAAAAGACAACCAAGGAGTTACCAATGTAACGACTAATGTGAACAATCACTGTTTTATGTCTTCTAGTAGCTGACTCAACACTTGGGAAAGTTACTTTTGGAACTACAATAGTCTTGCTTATCCGACATAACGGGCTGGCAGAATGTCGGATGAATGAAAATGTCAGAGTTTCCCACTGTTACCTGTCCGACACGTCGCTTGACATCTAGAATACTAGCAGGGACTTAAAAATTTAAGGCAAGGCAACAGCTGGGTCTAGAAGTGCCTGGATGTGGAAGAGGCACGTGGAAATCACAGAGGGAAGGAAGGACGCTTCCGCTTCCGGTCCTGCCTCTTTTCCTCTTTCCTCCCTCCTCCCCCTCCTTGTCTTACCTTTTTCATTTATCGGGAACTAGCCGTCCCCTGCCACATGTTGCTGTGGCCCACTCTGGTGGTCATGGGGGTTGTGTGTGGGAGGTTTGGCCCAATTCTATCATTGGTGAGGTTCAGAATGCTCTGTGATTGTAGATGAACTATAAATCCCAGCAATTACAACTCCCAAATGTTAAGATTCTATTTTCCCCAAACTCCACCAGTGTTTACATTTGGGCATATTGAGTATTCGTGCCGAGTTTGGTCCAGATCCATCATTGTTTGTGTCCACAGTGCTCTCTGGCTGTAGGTGAACTACAACTCCCAAACTCAACATCAATGCCCACCAAACCATTCTAGTGTTTTTTTTCTGTTGGTCATGGGAGTCCTGTGTGCCAAGTTTGATTCAATTCCATCATTGGTGGAGTTCAGCATGCTCTTTTATTGTAGGCAGGGGCGACTCAACCATTACGCAAAGTAAGCATTTGCAGTATAGTTGATTTTGCCCAGGGGCGCTCTTGAGGCGCTCTTGGGGGAAAATAGACCTTGACATATGCGAGTTGTAGTTACTGGGATGTATAGTTCACCTACAATCAAAGAGCATTCTGAACTCCACCAATGATGGAATTGAACCAAATATGGCACACAGAACTCCCACGACAAACAGAAAATATATATCAGTGATTGGTTGGGGGGGGGGGGGCGCTAAAATACTGTTTGCTTACCTTTGAAAATTACCTAGGGCCGTCTCTGATTGTGGGTGAACTATAAATCCCAGCAACTACAACTCCCAAATGACAAAATCATTTTTTTTTAGTGAAGGACATAGATTGGGTTGTTAGGTGTCTTGTGTCCAAACTTGGTGTCAATTCATCTAGTGGTTTTTGAGTTCTGTTAATCCCACAAACGAACATTATATTTTTATTTATATAGATGGAGAGAGAGTTGGGGAGCGCTCCTTTAATTGAAGGGGAAATGCTGGAGGAAAAGGAGAGCGTCGGATAAGACAGAATGTCGGATAGGCGAAGGTCGGATAAGCGAGATTCTACTGTATATCCCTCAGGTTCACCCAGCCATACCCTTTTGTAACTTTTCCATACTCTCTTTTGACTACAAGACTTCACTTATACATGAGGAAAGATCTCCATCGGAGGTTGATTGCTTAGACATTCTAGTAAAAAGGAGGTAACAGGTTGAATTATTTCAAGCGAGCCTCCTAGATTTACATGAGTCAGGTCCTAGAAAGGAAATCTAAGAGCTTCATGCCCAAAGGAGAATATATACGCTCACAGGGTTTAATACTAGGATAAAGAGATATAGCCTTCACTACCTCACTACCTCTGAGGATGCTTGCCATAGATGCAGGCGAAACGTCAGGAGAGAATGCCTCTAGATGGCCATATAGCCCAAAAAAACTTACAACAACCCAGATATAGCCTTCATATGTGAAGTCTGCAATTCCCATCATCCTCTTGCCCCTGGATGATGCAGAGTGCTGTTGACCAAACCTACAAGGCCATGATTCAGACCTAAAACCATACCCGAATTTCACAGGTGATATTCAAAGAGTCAAGGATATTATATTAGGGAGGACCCCGCTTTCAGGTTTCCACAGCACACACAATGCACTTTGAAAAACGAAATGCAAAGATACAGAATGGGGGACAATGCCTGGCTCGAGAGCAGTACGTGTGAAAAAGATATTTGAGTCCTCGTGGACAACAAGTTAAGCATGAGCCAACAATGTGATGTGGCAGCAAAAAAAGCCAATGGGATTTTGGCCTGCATAAATAGGAGAATAGTGTCTAGATCTAGGGAAGTCATGCTCCCCATGCTCTATTCCGCCTTGGTTAGACCACACCTGGAATATTGTGTCCAATTCTGGGCACCACAATTCAAGAGAGATATTGACAAGCTGGAATGTGTCCAGAGGAGGGCGACTCAAATGATCAAGGGTCTGGAGAACAAGCCCTATGAGGAGCGGCTTAAGGAGCTGGGCATGTTTAGCCTGAAGAAGAGAAGGAGATATGATTGCCATGTATAAATATGTGAGAGGAAGCCACAGGGCGGAGGGAGCAAGCTTGTTTTCTGCTTCCCTGGAGACTAGGACGCGAAACAATGGCTTCAAACTAGAAGAAAGGCGATTCCATCTGAACATGAGGAAGAACTTGCTGACTGTGAGAGCCGTTCAGCAGTGGAACTCTCTGCCCCGGAGTGTGGTGGAGGCTCCTTCTTTGGAGGTTTTTAAACAGAGGCTGGATGGCCATCTGTCAGGGGTGATTTGGATGCAATATTCCTGCTTCTTGGCAAGGGGTTGGACTGGATGGCCTATGAGGTCTCTTCCAACTCTTTGATTCTATGATTCTGTGAAACTAACATTTCAAGAAGCACTTGCTACATGGCATTTATTGGAAGAGGCATATCGAGGAGGAGGTGATTAAAGCGCTGGAGGCTCTACACAAAACTGGAGCAGCTCTTTGAGCATCCTATCCAATTTAATGACTAGTGGGACGTAATTTAAGCCTTGCCATAAAGGTTTCAGCATGTGAGGAAACCCTCCAGATGGGTCCTGCTCACTCTGAGAAAGTGTGGTCTGTCCAAGATAACGCAATAATAGGTTTCCATGCCAAGATTGTGGTCTCCATATCTTCGTCCAAGATATGGACGAAGATCCACTACACTGTCGACAAGAAGCTGGGGATGTTTTAACTGGAGGCCCTGCATTGAGCAGGGGTTGGACTTGATAGCTCAGGAGGCCCCTTCCAACTCAACATACGACTCTATGATCTATATATATACACAAGATATATGTTATATAAATACACAAAAGAGAACCATCTTTTGGCGTGAGGATGCATAGTCTTGGAGAGCAGCAACCACAAGGAGGGATGTGTGAGGGACTTCTGCATGGGCTGAGACATCCAAGCACCGTCAGGGCAGGCGGAGCAGATTGGAAAGAGAAAACGGCAAGCCTGTTGCGATCGAGGTGCAGGCCGCAGAGTCTGCTCCGTTTACAAACAACTCTTTGTGGTTGTACACCTAGTGCGCAGTTGAGAATGGCAGGCGTTTGTGCACACGCGGCTTCTTCTTAGTGCTCGCACCATATTTGATGTGTGTTGGAAGCTGCCTTTGGCATCCCCTTTCCTCTTGGCTGCCCCATTTCAGAGGATGAGGGATGTATAGCCAACGGGGACCAGACCTTTGCGATCTCCTCGGCAGCACTGGAGCCAATCTTCATCCACGGTGTCCAAGACCTGCAAGATGTCCCCTTTGCAGAAGCTCAGCTGGTTATCCTCATTCCCAACATGGTCGCAGAGAGCACGCACAGCCCTGAAGGGAGAGAGGAAGGCACCACACTTGATCCATGAGGTCGTAGGAAGCAGGGAGCTGTATTATTATTATTATTATTATTATTATTATTATTATTATTATTATTATTTAAAATATTTATATCCCACCCTTCTCCCCACAAGGGGGACTCAGCGTGGGCTCACATGAGCATCAGAGGATGCTAACAGCATAAATACCATAAAATTATAATTCACAATAAAATTATTTTAAAACATTGTACATCATCAGTAAAATTTAACAATAAATTAATATATTGTCGAAGGCTTTCATGGCCGGAATCACTGGGTTGTTATAGGTTTTTTGGGCTATATGGCCATGTTCTAGAGGCATTCTCTCCTGATGTTTCGCCTGCATCTATGGCAAGCATCCTCAGAGGTACCTGAGGTATGGTATTTATTCCTTGCCTTCCTCCTTGCTTCCCTCCTTTTCTTTCTTCTCTCCTTCCTTCCTTGCTCCCTTCCTTCTTTCCTTCCTCGTTTCTTCCTTCCCTTCCTCTCTCTCTCTCCCTTCCTCCCTGCCTCAGTTCCATCCCTTCCTTTCTTCCTTGCCTCCTTCCTTCCTTCCTTCCTTCCTTCCTTCCTTCCTTCCTTCCTTCCTTCCTTCCTTCCTTCTTTTCTTCCTTCTTTCCCTCCTTCCTTCCTTGCTTGCTCCCTTCCTTCTTTCCTTCCTCGTTTCCTTTCCTTCCTTTCTCTCTCTCACTTCCTTCCTCCCCCTCTCTCCTCCCTCCTCCCTTTCTTCCCTCCTCTTCCTTCCTTCCTTCCTTCTTTCCTTCCTTCCCTTCCTTCCTTCTTCCCTCCTTCCTTCCTTCCTTTCTTTTCTTCCTTCTTTCCCTTTTCTCCTTCTTCTCCCTTCCTTCTTTCCTTCCTTCTTCCCTTTCTCTCTCTCTCCCTCCCACAGTCCTATCCCTTCCTCCCTTTCTTCCTTGCCTCCCTCCTTGCTTCCTTCCCGCCTTCCTTTTCTTCCTTCTCTTCTATCAAGAAGAACAATCTATCCAAACCTTTTAATTGGCACTTCTATCCTATTAACCCAAGCTCCATTACAGCACTGACGAGAAGGCCATGCTGGGACATTTTCATCCAGTGTTATCTGATCTCCATATTCTGGATTTCTGAGCTATCAAAATAGCTCAGGAAGAGGAATTATTTCATTTTATGACAATGTAATATGGTGGCCTAACCTGCCCATCAACATTTCGCAGACAAAAATTGGGACCAACAAAGTGTAGTCAAAATTGCAACAGTCATGAATGAGGAAGTGCGCACAATCTCAGAATGGCTAGCAGCTTGCATTGAGATAGATTCCACCTCTTCCTCTCCTCCCTGCTGAGTTAATACTACAAGAGACTGGCTTAAGAGTTGTTAGGAGAGATGGGTAACAAATACAAATTATTATTATTTGATACAAATCACTATCACTAGCAAACAAGATCACTATGCTGGCTCTTGTATTCGATCCCACATCAGACACTTCCCAAGTGTCTAGGCCAGCAGTGCTAAACCTGGGGATCACGACCCCCAGGGGGGTTGTGCGAACTATTCAGCCAAGCAACTACAACTCCCAAATGTCAGCGTCTATTTTCCCCAAACTCCACCAGTGTTCAAATTTGGGCATATTGAATATTCATGCTACGTTTGGTCCAGATCCATAGTTGTTTGGGTTCACAATGCTCTCCAGATGTAGGTAAACTACATCTCCCTTAAATCACTGTCAATTCCTCCCAAACCCCTCTAGTATTTTTTGTTTGACATGGGAGTTCTGTGTGGAGGTCTCAGTGGTCTATGGAAATCAGAGCTGAATCGGTTGAAGGTACTGCAAATCCCATCATCTGTTTTCCATACTCCCCCAAACATATTTTTCTTATTAATCATGATGTTTTAATTATCTTGAATTTGTAACAATGAAAACACATCCTGCATATCAGATATTTCCATTACGATTCGTAACCGTAGCAAAATTACAGTTATAAAGGAGCAACAAAAATAATTTTATGATTCGGGGTCACCACAACATGAGGAACCATATTTAGGGGTCACGGTGTTAGAATGGCTGAGAACCACTGATCTAGGCCTATGTGATGTATCGGTGAATAATGCATGCAGATCCAAATAGGGTGACCTTACTTATTATTACCTGTAAGTCTGCAATGGGTCTGGGGAGACATCTTCCCACGATTCCTTCTGCCAACTCTTCTCCGCTGGCACCGTCTTCATCACCAAAGCCAGGACGTTCATAGTAGGGGGGAGCCAGCTTGAGGGCCGTCTGCTGGGATTGGGGAATCAAGAATCAATAACCCAAAAACTGTTATGTAAGGAAATCTTGTGATTGTTAATACCAAGCATTTTGGAAATCTCGCGGGAAGAGTCAAAGTTTGGTTAGCAGTCCAAAGCAGACTGGAGTTTGGACTTCAGATCCTGTTCTCAAATCCTGCACTATGTCTTAGAGCAGTAGTTCTCAACCTGTGGGTCCCCAGATGTTTTGGCCTTCAACTCCCAGAAATCCTAACAGCTGGTAAACTGGCTGAGATTTCTGGGAGTTGTAGGCCAAAACACCTGGGGACCCACAAGTTGAGAACCACTGTCTTAGAGGAAAATGTGGAAAGAAGGTTGAGCTAAACATTCCTTACCTGGAGCACCTTTTGATTCACAATGGAGAGTTCTACGTCATCAGCACAGAGAAAATGTGGAGGTGCCTCATCCAGTCATGGGACAAAGGCAACAACGACAACCATCTTTATTTTACCCTGCCACCATCTCTGCCAGAAGGGACAGAGAGCTTCATCTATGCTGATGATCGTGCCATTACCTCTCAAGCAGGGAGCTTTGAGATGGTTGAACAGAAGCTCTCCAAAGCTCTAGGTGCTCTTACTGCCTACTACAGGGAAAACCAGCTGATCCCTAACCCATCTAAAACACAGACATGTGCTTTTCATCTCAAGAACAGACAAGCATCCCGAGCTCTGAGGATCACCTGGGAAGGAATCCCACTGGAGCATTGCAGCGCACCCAAATACCTGGGAGTCACTCTGGACCGTGCTCTGACCTACAAGAAGCACTGCCTGAATATCAAGCAAAAAGTGGGTGATAGAAACAATATCATACGAAAGCTGACTGGCACAACCTGGGCATCACAACTAGACACAGTGAAGACATCTGCCCTTGTGCTTTGCTACTCTGCTGCTGAGTATGCATGCCCAGTGTGGAACACATCTCACCACGCTAAAACAGTGGATGTGGCTCTTAATGAGACATGCCGCATTATCACAGGGTGTCTGCGCCCTACACCACTGGAGAAATTACACTGCTTAGCCGGTATTGCACCACCTGACATCCGCCAGGAAGTAGCAGCCAATAGTGAAAGGACCAAGGCAGAGACATCTCCAGCTCATCCCCTGTTTGGGTATCAGCCAGCACGTCAACGACTTAAATCAAGAAATAGTTTTCTAAGATCTACAGAGACACTCGCTGGAACACCTCAGCAAGCGAGAGTCCAAAAATGGCAGGCTCAAACCCAGAGCCTCAATCAATGGCTGATACCAAATGAGAGACTCCCCCCTGGGCACAGAAGACTGGGCGACTTGGAAGGCGCTGAACAGACTGCACTCTGGCACCACGAGATGCAGAGCCAACCTTGAGAAATGGGGCTACAAAGTGGAATCCACGACATGTGAGTGTGGAGAAGAGCAAACCACTGACCACCTGCTGCAATGCAACCTGAGCTCTGCTACATGCAAAAGGGAGGACCTCCTTGCGGCAACACCAGAGGCACTCCAAGTGGCCAGATACTGGTCAAAGGACATTTAATCAACTACCAAGCTTGCAAACTCTGTGTCTTTTGTATGATTGTTTGTTTGTTCTGTCAAAACTGTAATACAACTGTTCGGTTGCCTGGCACGATAAATAAATAAGGAGAGGCTTTCCCACTCTTTAGAGAGGATATATTGTTCAAAACGGGAAAGATGGCTAAGGGAAGAAGGCATGGCTCTCCAGAGAATCCCTGTCTGGGGTTCACCAGGAAAGTCATTGGTCAGTTTCTAGAAAATATGACGAATTACCTAAAGCAAGGAAAAGACCACAGTCTGGACATGTAGTTCTCCAAGAGCATTTGGCATTAACTGGCTTCTTCAAGTCTGTTTGACACAACTTCACTTACCTGGATTTTGGCAGACTCTGATCTGGCTCGCTGGGCGCTCCTGGGCAATTTGCTCCAAACAGCCACCCTAAACGTTTCCCCTTCCCGCTTCCCGGAGAATCCATGGCCTCAGGACGATTGTTGCCCTCCTGGGAATCTGCAGTTGAGGATTCCGTGGCATTGGGTGCCATCATTTCCAGCTTCTTGGCAGCTTCAACTTTGGGTGCGTTTCCCGCCATCTCAGTGGTAGGAAGGGAGCCGCTTTCTCCAGGGCCAGTGTTGGAACTCCCTGCTGCTTCCGCCATGCTGATCCGTGCCTCTTTGATGGCACCCCCCACGGCCACCCGCAACTTGGCCCATTGTGTGTAAGGGAAACTCTCTTGCTTTGAGACAGAGGTGGAGTTGGCATAGACACCCGAGGACAAAGTTAGCTGTTGCCACCAGCTCTGTTGCTTCTCTTCCATCTCCTTATGGATGGTTTGAGGACCCAATTCTGTTTTGGAAGAGGCTTCGTTGCCTATCAGGGTGTAAGTTAGCCGGTCCCCCCACTGGAGGAGTTTCTCTCGAAGAGGGACCTCCGCTTGGGCCTCATGGATGGGATTGTGATGGACCAAGGGACCTTCAGATTGCTTGGATGGAGGTAAATCTAGCCATCGAAGCCCACCGGCCTTCGAGGAACCAGTGAGCGGCTCTGTTGGCGTGATAGCACGGCGAGGCATTGGCCGGACATTGAATGGCAGATGGTGGTGCTCAAAGAGAAGGTCCAGCTGGAAGGTCAGCATGGATAGTGGTTGGAGCAGGAGGAGGAGCTCTTCAGTCCAGCAGCGGCAAAGCCCCTGGCTCAGCACTAGGAAGGCCGTGGGCAAGTAAAGTGCTAAGATCAGCTCTGTGGACAGAAGGACACACAAGTGGGTGAGAACGACAGAGAAATGGTCAACGGTCACTTCATGGCTTCTTAGAAGTTGTGTTTGCATGGCATCAAAAATAAGCTTATGTCATGACCTTCTTTCCTGGTGTTGTGTAGAACCAGGAAATTAGATCATGCCTTAGCCTGCCCTGGCCTGTGCATTTGAAACAAGGGAACGGGTTTCCATGGAAACAGGAGCAATGAAAGTGAGAGCTAGGGTGAGAGAGAGAAACTGTCAGTTGGAATTTTGTTTTGTTTTGTATGCTTTCAGAAATAAAGCCTCCCCACTCTGTTCTTCTCCAGAAAGCTGCAGTTCTATACAGCTTATAGAGAATGGCAGACCACTTGATTCAAACATTTAAGGGTCTTCACAGCTCCCAAGCTTTCTTCTAGATCAGCAATTCCCAACCTTTTTCAAGTTACAACCCCATTTTATAGAGGCAAAGTGGTCCGTGACCCTGATACATTAAAATAGGCTTTTTAATAGGGTAAATGAAAACACACCGAAAATACATTTTCAGTATAATATAATTCAAAATAATGTTAACTACGCATTATTGGACCCCCAATGGCAGAGTGGATTAAACCGCTGAACATGCTGAACATGCTGACCAAAAGGTCGGCAGTTCGAATCTGGGGAGCGGGGTGAGCTCCCGCTGATAGCCCCAGCTTCTGGCAACCTAGCAATTCGAAAACATGCAAAATATGAGTAGATCAGTAGGTACCACTTCAGCAACAATGCTCCATACAGTCATGCCGGCCACATGACCTTAGAAGCGTCTGTGGACAATGCCAGCTCTTCGGCTTAAAAATGGAGATGAATACTACTCCAGAATCGGACACAACTAGACTTAATCTGAAGGGGAAACCAGGATTATGGCGCAGCTGGCTGAGTGTCAGCTGCATTAAGATCACTCTGACCAAAAAGGTCATGAGTTCGAAGCCAGCCCGGGTTGGAGTGAGCTTCCGACCAATTGTGTAGCTTGTTGTCGACCTTTGCAACCCAAAAGACAGTTGCATCTGTCAAGTAGGAATATTAGGTACCACCTTAAAGTGTGGGGAGGCTAAATTTAACTGATTTATGAGGCCATAAAGAAGACTCCAGCAAAGCATTCCAGCGGGGAAGCATGCGGGGAATGCGGAAGTGCTTCATCAGCGTCGCAGATGGACGATGAAAGTGACAGCTCCCCTGGCAGCCAGAAAAAAAAAAAAGTTAAATAGCCTCTGTATATGTTTGTATGTCAAAATTGGCATTGAATGTTTGCCATATATGTGTACACTGTAATCCGCCCTGAGTCCCCTGTGGGGTGAGAAGGGTGCAAATAAATACATAAATTTACCTTTACTTTATGCATTAATTTGGACCTCACAACAAGCTAACCCGATGAACAAAAGAATACACATATATGTAAACAAATTGCTGTGCATGACATGATTATGTGTTTTTTTGTTTTCCTTTTTTGTAAATTTTCGTAGCTCATTACTGCCTGGCAACACCACAGAAAACCTTTTGCAGCCCCATTTGGGTTGGAAAGCACTGTCCTGGATTCCTAATTAGCACAGCTAGCATAAATTAGGCAAAAACAAAAAGGCAGCTCGGCACAACCCAGTGAAATACAGAACTGTAGAAAAGAAACAGCCCATGCAAGTCTGTTCTCTTTCATGAAAATGGTCTTTTAAAATGCCGTGGGCTCCTAACAACTATAGGAAGCTGCTTTAGACCTAGGCTAGGCTCCTAGCCCTAAACAGGAAGGAGTTCCTCAAACATACCTGAGTTCTGCTGCAAGTGGGCAAACCACTGTTCCAGCTGCTTTAGACTGAGGAGGAGAGAATGAAAGAGAAAGTATTAGCCCCTTGGTCCTGGAGGTGGGGGAGTCCACCATCAGATCAGACACCGCCCAGCCTCCTCATTTATGTTTCACAATAAATGAGGGGACATTTTTTCAAGGGTCACGTTGAAGGAGGCATAAGCCTAAGAAATATTAAAAATTAAAAGCTTGAACCGAAATGTGAAAAGAAGCAGGGGAGCTGAGGGATGATTTATTGTTGCCACCAATTTGAAAGGAACCAGTATTTAGGAGATTTTTCCCCAGTTCCCAATTTTAAAAAGAACTAGCCGATTTGCAATGGAGGTTGCCGATTAGGAACCAAATTTACCATCAAGTTAGAAGGGAGGCTGTTCAATTGCACCTCCTCCTTTATTAAGAAAGTAATAACTTAGGAGTAATTACACTGTATATACTGTAGCGTGACTGGAGAGAAGAATGTAGATTTATTTGGTTACTTTTCCCTACGTTTCTGCCACCACGTGAGGTAAGTTGTAATATTGTGAGAAATGGCACTTTGTACACAGAATAGACGGAGCTGAGGCGATCTTCAAATAAAAGTTAACAATTTTATTAAGTACACAGCGTGTGGTTGCAAGACGTAACTTTTCCTTGTTGCACTTGGAATAATACTTGTAACTTTAACAGTTCATTCTTTCAAGAACACAGTATCTTTCTGACGTAGAGCACTTGTTTCAGACAAAGTTTCAATACAGGGATGTTTCCCTTATTTGATCCTCCCTAGATCAAATACTAAGTAAACTATTCTTTAGCCTCTCCTTAGACTAAAAGAATACCAGCTATGTTTCACCATTCGGCTGCACTAGCCTGAGAAACTTCCAATAGCCAAACCCAGCTTTTCAAAGCCTCAAAGCTTTGCTTCACAAGTCACTCCGCCACCTTTCCTTTCCTTCTCTCCCAACTCCTAACTCCTCACTCCTCTGAACCTAACTCCTCACTCCTCTGAACCTAACTCCTCACTCCTCTGAACCTAAACCCGGACTGCTCACTCCTCTAAACCTAAACCCTCACTGATCTTTAACTGTCGTTTTTTAAAACTCTCCCCTCTAAGCTCCTCCCACTTCCCTCTCTCCTGCATCGGTCTCCATGGCAACACACATGGAGGACTCCTCTGACTTAGGCCGCTCCAGCATTACTGCAGCCAATCTAAACACAAATACAGTTAAAATCATACAATTTATAATCAACTCCTGTTAGTACAGAGGTCATACAAAGTTCAAGCTTTTGGCTTTTTGAAAAGTTGCTATATTAGCAAGCTTACATAGGAAATTGGTTTGTGGTTAAGCGCAAAGTCAGCAAGTGCAAGAAGGTACTTTCCATCAAGAGGTTGATGGGAGTGGGACAGGAAGAGGTACTTTTCCGTCCCCCTCCCTGTCCCCCTTCCAAGTACTTTCCATGACAAAAATATTCTTGTTTACCTGAGGGTATATAAAAGTTTGCAAAAACAGAGGAGGGGACGGCAGTCATTTGCAAACGTTGGAGCCTGTGTGCACTTAACGTGACTGTCCGTCTTCCTCATGGCTATGATGAAAATAAAACCTTGTTTTGATCTTTTTGGGACTGTCTCCTTCCTTAAGTGCTCCCATGACCTGAACCTTAAGTATTGGAGACCCGATTTAGGGTCTCTAACAACGTATCTCCGCATTTATGTGCTGGGGTCCAGGAGCCACCAAAGTCTTCCCTCCACTGGCATTGCAGGTTACAGTGAGCACCTCATCCCAGTGTTTCTGACTCTCTCCATTGGTGTGGAATTTGCATGACCCCGCCCACTGCCCCTACTTAAACCATTTCCTATTTTCGATGGCATACAGCAACTGAACATACTAGAAAGAGAGGTTTGGGTGAACTTGGCATCCAGGAGTTACAGTTCACCTGCATCCAAAAAAGCACTGAACCCAGCCAATGACGGATCTGGACCAAACTTGGCACACAGTCCCAACACGGCCAACTTTGAATAGTGGCGTTTGGGGGTGATTGACCTTGAAATCTGTGAGTTATAGTTCACCCATATTCAGAGACCACTGAACCCAGCAGATGATGGATCTGCACCTAACTTGGTACACAGACCCAACATGCCCAACTGTGCATATAGGCGGGGTTTGGAGGTGATTGACCTTAGCATATGGGAGTTGTAGTTCACCTGCATCGATAGCACTGAACCCAGCCAACAACGGATCTGCATCAAACTCGGTGCAGAGACCCAACATGCCCAACTGTGCATACAGGCAGGGCTTGGAGGTGATTGACCTTAGCATATGGGAGTTGTAGTTCACCTGCACCCAGAGAGCACTGAACCCAGCCAACAATGAATCTGCATCAAACTTCGTACACAGACCCAACATGCCCAACTGTGCATATAGGCGGGGTTTGGAGGTGATTGACCATAGTATATGGGAGTTGTAGTTCACCCGCATCAAAAGCGCACTGAACGCAGCTGATGTCAGATCTGGACCAAACTTGGCATACAGACCCAACATGGCCAACTGTACATACAGGTGGACTTTGGGGGTGATTGACCTTAGCATATGGGAGTTGTAGTTCACCTGCACCCAGAGAGCACTGAACCCAGCCAACAACTGATCTGCATCAAACTTCGTACACAGACTCAACATGCCCAACTGTGCATATAGGCGGGGTTTGGAGGTGATTGACCATAGTATATGGGAGTTGTAGTTCACCTACATCAAGAGCACATAGAACGCAGCTGATGTCAGATTTGGACCAAACTTGGCACACAGATCCAACATGGCCAACTGTGCATATAGGCGGGGTTTGGAGGTGATTGACCACAGTATATGGGAGTTGTAGTTCACTCACGTCAAGAGAGCACTGAACGCAGCCGACGTCAGATCTGGACCAAACTTGGCACACAGACTCAACATGGCCAACTGTGCATACTGGCAGAGTTTTTAGGGTGATTTACATTGGCATCAGGGAGTTATAGTTCACCTGTATTCAGAGAATACTGAACCCAGCAGACAACAGATCTGGACCAAATTTGGCACACGGACCCAAGATGGCCAACTGTGAATACTGGCTGAGTTTGGAGTGGATAGACCTAAGATTTTTGGGAACTATAGTTCAACACATCCTCTGGGCCACAAATGGCCCAGCCATGCTAAACCAAGCTCCCTCTAGCGCCCTGTTTGTCCATCTACCCAGAATACTCACTTCAGGAGGCCGAGGATAAAAGCATGGAAGCGCTGTTGGCTGCTGCGGAGGGGTGCCAGCCGAGACACCCGCCAATACAGGGCATTCAGGGAGCGGGTCTGGGGTCCTGGGCAGAGAAGAGCAGGACAAAAATGGTAACAGTGGGCATTTCAGCTCACCAACAGGAAGCACAAACAATCAACAAGAGAGGGATGTTTTTCCGATTTTGGGAAACCATAATCAAAAGGTGTGTGAAATCCATGTAGGCAAAAAACATGAGCCAGAAATCTGCATACATCTGCATACTCGAGTATAAGCCGACCCAAATATAAGCCGAGGCACCTAATTTTATCACAAAAACCTGGGAAAACGTATTGACTTGAGTATAAGTTGAGGATGGGAAATGCAGCAGATAATGGTAAATTTCAAAATAATAGTAATAAAATAATATTAATTGAGACATCCGTGGTTTAAATGTTTTTTTTTAATATTTACATAAAACTAATTTAAAATAAGACAGTCCAACTCTGATTAAACCATTATTCTAACCTTCTCCAATGCAAATGCACTTATGTATACTTCCAGTAATAAGAGTAAAATAATAAATGTAATAAAAATAAAAAAACATTGTAATAATAGAGTAAAATATTGGCAATGTAATAATAACGGTAATAATAGAGTACAATAATAAATGTAGTAATCTATATATAAATAAAAATGTAATGTTCGTTTGTGGGATTAACAGAACTCAAAAACCACTGGACGAATTGACACCAAATTTGGACACAAGACACCTAACAACTCAATGTATGTCCTTCACTCAAAAAAAATGATTTTGTTATGTGGGAGTTGTAGTTGCTGGGATTTATAGTTCACCTACAATCAAAGAGCATTCTGAACCCCACCAATGATGGAATTAAACCAAACTTGGCACACAGTTCTCCCATGACCAACACAAAATACTGGAAGGGTTTGGTGGGCAGTGTCCTTTGGTTTTAGAGTTGTAGTTCACCTATATCCAGAGATCACTGTGGACTCAAACAATGATGGATCTGGACCAAACTCTACCTGAATACTAAATATGCCCAAATGTGAACACTGGTAGAGTTTGGGGAAAATAGAATCTTGACATTTGGGAGTTGTAGTTGCTGGGATTTGTAGTTCACCTACAATCACAGAGCATTCTGAACCCCATTAATGATAGAATTGGGCCAAACCTCCAACACAGAACCCCCATGAGGGCCACAGCAACGTGTGGCAGGGGACGGCTAGATAAAAATGTATTAATAATAAATAGTGTAAAATAATAAATGAATATAATAATAATAATAATAATAATAATAATAATAATAATAACTTTGACTCAGCCAGCTGCGCCACCAGGATGTTGGCGCAGCTGGCTGAGTGTCAGCTGCATTAAGATCACTCTGACCAAAAAGGTCATGAGTTCGAAGCCAGCCCGGGTTGGAGTGGGTTTCCAACCAATTGTGTGTAGCCTGTTGTCGACCTTTGCAACCTGAAAGACAGTTGCATCTGTCAAGTAGGAAAATTAGGTACCACCTTAAAAGTGTGGGGAGGCTAAATTAACTGATTTATGAGGCCATAAAGAAGACTCCAGCAAAGCATTCCAGCGGGGAAGCATGCGGGGAATGCGGAAGTGCTTCATCAGCGTCGCAGATGGATGATGAAAGTGACAGCTCCCCTGGCAGCCAGGGGAAAAAATAAGTTAAATAGCCTCTGTGTATGTCTGTATATGTTTGTATGTCAAACATTGGTATTGAATGTTTGCCATATATGTGTACACTGTAATCCGCCCTGAGTCCCCTGCGGGGTAAGAAGGGCGGAATATAAAAGCTGTAAATAATAATAATAATAATAATAATAATAATAATAATAATTGACTATAAGCCACGGGGGTGCTTTTTCAGCCAAAAAAAAGGCTTATACTCAAGTATATACGGTATCTTAAACCACTCATCCCAAACTTGGATTGCTTTTCCCAGGTTATTTGGACTTCAACTTCCTGAAGCCTCAGCAACATTGCAAATTCTCTTTCCAAAATATCCAATGCCACTTACCGGGCTTGACGGATGCTTCCACAATGCTCCACGGAGAACTGGGCCTCTGGCCTGTGATCACGTCCTTTTGAAAGGGTTTCAGGCCGTCGCCAACCAGGGCCCAAAGCGCCGGGCAAAGGGTGTTCAGGACCAAGTAGCCCACATCAGGGCTGAGCCGGCTGTCTCCTAGCTGGGCCTGATCGGGAGGGAAAGAGTCAAACTCTTTCAGCAGCCAGGAATGAAAGAGACAGCCTCTCTTCCCCTTGGTTGATTGGTAATTAGTGTTTGCTAATTAGTTCTCCCCACCCCCAACTGCGGCAGAAGCAGAAGAGTCGTGGCTGCTGCTCTAGAGACAGGACAAGGGATTCAAATTGCAGGAGAAGAGATTCCACATTAGAAAGAATGTCCTGGCAGCAAGACTATATCAGTATAATGGTGTTCTGTCTTTTATGTTTGACCACTGCGAGGAACAAACCTTTTGCACAAGGTTTCTTGCTGTGCTGAAATGGGCCACGATCTTGTCCACCGAAGCGCTGACCGCCACAAGCAAAGCTGGGGAGGAAGCAGAGAAAAGGTCAGATCGTGAAGGACAGGCATTTTGTTTCTCCTTGGATTGCTGCCAAGGTTTCTATGAAAGGACTCCTTTCCTAGAGCCATAGAGTTGGACATCCAATCCAACCCCCTTCTGCCAGGCGGAAAGTCACAATCCAAACCAAAGACTGCGCCCGTACCTTGGGAAGTCTGACTTGGCCACAGTGGTCCACGCTCTAGTTACATCCCGAATAGATTACTGCAACGCACTCTACGTGGGGCTGCCTTTGAAGACGGTTCGGAAACTTCAGCTAGTTTAATGGTCGGCAGCCAGACTACTAACTGGGGCGACATACAGGGAGCATACCACCCCCCACCCCCCGTCGTGCCAGCTCCACTGGCTGCCAGTCCACCTCCAAGCGCAATTCAAAGTGCTGGTTTTGACCTATAAAGCTCTATACGGTTCTGGCCCAGATTACTTGTCTGAACGCATCCACCACTACATCTACATGAAACCGCTGGGAGAGGTCATCTGGAGTTTTGGAGTTAGGTGCCACCTCTATGCAGATGACACACAACTCTATTACTCATTTCCACCCAATTCCAAGGAGGCCTCTCGAGTCCTGGACGAGTGCCTGGCCGCTGTGTCTATCTGGATGAGAATGAACAAGCTGAAGATCAATCCTGACAAGACAGAGGTCCTCCTGGTCGATCGTAAACCTGACCGGGGTATAGGGTGGCAACCTGTGCTGGACGGGGTTACACTCCCCCTGAAGTCCGCAGTTTGGGAGTCCTCTTGGACTCATCACTTACGCTTGAGACTCAGGCGTCGGTGCTGTCTGGGAGGGCTTTTGCACAATTGAGGAACTAACGATCATTTAGGGGAAAAATTGTGTTTGTCATTTGGGAGCTGTAGTTCCTGGGATATATAGTTAACCTACAATCAAAGAGCATTCTGAACTCCACCAATGATGGAATTGCACCAAACAGGGCACACAGGACTCCCATGGCCAACAGAAAATACTAGAAGGGGTTGGTGGGCATTGACCTTGAGTTTTTAGGAGTTGTAGTACACCTACATCCAGAGATCACTGTGGACTCAAACAATGATGGATCTGGACCAAAGTTGGCTCAAATACTCAATATGCCCAAATGAACACAGATGGACTTGGGAAATAGACCTTGACATTTGGGAGTTGTAGTTACTGGGATTTATAGTTCACCTACAATCAAAGAGCACTCTGAACCCCACAAACGATAGAATTGGGCCAAACTTCCCACACAGAATCCCCATGACCAATGGAAAATACTTAAGGCCATCCAGTCCAACTCCCTTCACCAGGACAAGAAAACGTAATCAAATACTATTTACCCAAGCATAAAGAAATTACATATATTAGAAACCAAGACTTTCTCATTACTTTATTTTCCAGATCATCAGACTGGGCCACAGCAACACGTGGCAGGGGACAGCTAGTCAATAATAGAATTGAACCAAACCTGGCATACAGAACTTCCATGACCAACAGAAAATACTGGAGGGGTTTGGGGGAGGCATGTACAATAAATTAGATTTGCAGTAACGTCCACCTGCTGGCGTTGACAAGTGCGCGAGGAAAGAGGGGCGATGCAGGAATCACGAGTCCCACACCAGGCTTCTTCCCCCACGCTCTTGCCAATGCCGAGGGAGGAACGCACTCCAGTGTTGCAAGGTGCGTGGGGGAAAAGGGCTGGGAACACACACCCAGGGGCCGATAGAGCATGGCCCCTGGATACGTGCTCCCAGGTCCTCTTCCCCGTGAGCTTGCCAACGCCAGGAGAGGGACGTGCTCCGGTGTTGACAAGTGTGCAGGGGAAGAGGCCTCATGCAGGGAGCATGCACCCAGGGGCCAGTGGAAGGAGCACAGCCTCTGCTTGCCAACATCCCTCTCCCAGCAGCTTCTCCGAAGGCCTTGGAGTTCTCTTTGGCATGCTATTGAGGGTGCATGGGGCCTGCAGGAAGAGGTGGGGCCTAAGGAGACCATGCTGCGACCCCTCCAGAATTGCCAAGTGACCCCTCTGGGGGTCGCGACCCCCAGGTCGAGAACCGCTGCTTTAAAAATACATTTAAAATAAAATCACACAAGGCGAGCTAGACACATTTAAGAAAACCTCTTACCTTTCTTTTGTTCTCGCAGTTGTGCAGACAGCCGGTCCACATCGTCCCTCCACAGATGACCGTTACTTGCAATCCCTCCGAAGGACTGAGAGTGTTGGACTGCAAAAAAGAGCAAGCAGGGTGGACAAGTTGAAATACATACAAGGTTCATGGGATTTCTCTCTCTCTCTCTGGACACCAAAATATATACTTAAATTCATTTGGAAGCCTCCGGGGAGAGGCCGTGATGTGAAAAATCATACAGCACAACATAAAGCCAGACTAATTGAGGTGGATTTCAGAAATCAAACTCCTTTCAACAACAAGAAGAACAACAGCAACATTTATTATGGTCCACAGACTAACAGTGATTACGAGGGTTATTTTTTAAGTAAGGTCCGTTTTGTTGTAGACACTAGTAGTTTGCGCGCATATCGCAACGAGCGCGTGCGTCGTGTACCGGCATGCCTCGGGAACAACTGTGCTTAGTTTCCGCTCTGTAGCTAACCTGTACTGTTCTGTTCTGTGCTTTAAAAATGTTTAAGACTATCAACTCACCCTCCGCATGTGAGGTTCGCTCAGTGATACGGTTTTTGTCAGCAAGGAACCTGCCTGCTGCAGAAATTCATCGACAGATTTGTGAAGTGTACGGTGATACTTTTATGAGTGAAAGCAAAGTGCGTAAGTGGGTACGACAATTCAAAGATGGCCGTGACAACGTCCATGATGAGGACCGCTCTGGTCGCCCTTCTTTGATTACAGTGAACTCTTGGTTATCGGAGCAGGCGGCAAGTTTTTATGAAGAGGGTATTTTAAAATTGGTTCAGAGGTATGATAAGTGTTTGAACAAACTTGGCAACTATGTCGAAAAATAGAGTGAAGTATGTACTTTCTGAAAATAAATTTACTTTTTGGAAATAAACTTTCGTTGTGTACTTATGTTCAAACGGACCTTACTTAAAAAATACCCCTCGTATAAATTCTCCAATATCAGGAGAAGTCCATTGTACAGGGTTTCAAGTAATACTCCTATCAGAAATTAGTTGCTTTCTCCGCCTTGTTACACTGTGAGGAATTTTGCCACTATGAGAGCCAATTAGATAAGTATCTAATTAGATAATTACCTAATAAAAGGCTGCTGTTTCTCATTAAAGAACTTTACAGAGATAGTAGCTTACAGGTTAGATGTGGCCCCCATGGCCAAATTTCAGGGCCAATTTAAATGACCCGAGGGGTAAGGCAGGGCTGTATCTTCGCTCCTACTCTGTTTAACTTATTCCTGGATGATCTTGAGGAAGCCATGATGGACCCACAAGGTCACCTACCCAGATTGGGTCAAAGGAGAGTCCCCATCTATGATGATACAGCCATCCTCTCCAGGTCTAGACCAGGGCTCACACACCAACTTGGGAACTTTACAGAAAATTACAAAACAAACGAGCTACATATACATTTCAGCAAATCATAATTTCTGGTTTTTGAAAATATAAATAGGTCACTGACAATTTTTCTCTAGAGCACGTTAGAAGCTTCCAGTATTTGGGCCTTACCTTCCACCACATCTTATCAATTCAAGGTACAAGTTATTACCTATAAAGCCCTATACTCTTTGAGTCCAACCTATCTTTGTGACCGCATCTCTTTCTAAGAACCAGTGTAGGCTTCCTGATGTTTCTCTCCAGATGTTTCACTTCTGGATCAGCCTTAGCCAGCATAGACAGTGAATAAGAATACTCAAAAGACCCAGCGGCCATATATTCTCCATGCCTAGAATGGCAGAAGAGGTGGAATACACACCCGATGGCGAAAGAGCAGAGTTCAGCAACTATTAATGTATACATGTTTAAAGCTAGACATTTTAGTAAAAAAATCAACTCCAAAAGACCGGGTAGACTTATTTACAGGTCAGTGTCAGTACTGTACCTTAACATATGCAAAATTACCCATGAGTTATCCACAGGTCATATCAAAATCTATAATTTTGGTCGCAAAACTTGCCCTTAATTTATACACAACTCATAGCCAGAACATCTAAATATTCAGCAAACAACCCCACTTTCTCACTCTTTCTTTTGGGTATTTGTTGACTATGCTGGCTGAGGATTATGAGAACCAAAGTCCAACCAATTTTGAGGATGTTGGACTGGGAATGGCTATGTTAGGAAGAACTTCCTAATGGTAAGAGATATGCAACCTCAGAGACTAGTGGACTCTTCTTCTCTGGAGGTTTTTAAGCAGAAGTTGGATGGCCATCTGTCAGGAGGGCTTGGGTTGAGTGTTCATGCATGGATTAAGGGGGTTGGATGGCTCTTGAGGTCTCTTCCAACTCAATGATTCTGTGATTCTCCATTATGGCCCACGGTATGACAGAGGGAGGGAGATGGAAGACAAGGGGGAAATGTTGGGGGATGGCTTACGTTGCTCAGGGACTCCCGGCTCCTTGGCTGCCATACTGTCCCAAGGCAGTCTCCCAGACCCCGCTCCAGCCTGGCTGTCAAGGGGGACCCGTGCTCTGAACGGCGGCTCGGGTACCTGGCGGGTTGGGAAAGCTAAGGTGGGGTAGGTTCTGCTGCGGGGGAAGAGCGGGGAGAAGAGCACAGCCAGGTCAGGGCTCTCCAGGAAAGGGAGGACGCTCCGTGAAGGTGGAGAGTAGGCCCCGACGGGCGAGAGGCGGATGGGGAGCAGCTCCTCAGGGGAGAGGGTGCCGAAAATCTGCCCCTGCCGGTCAGCCAGGAGGCAGACCTCTTCACAGGACAAGGCCTTGAGCCTTGGGCAGAAGGCCCGGCCAGAAAGCTCTGGGGAGGTCAGCTCCACACTCTCCAAACCAGGGCCAATAGAGGAGGAGGAGGACAAGGGGTCCGCAGCCTGGCCATCCACCACAGAGAAATGGAGCAGGAGAGGCTGGAAGGACAGGTGCTGTGGCTGGGAAGAGTGCACAGGGGGTGCACTGGCTGCTAGGCAGCACAGCCAGGAGAAAGCAAGAGGTGGTGGGGAGCCATATCAGAGCAAAGGGAGGTAATGGGGGGGGGGCATGGATGGAAGGAGGGAAGTGTTTGAGGGTATTGATAGAAGGAGGGAAGCATGTGACAGTGAAGATCAGAGGGGAGAGACATGGGGGAAAGGGAAGTGATGGAAGGTATTGATGGAAGGAGAGCAGTGTGCGACATTGAAGATCAGAGGGAAGCGACACAGCAACAAGGGAAGTGATTGAAGGTATTGATAGACAGAGAGAAGTGTGCAACATTGAAGATCAAAGGGAAGAAAGACAGGGAAAAGGGAAGTGATGGAAGGTATTGGTGGACAGAGAGAAGTGTGCAACATTTAAGATCAGAGGGAAGAGACATAACAACAAGGGAAGTGATGGAAGGTATTGATGGACAGAGCGAAGTGTGCAACATTGAAGATCAAAGGGAAGAAAGACAGGGAAAAGGGAAGTGATGGAAGGTATTGATGGACAGAGAGAAGTGTGCAACATTGAAGATCAAAGGGAAGAAAGATGGGGGAAAGGGAAGTGATGGAAGGTATTGATGGAAGGAGAGCAGTGTGCGACATTGAAGATCAGAGGGAAGAGACATAACAACAAGGGAAGTGATAGAAGGTATTGATGGACAGAGAGAAGTGTTCAACATTGAAGATCAAAGGGAAGAAAGATGGGGAAAAGGGAAGTGATGGAAGTTATTGATGGAAAGGTTGAAGTCAACAACATTGAAGATCAGAGGGAAGAGACACAGCGAAAAGAGAAATGATGGAACACATTGATGGAAGGGGAGAAGTGTATGACATTGAAGATCAGAGGGAAGAGACAGCGAAAAGGGAAATGATGGAACGCATTGATGGAAGGGGAGAAGTGTATGACATTGAAGATCAGAGGGAAGAGACGTGGGAAGATCACAAAGGGAGGTGATAGAGGGCATTGATGGAAGCAGGGAAGTACGTGACAAGATAGCAAAGGATCAGAGGGAAGAGACAGAGGGAAAGATGATAGAGAGAAAGGAAAATAATGGAGGGTATTGATGGAAGGAGGGAAGGTGTGAGAGTATTGATGGAAGGAATAAAGTGTGTGACATTGAAAGATCAGAGGGAAGAGACACAGGAAAGGACAAAGAGAAAGGAAGGTGATAGAGGACAGCGATGGAAGGAGGGAAGTGTGACATTGTAGGATAAGAGGGAAGAGACACAGGAAAGGACAAAGAGAAAGGAAGGTGATAGACGACAGCGATGGAAGGAGGGAAGTGTGACATTGTAGGATAAGAGGGAAGAGACAATGAGGAAAGGTCACAGAGAAAGGGAGGTGATGGCAGGTATTGATGGAAGGAGGGAATTGTGTGACATTGTAGGATCAGAGGGAAGAGACAACAGGGAAAGGTCACAGAGACAAGCAACAGCCCAGCCGTATGGACATGAGGGCAAGAAAGGTGCCCAGGCAGAACAAGGAAAGGGATTTGGGAATAGGGGCGAGGAGGAAAGGGAGGGAGGAGAGAATATGAAAAAAAAGAATGTTAATTCCGGATGCCACAGCAGACAGTAAAACAAAAAATGCAAATACATACAGAATGAGCATGAGACACGCCAAACTGCAAAGGCACACAACGCTCCTCTTCCAAAACCCTCTGGCCTGTTTGATGGTCAGGAATCTTGATACCATCAGTCAAGTTGGACTGGATACACTGAGAGTGACAAGCCCACTGTTCCCCAATCATGGGCAAGTGAGAACTTGAACCTGGATCTTTCCACCTGAATGATGACTCTCTGTGATTCATCTCCCCACTTATCTTCATCCCATCCTTTCTAGGTCAGGCCTAGATGACTAAACCGAGGTTGTCATACTTTGGACATATCATGAGAAGACAGGACTACATATTAGAAAAGACAATAATGTTTGGTAATGTAGACGGTAGTAGGAAAAGAGGAGAACTCTATGACAGATGGGTGGATTCGGTCAAGGAAGCCACTGCTGGGCTGAGTTTGTAAGACTGGAGTAGGGCTACTCATAGGGTGGCTTTGAGGTTTCATACATTGATGACAAATTGATGGCAGTTAAGTGAATGTGGGAAAAGGCATGGATTTCAGCTTGATCCAGTTTTGGGACCAAAATATATTTTCTATTCCTAATTTTGATCCGAAAGTACTAGTACACTCATGGGCAAACTTGGGCCCTCCAGGTGTTTCGTGTTGGAATTCAACCCCACACTGCCCAAGTCTCAAGTACTCAATGAGGAAGAGTTTAGTTGGTTTAGAATAGACCAGGGGTCCCCAAACTACGGCCCGCGGGCCACTTCCGGCCCGCCAAGGGCACTTATCCGGCCCGCGGAGGAGGAGCGCCCCCCCACACAGTGCCCCTCCCTTGGCTGGCTCACGCTATCCGTCAGGCCCGATGGGCAGCGTGAGCCAGCCAAGGGCAGCTGCTCCGCGTGGTCTACTTGCGTGTAAAGCACCTTGCGAGGTAAGATTGTGCAGGGCTGCTCCCTCCTTGGCAGGCTCACGCTATCCGTCAGGCCCGATGGGCAGCGTGAGCCAGCCAAGGGAGGCTGCCCCGGCTCTCCATGCAGTCATGCTGGCCACATGACCTTGGAGGTGTCTATGGACAATGCCGGCTCTTCAACTTAGAAATGCAGATGAGCACCACACCCCAGAGTCAGACACGACTGGACTTCATGTCAGAGGAAAACCTTTAACTAGGAAAATTGTGGAAGATCCAGGGTGGGAGAAAGAACTCTTGTCTGTTGGAGGTAGGTACGAATGTTTCAATTGGCCATCTTGATTACCATTTCATAGCCTGACAGTTTTTAGGGAGAGGTGATTAGCTGGCCCTGATTGTTTGTTGTCTGGAGTTCCTCTGTGTTTGAGTATTGTTCTTTATTTACAGTTATAATTTTAGAGTTTTTTTTAATACTGGTAGCCAGATTTTGTTCAGACTAGAAATAGGAAGATTTCCCATTCTCTGCTCCTGGAATTACTGCCTCAAGAGGGCTAGAAAGAACCCCCTCCGGCCCTCCAACGGTCTGAGGGACAGTGAACTGGCCCCCGGTTTAAAAGGTTTGATGACCCTTGGAATAGACTAAGGCAGTGGTTCTCTACCTTCCTAATGCCATGACCCCTTAATACGGTTCCTCATGTTGTGGTGACCCCCCAACCATAACATTATTTTTGTTGCTACTTCACAACTGTCATTTTATTACTGTTATGAATTGTAAATATCTGATATGCGGGATGTGTTTTCATTCACTGGAACAAATTTCACACAAATACCCAATACATCCAAATTTGAATACTGGTGGGGTTGGGGTCAGATTGACTTTGTCATTTGGGAGTTGTAGTTGCTGGGATTTATATTTCACCAAATATATTTCATCAAAAAGCATTCTGAACTCCACCAATAATGGAATTGAACCAAACTTGGCACACAGGACTCCCATGACCATCAGAAAATACTGGAAGGATTTGGTGGTCACTGACCTTGAATTTTGGAGTTCTAGTTCACCTACATCTAGAGAACACTGTGGACTCAGTGATGGATCTGAACCAAACTTGATATGGATACTCAAGATGCCCAAATGTGAACACTAATGGAGTTTGGGGGAAATAGACCTTGACATTTGGGAGTTGTAGTTGCTGGGATTTATAGTTCACCTAAAATCAAAGAGCATTCTAAACTCCACCAATGATGGAATTGAACCAAACTTGGCACACAAGACTCCCATGGCCATCAGAAAATACTGGAAGGATTTGGTGGTCACTGACCTTGAATTTTGGAGTTCTAGTTCACCTACATCTAGAGAACACTGTGGACTCAGTGATGGATCTGAACCAAACTTGATATGGATACTCAAGATGCCCAAATGTGAACACTAATGGAGTTTGGGGGAAATAGACCTTGACATTTGGGAGTTGTAGTTGCTGGGATTTATAGTTCACCTACAATCAAAGAGCATTCTGAACTCCACCAATGATGGAATTGAACCAAACTTGGCACACAGAACTCCCATGACCAACAGAAAATACTGGAAGGGTTTGGTGGGCATTGACCTTGAGTTTTGGAGTTCTAGTTCACCTCATCCAGAGAATACCATGGGCTCAAACAATGATGAGTCAGGACCAAACTTGGCACGAATACTCAATATGCCCTAATGTTAACACTGGTGGAGTTTGGTGAAAGCAAACCTTGACATTTGGGAGTTTTAGTTTGGGATTTATAGTTCACCAACAACTAAAGAGCATTCTGAACTCCACCAATAATGGAATTGAACCAAACTTGGCACACAGAACTCCCATGACCATCAGAAAATACTGGAAGGATTTGGTGGGCACTGACCTTGAATTTTGGAGTTCTAGTTCACCTACATCTAGAGAACACTGTGTACTCAGAGATGGATCTGGACCAAACTTGATATGGATACTCAAGATGCCCAAATGTGAATACTGGTGGAGTTTGGGAGAAATAGACCTTGACATTTGGGAGTTGTAGTTGCTGGGATTTATAGTTCATCTCCAATCAAAGAGCATTCTGAACTCCACCAATGATGGAACTGAACCAAACTTGGCACACAGAACTCCCATGACCATCGGAAAATACTGGAAGTGTCTGATGTGTGATCCAATTCAACAGCCAGCAGAGTGTCTGCTGTGGACTCATCTTGTTGTGTTTCAATAATAATAATAATAATAATAATAATAATAATATAATAATACATGACACAGTCCTAGACACTTGGGAAGTGTCCGACATGTGATCCAAATCAACAGCCAGCAGAGTGTCTGCTGTGGACTCATCTTGTTGTGTTTCTAATAATAATAATAATAATAATAATAATAATAATAATAATAATAATAATAATAATAATAATGTCAGCACTGGAGGACTTAGGGATAGACTGGCAGTCTTCCGCTCAATAGAATTGAAAAGGAAATGACCCTAAAAGCAGTTTCAACAGAACAGCCAACTCACCAAAAGCAAAGTAATAATTTTAGCGGAGACTTTCTTGACCCAAAATCCAAAATTTACCTATCTCCCTTCCAGCCTCCAAGTGTGCTGCCAGAATTACATTACCTGTCCTTTTAAGCCCCGTGGCTCTTTTTCTCAAGTTCAAAAAAGGCAGCCATCTGGGAATCCACCCACATTCCGGCTGTTTTAGAAAAAAGGAAGGTACACTGAGACACAATCTGCCTGCACATAAAAATGACTGCTGCCCAGAAAAACTAAAAAAGAAAGTGGTTTTTCTCTTCCTGCTTCCTCTGTTAAACAATTGGTGAAGGAGGCTGGTGAAGGAAGGTGGAGGCGGGACTTTTCCAGCAAAGATAACCAATTAGAGCAATGTTTCTCAACCTTCCTAATGCCGTGACTCAGGTTGTGGTGACCTCCAACCATAACATTCTTTACATTGCTACTTCCTAACTGTCATTTTGCTACTGTTACGAATAGTCATGTAAATATCTGATCTGCAGGATGTGTTCTCATTCACCGGACCAAATTTGGCACAAATACCCGATACGCCCAAATCGGATTACTGGTGGGGTTGGGGGGATTGATTTTGTCATTTGGGAGTTGTAGTTGCTGAGATTTATAGTTCACCTCCAATCAAAAGCGTTCTGAACTCCACCAATGATGGAATTGAACCAAACTTGGCACACTGACCTCCCATGACCAACATAAGATACTGGAATGTTTTGGTGGGCACTGACCTTGAGTTTTGGAATTGTAGTTCACCTATATCCAGAGAGCACTGTGGACTCAAACAATGATAGATTTCTAGATTCTTGTGGGTTTTTTCGGGCTATAGGGCCATGTTCTAGAGGCATTTCTCCTGACGTTTAGAAAATGGCCCTATAGCCCGAAAAAACCCACAAGAACCTAGTGATTCCAGCCATGAAAGCCTTCGACAATACAATGATGGATTTATAGTTCACCTACCATCAAGGCTGTTAAGATCTTCTGGAGGGGCCCTGATCTCGGTCCCACCACCCTCGCAATCGCGTCTGGTGGGGACAAGAGACAGGGCCTTTTCTGTGGTGGCCCCCCCAGCTATGGAACTCTCTCCCGATTGAGATCAGATCTGCCCCGTTCCTCCTGAACTTCAGGAAGCTAGTGAAATCCTGGCTATGGAACGAGGCATTCCCAGAATGATGGCGGAGACTGGAAATTGACTAAAGTTATCGACCACATTATTATTATTTTGTGAAACTGCAGGTCGCTTCTGGTATGAGAGAATTGGCCTTCTGCAAGGACGTTGCCCAGGGAACGCCCGGATGTTTCTGATGTTTACTATCCTTGTGGGAGGCTTCTCTCATGTCCCAGAGCTGACAGAGGGAGCTCATCCACACTCTCCCTGGATTCGAACCTATGACCTGTCATTCTTCAGTCCTGCTGGCACAAGGGTTTAACCCACTGTGCCACCGGGACTTCCATTATCAAATGATCAGTGTAGATGAGGCCTGGGCTCACCAGCTAGGGCGAAGGTGAAGCATTCAAACCTTACCCTCCACAAAACGCCCGTCTCCTCTTTCCTCTTTCCCGGGCATCCAGGGGTCCCTTTGTCCATTCGGCTTGCCTTCCGAGCGTCTATCCGACGCTCCATCCTCTCCTTCTTCGAAGCCCCCTTCCATGATGGGTTGTAGCCCAGGGCGGGACTTCTTCTTCCGGAGCGGGTTCTCCTTTGGGCCTCGGAAATGCCCCTTTGGTGGGTCACTCTCCTGCAAAGGGTCGCTGCCTTCTGGCATCAGCTTGCCCGCTTTCACCTGTTGGGTGCCAACCTGTGTGGGCAGGTGACTTTTCTGCTTGCGGCAGCGCAGTTCTTTGAATGTAGTGACCTCCTTCTGTGGGCAGTTGGCCACGTTTGCTGGCTCTGGGGGCGTTGTTTGTGGGTCAAATATCTCCTGATTGGGAACGTTACCCCACGTGGCCTCGTGACAAGGGGGCAACTCAGTGTCGGGAGAAAAAACGATGAGCCAGTCGCTTTGGTCTTTCCTGGTCGGTGGTGAGACCGCCACCTTCTTCCGCTTCTGGGCCAACTCATGGAAGGAGGTGATGTTCTTGGTGACCTCTCTCTGTTGGACACTCAGCTCTGATGATGCGTCAGAGCTTGGCTTCTCTGGCTCACGCCGTCGTATCCCTTGAAGTCCTCGCTTTGTCCTCGGAGGCACGGGAGGTGGGGGACCCACAACACGAGGCTTTGGTGGACCAGACCAGTTTAAGTTGACGTCCACCTGCCCTGGAGGGAAGGTCGCTGGCTTGGGTTCCTGGACCGGAAGAGAGTTGCAGTTCGAATCCAGTCCTGGAGTGACGCGACGGACTGGCACAGCAGGGGGTGCACGGCAAGGACGGACTGGAGGTGGCACCGTCGGAGAGCCGTTCAACGGTGACTCCGATTGGGGCTTTGAGCTGGGAGAAGGTGTGGACTCCAATGAGCTGTTGCTGCCGAGGCTATCGGGACTGTCCCAGACACGGGTTATGGGGCGGTCACCTCGGATGTTGAGGTTCAAGCTCCTCTCTTCAGGGCTGGCCACATTGTGAGCCTCATCCAAAGGGACAATGTTGGGCTGGTTCTCCGGACTTTGGGCCACCTCTTCCGTCGGGAACTCCTTCCAGTAGACAGAGACAGGAGTGTCGTCCAAGCTGAGATCGGAGCAGCTGCTGACGGAAGAGGAGGCCGGGTCCAAAGGCGAATCCTCCTCCTCCTCCTCTTCTTCGTGGCTCGAAACAGGAGATCTAGGCAAGCTTTGCAGATTCTGGAGGTCCCGTTTGATATCCGAATGCAGAGGGTGTTCGTCGCAACACTGGCACGTCAAGGACGGGTCGTTGGAGTTGGCGTCCACCAGCGCCGAGACATGGCTCTGTTCTCTGTAGTCCTGGCCCGCTGTTCCCTTCCTTGGTGGGGCCAAGGTGTGGGACTCCTCCTGAAGTTCTGGGTGGCGAGACAGATGGAGGCCCAGGGAGATGTGCTGCAGGTGGACGTGGTTGAGGTTGCAGAGCAGGCCTTTCTTGGGCGACTGCATGGCTACTTAGACATGGGAATCAAAACAGCCAGGCTGGCTTAGAACGATCCGTCCTCAGCGAAACACAGCTCCTGAATGTTGGAGAAAATCCAGGGAAAGGGGAAGAACAACAAGAGCAATTCATCACAAATGGAAGAACACTGGCGTGAGCGAGTCCCTACATCATTCTCTTAATGGATTCAAATGGCAAGAAAAGAGATTCCATCTAAACATTAGGAAGAACTTTGTGATGGTAAAAGCTGTCTAATGGTAAAATATATTGCTTTATAGCAGAGGCTGGATGGCCATCTGTCTGAAGGGCTTCCTGCATGGCAGAATATGATTAAACTGGATAGCTGGGTTGCTGTGAGTTTTCCGGGCTGTATGGCCATGTTCCAGAAGCATTCTCTCCTAACATTTCACCCACATCACCTCAGAGATGGCACAATGGGTTAAACTCTTGTGCTGGCAGGACTGAAGACCAACAGATCAGAGGTTCGAATCAAGGGAGGACTCGGATGAGTTCCCTCTGTCAGCTCCAGCTCCCCATGCAGGGACATGAGAGAAACCTCCCACAAGGATGGCAAAACGTTTAAAACATCTGGGCAACGTCCTTGCAGACAGCCAATTCTCTCACACCAGAAGCGACTTGCAGTTTCTCAAGTCGCTCCTGACACACACACACAAAAACCCCACATCTATGGCAGGCATGCTCAGTGGCTTTGGGGTATATTGGAAACAAGGGAGGTTTATATATCTGTGGAATAATGTCCAGGTTGGGAGAAAGAACTCTTGCCTGTTGGAGGCAAGTGTGAATGTTGCAATACATCACCTGGGTTAGCATTGCAAAGCCTTGCAGTTTCAAGGCCTGGCTGATTCCTGCCTGAGGGAATACTTTGTTGGGAAGTGTTAGCTGGCCCTGATTGTTTCATGTCATGTCACAACCACTATGTCAGATTACACAAAGAAGCAACTGAAATCCACAAGCGAGTGGACAATGTCAACAGAAAGGAGGAAACCATGAAAATGAACAATATCTGGCTACCAGTATTTTAAAAAGCTCTAAAATCAGGACAGTAAGTAGAGAAGAACACTCAGAAAACAGGGGAATTCCAGACATGAAACAATCAGGACCAGCTAACACCTCCCAACAAAGGATTCCCCCAGGCAGAAATCAGCCAGGCCTTGAAGCTACAAGGCTTTGCAATGTTAATCAAGGTGATTAATTACAACATTAATTGCAATCACTACCTCTGAGGATGCTTGCCATAGATGCAGGCGAAACGTCAGGAGAAAATGCCTCTAGAACATGGTTTCTCAACCTTCCTAATGCGGCGAACCCTTTAATACAGTTCCTCATGTTATGGTGACCCCCAACCATAAAATTATTTTTGTTTCAATTTAATAACTGTACTTGTGTTAATGTTATGAATCAAAATGTAAATATCTGAAATACAAGATGTCTTTTCTTTCACTGGACCAAATTTGGCGTGAATACCTGACATGCCCAAGTTTTAATACTGGTGCAGTTGGGGGCGGGGGGGGGGGTAGATTTTGTCATTTGGGAGTTGTAGTTGCTGGGATTTATAGTTTGCCTACCATCAAAGAGCATTCTGAACTCCACCAACAATGGAATTGAACCAAAATTGGCATACAGAACTCCCATGACCAACAGAAAATACTAGAAGGGCTTGGTGGGCGTTGACCTTGAATTTTGGGAGTTGTAGTTCACCTATATCCAGAGAGCACTGTGGACTCAAACAATGATAGATCTGGACCAAACTTGGCACAAATACTCAATATGCCCAATTGTGTGCACTGGTGGAGTTTGGGGGAAATAGACCTTGAAATTTGGGAGTTGTCATTTCTGGGATTTATAGTTCACCTACAAAGATCATTCTGAACCTCACCAAGATAGAATTGGGTCAGACTTCCCACACAGAACCCCTTTGACTGACAGAAAATACTGTGTTTTCTGATGGTCTTTGGCGATCCCTCTGACACCCCATGGAGACCTGACCCCCAGGTTGAGAAACGCTGCTCTAGAACATGGCCATATAGCCTGAAAAACCTACAACAACCCAATTACAACATTCACACTTGCCTCCAACAGGCAAGAGTTCTTTTTCACACCCTGGACATTATTCCACAGATATATAAACCTCCCTTGCTTAGTTTCCAAAAGACCTCACAACCTCTGAAGATGCCTGCCATAGATGTGGGTGAAATGTCAGGAGAGAATGCTTCTGGAAAATAACCATACAGCCTGAAAAACTCACAGCAACCCAGTCATTCTGGCTACGAAAGCCTTTGACAACAAACTGGATCGCCTTTGTAATCTCTTTCATCAAGAGAGAGCCACAAAGAAAAAATATACCCGGACTAGTGATGGGTATATATATTATTGAAATTAAATTTAAATTCTGTGTTGTGGAATGATGGAGTCGCAAAATTATAGCGAAATCCTCCGACTTGTTACCAATTTGGAAGTTTTGTGTCAGATCTATCAAGAGCAATTCAGTGAAACAGCTCTTCTGATGTTCTCGTGTCACAACGAAGCAGGCGGAAAGAAAGACTCAGAAGACATGGCACATCGCCATATATTGCAAATCAGTCTCAGTCATTCTTCCTTCTCCCCCAGGGAACCTTGAGAAAGGTAGATCTACGAGGCAATCTCCGAAGGAAGAATCCTCCGTGCCTCACTTGAACGTCAAATCCCAGAATCCTTTGGAATTCCATGGAATTAATGCAGGTTCACCTCACTTGAACTGCCATGGCCCAAAGCTATGGAATCCCGGGAGTTGTAGTTTGTTGGCGCACCAGCATTGTTGCTCTTTATTTACTGTCCTGATTTTAGAGTTTAGCTAACACCTCCCAACAAAGGATCCCCCCAGGCAGAAACTCACAGGATTCTATAACCTTGAGTCATGGCAGTTCAAGCGGGGTCACACTACATTAATTCTACCATGTGGATGCAACCTGCATATGCGGTTAGAACCAACATGATTGATTGATTGAATGAAGGTCTGCCTTTTATTTAAATCAGAGAAAAGAATTAGCATCACATCCTTGACATTAAGTCTAGTTGTGTCCGATTCCAGGGGTTGGTGCTCATCTCAATTTCTAAGTCGAAGAGCCGGCGTTGTCCATAGACACCTCCAAGGTCATGTGGCCGGCATGACTGCATGGAGTGCCCTTACCTTCCCACCTATTGATCTACTCACATTTGCATGTTTTCAAACTGCTAGGTTGGCAGAAGCTAGGGCTGACAGCGGAAGCTCACGCCGCTCCCAGGAATCGAACCTGCGAACTTTCGGTCAACAAGCTCAGCTGCTCAGTGCTTTGGTACCTATTGATCTACTCACATTTGCATGTTTTCGAACTCCTAGGTTGGCAGAAGCTAGGGCTGACAGCGGAAGCTCACGCCTCTCCCAGGAATCGAACCTGCGACCTTTCGGTCAACAAGCCCAGCAGCTCAGTGCTTTAACCTACTGCGTACCTATTGATCTACTCACATTTGCATATTTTCGAACTGCTAGGTTGGCAGAAGCTAGGGCTGACAGCGGAAGCTCATGCCGCTCCCAGGAATCGAACCTGCGACCTTTCGGTCAACAAGCTCAGCCGCTCAGTGCTTTAACCCACTGCATACCTATTGATCTACTCACATTTGCATGTTTTCGAACTGCTAGGTTGGCAGAAGCTAGGGCTGACAGCGGAAGCTCACGCCGCTCCCAGGAATCGAACCTGTGACCTTTCGGTCAACAAGCTCAGCAGCTCAGTGCTTTAACCCACTGCGTACCTATTGATCTACTCACATTTGCATGTTTTCGAACTGCTAGGTTGGCAGAAGCTAGGGCTGACAGCGGAAGCTCACATCACTCCCCAATCGAACCTGTGACCTTTCGGTCAACAAGCTCAGCCGCTCAGTGCTTTAACCCACTGCGTACCTATTGATCTACTCACATTTGCATGTTTTCGAACTGCTAGGTTGGCAGAAGCTAGGGCTGACAGCGGAAGCTCATGCTGCTCCCAGGAATCGAATCTGCGACCTTTCGGTCAACAAGCTCAGCAGCTCAGTGCTTTAACCCACTGCGTACCTATTGATCTACACACATTTGCATGTTTTTGAACTACTAGGTTGGCAGAAGCTGGGGCTAACAGTGGGAGCTCACTCCGCTCCTTGTTTGAGCTCCCACAAAGACGAGAAATGTTTGGATCCTGAAAGGATTGTCCTTGGTCAGGATGAGAAGGTGGACGGGAGAGAAAAAGTGTATCCATTAGACCCCGTATTGCCTACTCCTGATATAGAATATTAGAGGTGGAAGAGACCCCCAAGAGCCATCCAATCCAACCCCCTGCCATGCAAAAAGGCACAATCAAAGCACTCCCAATAGACAGCCTCTGCAGAAAAGCTTCCAGAGAAGGATATGCCGCTCTACAGGAAGTTCTTCCTAATATTTTCAGTCGAATCTCTTTTCCTGCCATTTGAACCCATTGCTCTCTTCTGTCTCTAGAGCAGGGAAACTCAAACTTTTTAAACAGAGGGCCAGATTACTGTCACTCAGACCATTGGAGGGCCTTGCCTGGCTCGCACGAGGGGCAGTGCGAGGCAGGTAAGTTGCACCGCGCGGCCTGGCCTTCCGCAAAGCCCCTCACCACTTCCATTGCTTGCCAGGCCCGATGGGCAGTGCGAGGTATGCAAGGGGATTGGCCCAGCAAGTGGTGAGGGGCTTTGCGTGAGGGCAAGCCAGACCGCGTGGGCTGGATAAATTCCCTCGGCGGGCCGCATGTGGCCCGCAGGCCGTAGTTTGAGGACCCCTGCTCTAGAGTAGCAGAAAATCAGCTCCCGCTCCCAATGTTTACTTCTACCTTCCCTCTCTACCTTCTCTTCTCCCATCTAAACATCCCCCAGGTGGTGCGATGGGTTAAACCCTTGTGCTGGCTGAACTGCTGACCAAAAGGTCAGCGGTTCGAATCCAGAGAGTGGAGTGAGCTGTCAGCTCCAGCTTTTCATGCGGGGACATGAGACAAGCCTCCCATAGGATGGTAAAACATCCGGGCGTCCCCTGGGCAACGTCCTTGCAGTGGCCGATTCTCTTACACCAGAAGCGACTTGCAGTTTCTCAGGTCGCTTCTGACATGATAAAATAATAATAATAATAATAATAATAATAATAATAATAATAATAATAAATATTAGCCACTGGAAACAACTTTTAGTTTCTCAAGACACCAAAAAAGAAAAAAAATCCCCAAGAAGGAAGGAAAAAGAGAATGAAGGAAGAGGAGGATGGAAGGAAGGAAGGAAGGAAGGAAGGAAGGAAGGAAGGAAGGAAGGAAGGAAGGAAGGGAGGGAGGGAGGGAGGGTGGAAGGGAATGGAGGGAGAGAAGAGAGGGAGGGAAGAAGGGAGGAAGGAAAGAGAGAAGGAAGGATAGGATGAGGAGAGGGAGGAGGCTCTGAGAAAAAAGCCCACGYGCCTGGGTTTACCATTCCTGGTCTACACTGGCCACATAAATGTCGTTCAACCAGGCTTGACCCAGGATCTGGTGCCTTTAGGATATTTCAGCAATACATCATTTAGCCATCAATAATTCAGGGAATGAGAAAGCAAGTTCTCATGACAACGGAGCTGGATTGGTTGGCCTTTTGCCTCTTTCTCTTCTCAGCAGATGAGCAAAGGGGCAAAAAAAAATTACTTCTTTCCTCTTGGATATTATATGTATATATATACACACACATACACACACATACACACACACACATACATACAAGCTTGGTTTGCTCTATAGGCCCATCTGTACTGATCCTATGAGGGGGACATGAGCGCCATGTTTACATGTTTATGTGAAAGGAAGTCACATTGTGGCAGGAGAGAGCTTGTTTTCTGGGTTGCTGTGAGTTTTCTGGGCTGTCTGGCCATGTTCCAGAAGCATTCTCTCCTGACGTTTCACCCACACCTATGGCAGGCATCCTCAGAGGTTGTGAGGTTTGTTGGAAACTAGGCAAGTGGCGTTTATATATCTGGAATAATGTCGAGGGTGGGATATAGAACTCTAGTCTCCTTGAGGCAGGTGTGAATGTTGCAAATGGCCACCTTGATTAGCATTTAATAGCCTTTCAGCTTCAAAGCCTGGCTGGTTGCCACCTGGGGGAATCCTTTGTTGGGTGGTGTTAGCTGGCACCACCCAATTCCCGTTTTTTGATTGTTGCTCTTTATTTACTGTCCTAACACCTTCCAACAAAGGATTCCCCAGGCAGCAACCAGCCAGGCTTTGAAGCTATAAGGCTATTAAATGCTAATCAAGGTGGTCCATTACAACATTCACGCAGACAAGAGTCCTTTCTCCCACCCTGGACCTTCCCTGATGGTTTCCTGTGCAGAATTCCCCTGATTTCTGAGTGTTGCTCTTTATTTACTGTCCTGATTTTAGTGTTTAGCTAACACCTCCCAACAAAGGATTCCCCCAAGCAGCAACCAGCCAGGCTTTGAAGCGACAAGGCTATTAAATGCTAAACAAGGTAGTCCATTACAACATTTACACAGACAAGAGTCCCTTCTCCCACCCTGGACCTTCCCGGATTGTTTCCTGTGCGGAATTCCCCTGTTTTCTGAGTGTTGCTCTTTATTTACTGTCCTGATTTTAGAGTTTTTTAATACTGGTAGCTACATTTTGTTCATTTTCATGGTTTCCTCCTTTCTGTTGAGACTGTCCACATGTTTCATGTGGACTTCAATGCCTTCTCCGTGTAGTCTGACATGGTGGTTGTCAGAGCAGTCCATCATTTCTGTATTCTCACATAATATGTTGTGTCCAGGTTGGTTCATCAAGTGCTTTGCTATGGCTGACTTCTCTGGTTGACTTATTTAAAAGCTCTAAAATCAGGACAGTAAATGAAGAACAATACTCAGAAAATAGAGGAATTCCAGGCCGGAAGCAATCAGGTGAACTATAAATCCCAGCAACTACAACTCCCAAATTTCATGTCTATTTTCCCCAAACTCCACCGGTGTTCACATTTGTGCATATTGAATATCCATACCAAGTTGGGTCCACATCCATCATTGTTTGAGTCCACAGTGCTCTCTGGATGTAGGTGAACTACAATTCCAAAACTCAAGGTCAATGCCCACCAAACCCTTCCAGTATTTTCTGTTGGTGATGGGAGATCTCTGTGCCTTTGATCCACATCCATCATTGTTTGAGTCAGTCCACAGTTCTCTCTGGATGTGGGTGAACTACAACTCCAAAACACAAGGTCAAAGCCCACCAAACCCTTCAAGTAATTTCTGTTAGCCAGGGAGCAATCAGGTGAACTATAAATCCCAGCAACTTCCACAGATATATAAACCCCACTTGCCTAGTTTCCAACAGACAGGGGTGGCTCAACCCATTACGCAAAGGAAGCATTTGCAGTATAGTTGATTTTGCCCAGGGGCGCTCTTGGGGAAAAATAGACCTTGACATATGCGAGTTGTAGTTACTGGGATGTATAGTTCACCTAAAATCAAAGAGCATTCTGAACTCCACCAATGATGGAATTGAACCAAATATGGCACACAGAACTCCCATGACGAACAGATGTGAGTTGTAGTTACTGGGATTTATAGTTCACCTAAAATCAAAGAGCATTCTGAACTCCACCAATGATAGAATTGAACCAAATACGGCACACAGAACTCCCATGACGAACAGAATATATATATGAGTGATTGGGTGGGGTGGGGGGCAAAATACTGTTTGCTCAGTATGCCCAACAGACCTCACAATCACTGAGGATGTCTACCATAGATGTGGGCTAAATATCAGGAGAGAGTGCTTCTGGAACACAGGCCAGACAGGCCGGAAAATTCACAGCAACCTAGTGATTCCAGCCATGAAAACCTTCGACAACAGCTTGTTTTCTGCTGATCTGGATTCAAAGATCCCATCCAAACATTAGAAAGAATTTGATGGTGAGAGCCTTTCGACAGTGGAAGATGCCGTTTTGGAGAGCGGCGAAGTCTCCTTCTCTGAAGGTTGGATGGCCATCTGACAGAAGGGCTCTGATTGTGGCGAAATGGGGTTGGACTGGATGGCCCTTGGAGGTCCCTTCCAACTCTAGGATTCTATAAAGCCGCACCCGTAGTATAGGATGGGGCCTTGGGGGAAAAGTAAAGGGCCTTTGAGGCCAGATGGGAGGAGAGGGGGCACCTTGGCGCTCTTTGGTACCCAAGGATGCAGCCGGAGGGATGCCCTTCTCCATCCTTTCTGCCCGATGGCCGCCCGGGAGGCCCAGCCCTTTTGCAGGCATCCAGCCAAAGCACTGCGGAGGCTGCGGGCAGGGAAGGAAAGGGGAGAGGAACCCAAGGGTTGGTGTTTCTCCTGATGTCCCCTATATTGGGCAAAGAGGGACATCATATTGATGTAAACAAGAGCAGAGGGTCTGGGTTCAGAAGGAAAACAAAAAGGGGATGGATTGGAAAGACCATCTAGGGGCATGCCAACCCTCCAATGTTGGTAGAGAATGGGGCAATAGAGATGGCAAGGACCCTTCCCCAAGCCCAGCCCAAGATGACCAAGGGACTCACCTGTTTATCTTCTTCTGTCTCAGTCTCTCCTTCTCTGTTGGCTTTGCTGCAGGGCTTGGTCTGCCTGCCCAGCTGGTGCTGCAGCCAGGAAAGCAGGGGAGGGGGGGGGACCAAGCCCAGGCGGGGAGGAGGAGCTGGCAGGCACAGATGCCAGGCCCCCCCTCTTTAACCCTTCCCGTGCCAACATGGAAAACACTGGGGCTTGACAGAGCTGGGACTGCGCTTTGAAGGTCAAAAAGGCTGGCATAGATCCTCCATGGCAGGGGTTCTCAACCTTCCTCATGCCACGACCCCTTAATACAGTTCCTCGGGTTGTGGTGACCCCCCAACCATAACATTGGATGCTTGCCATACATGCAGGCGAAACGTCAGGAGGAAATGCCTCTAGACCATGGCCATATAGCCCGAAAAAACCTACAACAACCCAACCACAACATTATTTTCATTGCTACTTCACATTTTCACTTTGCTACTGTTATGAATCGTCATGTAAATACCTGATCTGCAGGATGGATTTTCATTCACTGGACCCAATTTGGCACAAATGCCCGATATGCCCATATTTGAATACTGGTGGGGATGGGTGGGATTGATTTTGTCATTTGGGAGTTGTAGTTCATAGAATCATAGAATCCTAGAGTTGGACGAGACCTCATGGGTCATCCAGTCCAATTCCCTGCCAAGAAGCAAGAAAATTGCATTCAAACCAAGGCAGAATAGAGCATGGGGAGCATGACTTCCCTGGATCTAGACACTAGTTGCTGGGATTTATAGTTCGCCTACCATAAAAGAGTATTCTGAACTCCGCCAGTGATGGAATTGAATCAAACTTGGCACAAAGACCTCCCATGGCCAACAGAAAATACTTGGGAGGGTTTGGTGGGCATTGACCTTGAGTTTGGGAGTTGTAGCTCACCTACATACAGAGAGCACTGTGGACTCAAGCAAAGGCAGATTTGGACCAAACTTGGAACGGATACTCAATATGCCCAAATCTTAATGTAAATATCTGATATGCAGAACGTATTTTCATTAACTGGACCCAATTTAGCGCAAATGCCCGATATGCCCATATTTGAACAATGGTGGGGATGGGTGTGATTGATTTTGTCATTTGGGAGTTGTAGTTCATAGGATTATAGAATCCTAGAGTTGGACGAGACCTCATGGGCCATCCAGTCCAACCCCCTGCCAAGAAGCAAGAAAATTGCATTCAAATCAAGGCAGAATAGAGCATGGGGAGCATGACTTCCCTGGATCTAGACACTAGTTGCTGGTATTTATAGTTCGCCTACCATCAAAGAGCATTCTGAACTCTGCCAACGATGGAATTGAACCCAACGTGGCACACAGGACTCCCATGACCAACAGAAAACACTAGAAGGGTTTGGTGGGCATTGATCTTGAGTTTGGGAGTTGTAGTTCACCTTCATCCAGAGGGCACTGTAGACTCAAACAATGGTGGATGTGGACCAAACTTGGCATGAATACTCAATATGCCCAAATGTGAACACAGTTGGAGTTTGGGGGAAATAGACCTTGACATTTGGGAGTTGTAGCTCCTGGGATTTATAGTTTGTCTATCATCAAAGAGCATTCCGAACTCCACCAATGATAGAATTGAACCAAACTTGGCACACAGTTCTCCCATGACCAACAGAAAATACTGGAAGGGTTTGGTGGTCATTGATGTTGAGTTTTGGAGTTGTAGCTCATCTACATCCAGAGAGCACGGTGGACAGATTTGGAACAAACTAGGAACTGATACTCAATATGCCCAAATGTGAACAAAGGTGGAGTTTGGGGAAAATAGACCTTGACATTTGGGAGTTGAGGCTGCTGGGATTCATAGTTTGCCTACCATCAAAGAGCATTCTGAACCCCACCAACAATAGAATTGAACCCAACGTGGCACACAGGACTCCCATGGCCAACAGAAAATCCTGGAAGGGTTTGGTGGGCATTGATGTTGAGTTTGGGAGTTGTAGTTCACCTACATCCAGAGAGCACTGTGGACTCACAATGACAAATTTGGACCAAACTAGGAACGGATACTCAATATGCCCAAATGTGAACACTGGTGGAGTTTGGGGAAAATAGACTTTGACATTTGGGAGTTGTAGTTGCTGGGATTTATAGTTCACCTACAGTCAAATTTATTTATCATGTCAGTTAGGGGGAAATAGACCTTGACATTTGAGAGTTGTAGTTGCTAGGATTTATAGTTCACCTACAATCAAAGAGAACTCTGAACTCCGCCAACGATGGAATTGAACCGAACTTGGCACACAGTTTGGTCCAGATCCATCGTTTTTTGAGTCCATAGTGCTCTCTGGTTGTAGGTGAACTACAATTCGAAAACTCAAGGTCAGTGCCCATCAAAGTCTTCAAATATTTTCCCATGGCCAACAGAAAATACTGGGAGGATTTGGTGGTCACTGACCTTGAGTTTTAGAGTTGTAGTTCACCTACATCCAGAGAGCACTGTGGACTCAAACAATGAGAGATTTGGACCAAACTAGGAACGCATACCCAATATGCCCAAATGTGAACACTGGTGGAGTTAGGGGAAAATAGACCTTGACATTTGGGAGTTGTAGTTGCTGGGATTTATAGTTCACCTATAATCAAAATGCATTTGACCAATCTATCCTTTAATGCGTTTTGCATATTGATCCCCTCCCCCCAAAAATGAGATTAGAGGTACCTATGTTGTTGCTTATAGAATCGGAAGAGACCTCGTGGGTCATCCAGTCCAACCCCCCGCCAAACGCGCCTGTGATGGTGGTGGGATCGAGAGCAGGGCCTCCCCAGAAGATCTTTGTTTCCGCAGTGGATCATAAAGGGAGATCCGTTCAGACAGGTAAACAGAGACCTCATGGGTCATCCAGTTCAACCCCCGGCAAACGCACCAGTGATGGTGGCGGGACCGAGAGCAGGGCCTCCCCAGATCTTTGTGGATCGTAAAGGGAGATGCATTCAGACAGGTAATCTGGGCCGGTGCTGTTTAGGGCTTTATAGGCCAAAACCAGCACTTTGAATTGTGCTTGATAGCAAACTGGCAGCCAGTGGAGCTGGCATAACGTGGGAGTTGTATGCTCCCTGTATATTATTAACCTGGCTGCCTCTCATCGGAGTATTTGAAACTTCCGAACAGTCTCCAAAGGCAGCCTCATGTAGAGCGCGTTGCAGTAGTCTATCCTGGATGTAACAAGTGGCCAAGCCTGACTTTCCAAGGAGTGGGCGCAGCTGGTGCACAACAGAGACCTCTCAATCTCTGAGGATGCCTGCCATAGATGTGGGTGAAATGTCAGGAGAGAATGCTTCTGAGCCACGGCCAGACAGCCTGAAAAAAATCACAGCAACCCAACTAACAGTTGGATCCATGCTCAGCGATGAGTCCAAGCTGCGAACCTCCATCTTCAGGGGGGAGCGTAACCCCATCCAGCACGGGCCATAATACCCTGTTTGGCCTTGCGACTGACCAGGAGGACCTCTGTCTTGTCAGAATTCAACTTTAGTTTGTTAACCCTCATCCAGACTGTCTGAGCACTTCCTACTCTCATGTAACACCTATCACTACACACAGGGACTGGTTTTGAAATAATTTATTGCTCCTGCTTCTTCTATTCCGAATACATTCAGTTGTGGCGCATGGCTTACCAGAGACATACAGACCCGAGACATGCCATGGTTTCACCTTACATACACATTCCCACTTAAACCTGTGAAAGATGGGGGTGAGGTAGGTTGGCACAACCATATTGATTTCTGGAGGTCCGCCAGCTTCTTCCGTTTGCATCGGACAAAAAAGAAGAGAAACTCTACCAAACTCGTTCTTTTCCTAAGATGTATTGTGCGTGAATGAGAGAAGGCACGAATCCCCTAACAGAGATGCACTTCTCATCATAGTACTACTAAAATACTCTCCATTTACAATGCAGAAAAACAGGACTTGGGAAAGTTATGGTTTTGGACTGCAACTCATAGACTCCTCTAACTAACTGTTAGTTGGGTTGCTGTGAGTTTTCCAGGCTGTCTGGCCGTGCTCCAGAAGCATTCTCTCCTGACATTTCACCAACATCTATGGCCGGCATTCTCATAGATTGAGAGGTCTCTGTTGGAAACTAGGCAAGTGGGGTTTATATTATCTGTGGGATGTCTAGAGTGGGAGAAAGAACTCTTGTGAGTGTTGCAATTGGCCACCTTGAGAAGCATTTAATTCCAGACAAGAATCAATCAGGGCCAGCCAACAGCTCCCAACAAAGGATTCCCCCAGACTTTGTAGCTGGTTGTTGTCTGGGGGAATCCTTTGCTGGGATATGTTAGCTGGCACTGATTGATTCTTGTCTAGAGTCCCCCTGTGTTGCTATTTATTTACTGTCCTGATTTTAGAGTTTAGCTAACACCTCCCAACAAAGGATTCCCCCAGGCAGCAACTAGCCAGGCTTTGAAGCTACAAGGCTATTAAGTGCTAAGGGTGGTCCATTACAACATTCACACAGACAAGAGTCCTTTCTCCCACCCTGGACCATCTCTGATTGTTTCCTGTGTGGAATTCCCCTGATTTCTGAGTGTTGCTCTTTATTTACTCTCCTGATTTTAGAGTTTAGCTAACACCTCCCAACAAAGGATTCCCCCAAGCAGAAAGCAACCAGGCTTTTTAGCTGGCTGTTGCCTGGGGGAATCCTTTGCTGGGAGGCATTAGCTAGCCCTGATTGATTCTTGTCTAGAGTTCCCCTGTGTTGCTCTTTATTTACTGTCCTGATTTTAGAGTTTAGCTAACACCTCCCAACAAAGGATTCCCCCAAGCAGGAAGCAACCAGGCTTTGTAGCTGGTTGTTGTCTGGGGGAATCCTTTGCTGGGAGGTGTTAGCTAGCCCTGATTGATTCTTGACTAGAGTTCCCCTGTGTTGCTCTTCATTTACTGTCCTGATTTTAGAGTTTAGCTAACACTTCCCAACAAAGGATTCCCCCAGGCAGCAACATGTGCAATTACAATTTGGAATGGCTATGGTATTCAATTTCTGGATTATGAGATTTTAATGTTTATACTAGGATAATTTATAATTTTATGCTTGTCTGAATGTTTAAACTTTATGTATGTCTTATGTTTAATGGTTTTTAATACATTTTAAGTTCATAGTTATATGTACTATGAACTTGTAACTATGTTCATATGTAGTAATTAGTTATGCTTTTTGTATGTACTGTATGTCGGCACTTAATCTTTGCCATTAGTATGTTGTAATCTGCCTTGAGTCCCCCCAGAAGTGGTATATAAATACAGTAAATAAATAAACCAGCCAGGCTTTGAAGCTGCAAAGCCATTAAATGCTAATCCAGATGGCCAATTGCAACATTCCCACTTGTCTCAGACAGACAAGAGTTCTTTCTCCCACTCTGGACATTATTCCACAGATATATAAACCTCACTTGCCTAGTTTCCAACAGACCTCACAGATGTGGGTGAAATGTCAGGAGAGAATGCTTCCGGAACATGGCTATACATCCCGGAAAACTCACAGCAACCCAGTGATTCCGGCCATCAAAGCCTTCGACAACACATTAACTGTTAGTTGTAGTTATTTGTTTCTTTTCTAAACTCTAAGAGAAAAGTCGAATATAAATAAAGTATTATTATTATTACTATTATTATTATTATTATTATTATAAGTCGTTCTCCTTGGGTGAGGTTTAAAAAATATTTTGAAAGGATGTGAATGGCAAGAAGGCAAACCCAAAGGAACCTGATGGCAAATATCAAATTATTCAATCATCATAATCATCAGCATGAATGCAACAGTGAAAGGGGTATAAGTACAGTAAATAATAATAATAATAATAATAATAATAATAATAATAATAATAATATGGTTTGAATTGTGAATTCTTAAAGAACGCTAGGAGTATGTAACATGCCAAGCCCAAGGAGTTATTTCCAGGTTACTTGGCCTTGGGAAAGTTATGGGAGCGAAACAGGCTCTTTAAACCTTTGTGGTGCAAAATACTTTTCGAAAACTCACACAGATTGAACCAGGAAGCAACCTGAAAGAAAGCAAGAGCTGCATCCCGAGAACCGTTTTGGGCCATTGCTCAGCTTCCACCAGCCCCTTTTTCACGAGCCCGAAATATCCAAAGACGCCCGTTAACTGGCAACTAAAGTCCTGCAGAAAACAAAACCACACAGACAACTACGGACCGGCTTTCTTTCCGATGGCCAGCCGGTCATTTCTGCCTCTTGTAGATCAATTGGGCAAGGCCAAGGAAGATCTGGCCGGGCAGGCGGATGGCGTGCTGGGAAATGAGGCCCAACAAGCGCTGGTAGCTGCTCTCCTCGTAGTTCTGGTACACCGTTTTCAGGTCCAACTCCTCATAGAGCTGTTTGACCCGTTCCACCTTCTCTGGGTCTTTCTGTCCATAATTGGCCTGGGAAGACAAAGAGAATTTGGAGATTAGACCAAACTTGACAAACTTTGGAAAGGACAAGGAAAAGGACAAGGCAGAGATTAGACCAAACTTGACAAACTTTGCCTTGTCCTTTTGCTTCAAATCCTTCAAAACACAAGCGATGAAGATGGAGAATAAAGTTGGGGCAATAACACATCCCTGTTTGACGCCTGATTCCACCTTAAATGGGTCACTTTGGAAGCCATTGCTGTCCAAGACTGTTGCCATCATGTCATCATGGAGGAGCCGCAGGATGTTCACAAATTTGTTAGGGCACCCGATTTTTTGGAGGATGGTCCAGAGAGCACTGCGATTCACTGTGTCGAATGCCTTTGCAAGGTCGATGAATGCCATGTACAGAGGTTGATTTTGTTCCCTGCATTTTTCTTGGAGCTGTCGTGCAGTGAAGATCATGTCCACAATTCCTCTGGAGGGGCGGAAGCCGTTCTGGGATTCTGGGAGGGTGTCTTCTGAGAGGGGCAGAAGGCGGTTTGCAAGGATTCTTGCGAGGATTTTCCCAGCGGAGGTTAGAAGGGAGATACCTCGATAGTTTCCGCAGTCTGTTCTTTCCCCTTTTTTGAAGAGGGTGATGATGGTGGCATCCTTGAAATCTGCTGGGATTTTCTCGGTCACCCACATTGTTGTGTCAGCTCAGGTCCTCCCTCTTTAACGATTTCATATACATACAATATAGTAAATATACATACAATATATTTAATTATTTTACCTCGAGAACCTGCTTCTGTTCTGCCGAGACTCGCTTCAAGCACTGCACCACCAGCCAACTGCACTTGTTGTCCTCGATGTCTGTCCCAACCTTCCCCGTTACAGCTGGGTCACCAAAGCAGTCCAGGAAATCGTCCTGCGGGAAGAAGGAACAGAGAGCTTGCTTCTCACGTTTGCAGGCAACACCAAAATTGGGAGGGATGGCTAACACCCCGGAGGACAGGATCGGGATAGAAAAAGACCTTCACTGGTTAGAGAGCCGAGCCAGAACGAAGCAAATGAGAAATGGAAGTACAGACAACTCCTGAGGTATGAATATAGATAAGTTCTGTAGGTGTGGAATGCCTTTAAACAGAGTCTGGATGGCCATCTGTCAGGGGTGCTTTGAATGTGATTGTCCTGCTTCTTGGTAGGGGGTTGGACTGGTATGAATACCAGTCCATGACCCCGCCCACTTCCTCTCCCTTAACCCTTTCCTATAGTGAGTACCGTGAACATGTCCAAAGGCCCTGCCAATGTCCTTGTCAGGAGGCAATTTCTGACGGCATGAAGACATCACAAATTCCCTCCGTGACATTCTGACTGAATCATCCTGGCTGAATCAGTTCTCTCTCTGTGACATTTTCAAGCCAGCTGAGGGCACTGTAAACCTTGTATTGGAACTTGTGATGCAACAAGATCTAAGAAGGAAACTGAGAAGAGTGGGGAGATGGGCAGGAAAGGTGTATAAAAGGAAGTGGTGGTGGGAAAAAGTCAGTAGTGTCTTTCTTTGCTGCAGAGATACAAGCAATATATCCATTTCAAAGCAAAACCGGCTTGTGAGTAGTTATTTAATATTGCTATATAGATCCTACAATCTGACAGTCCTCCACAAACACAAGACTGCCCACCACCCAAGTCAAAGCTTTCATACAGGGACAATGTCACCCTAGATTTTCTGTATTTATTTATATATAAGCTGTCCCCTGCCACGCGTTGCTGTGGCCCAGTCTGTTGATATGGAAAATAAAGTAATGAGAAATATATGTAATTTCTTTATGCTTGTAAACAGTATTTCTTTGTCAGTGTTGATGTGGAGATGGTCTGGTAGGCCTACTCTGGAACATGCAACATATCATTGTTCTTCTTTAGGGGTCCCTTTCAAATCTATGATACTATATCTCTTTGTGTGAATCATATCTATCTATCTATCTATATATCTATCTATCTATCTATATCTATGGCTGGGCTCTTTGTCATGAGGACTTTGATTACGTTTTCTTTGCCCTGATGAAGGGAGTTGGATTGGATGGCCTTAAGTATTTTCTGTTAGTCATGGGGGTTCTGTATGGGAAGTTTGCCCTGATTCTGTCATTCGTGGGGTTCAGAATGCTCTTTGATTGTAGGTGAACTGTGAATCCCAGTGACTACAACTCCCAAATGTCAAGGTCTATTTTCCCCAAACTCCATTTATGTTCATATTTGGGCGTACTGAGTGCTGGTGTCAAGTTTGGTCCAGATCCACAGTGCTCTCTGGATGTAGGTGAACTACAACTCCCAAACTCAAGGTCAATGCCCACCAATCCCTTCCAATATTTTCTGTTGGTCATGGGAGTTCTGTGTGCCAAGTTTGGTTCAATTCCATCGTTGGTGGGGTTCACAATGCTCTTTGATTGTAGGTGAACTATAAATCCCAGCAACTACAACTCCCAAATGACAAAATCACAACACTCCTTTTGTTGCCAAATTTGGTGTGATTTCGTTCATTGGTTCTTTTGTTTTTAAGGTACTTATTATGCTCAGAGCATTTTTTTTATATATAGATATATGCAATATATATTATTAGCATAGTACAGTATCAGTATTAATTATTACTCTATTGTACTACACCATTATTGTGTAATATTATTAGTAATTTTACATGTAATATAAATATATAATTATAATATATTATTATTAGTAGTGTTATATTGCATTGCATTATAATATTATATTTTTCCTCCACCACAGACATCCCTGTGTTCCTAACTCTCTCCATTGGTGCAGAATTTGCATGACTCCGCCCACTTCCTCTCCCTTAACCCTTTCCTATTCTTTCCTCTGTTTGCACAGCAAACAGAGGAATTGATCAGCAACTAAACATACCAGAGAGGTTTGGGAAGAATTCACCATGATTTATAGTTGTAGGTACTGGGATGTATAGTTCACTTGCAAATTAATGAGCACTCTGAACTCCACCAATGATGGACCTGGAACTAACTTGGCACACAGAACCCCTATGACTAACAAAAAAATACTGGAAATATTTGGAGGGATTTATAGGAGTTGTAGTTCACCTACATCCAGAGCACACTATGAACCCAATGATGGATCTGGACCAGGTATGGATACCCAATATGCCCACATTTGAATACTGGTGGGTTTTGAGGGAAATTGGTCTGGACATTTTGGAGTTGGAGGTACTGGGATTTATAGTTCACCCGCAATCAAAGAGCACTCTGAACTCCACCAAAGATGGAATTGGACCAAACTTGGCACACAAGTTTGGTCCACTCCATGGCTAGCAAAAAATACTGGTGGTCTTTGGGGGAAATTCACCTTGATTTATAGGAATTACAGTTCACCTACATCCAGAGAGCACTGTTAATGCAAACACCGATGGATCTGGACCAAACTTGGCACACATACCTGATATGTTGAAATTTGATTATTGGAGGGGGTTTGGTGGCGGTGGTGGCAGGGGGGGAGGAGGCTGAAATTCCTTTCTGGGAGTTGTAGTTCACCCTCATCCAGAGATACTGTGACCTTCATCGATGACGGGCCTGGACCAAATTTGGCCCACAGAACCCCCATGACTAACTCAATCCCCTAGAGGGGGTTGAAGGGACTAAAATGATCAAGGTTCTGGAGAACAAGCCCTATGAGGAGCGGCCTAAAGATCTGGGCATGTTTAGCCTGAAGAAGAGAAGGTTGAGAGGAGACATGATAGCCATGTATAAATATATGAGGGGAAGTCATAGGGAGGAGGGAGCAAGCTTATTTTCTGCTGCCCTGGAGACTAGGACATGAAACAATGGAATCAAATTACAGGAAAGGAGATTCCACCTGAACACTAGGCAAACTTGTTTTCTGCTTGTTTTCTGCTTCTCTGGAGACTAGGACGCGGAACAATGGCTTCAAACTACAAGAAAGGAGATTCCATCTGAATATTGAGGAAGAACTTCCTGACTGTGAGAGCTGTTCAGCAGTGGAACTCTCTGCCCCGGAGTGTGGTAGATGCTCCTTCTTTGGAAGCTTTTAAACAGAGGCTGGATGGCCATCTGTCAGGGGTGCTTTGAATGCAATTTTCCTGCTTCTTTGCAGAGGGTTGGACTGGATGGCCCACGAGGTCTCTTCCAATTCTATGATTCTATGACTGACTTGCCATAGTGGGAGCTGTAGTTCACTCTACAGCAAGAGAGCACACAGGACCCCACCAATGATGCATCTAGAGCAAACTTGCCCAACACAACACAATTTGAAGTACTGATGGAGCTTCTCGGGGTTAACCTGGCATGATGTGAGTTGTAGTTCACCCACAACCTTATGCATCTAGTACAATTAAAAAGCTGACTTTTTCAAATAACCCGGGCAATGTTGGGTAGCCAAGCTAGTACGAGGGTTGAATGAAAAGTAATGCCTCCACCTTCGTAACTCCTCAACAGATGGCAGTACTGGTATGTGGCAGGTACTGGCTTGTTCAGTAGACTCTCGTCTACAGTTTCATTTTGGGTCCCCAAGCTAATGTGTTTGTGTGTGTGTGTGCATGTGTGTATACACACACACACACACTTTGGATAGCATAAGGAAGACTTAACTCCCCTGTGGTGGTTGTTTTGCTATATGTGCCACTCTTTGGAAGATTTCACTGCACTTCCTGTCCCTTCAATAATTGAATTTTGAAAAAATTGGCTTGTTATGGGAACAAGCATTGTTGACAAAACAACCAATGGACAACCAACATGGTCAAAGGTCTGGAAAGGGTGAGGCAAGAGGAAGAGAAGAAGGCAAAAGGCAAGCTATTACGACACCACTGTGAACCAGTTCTGTGTTGCCTTAGGGAAGCAACCTAACTGCCACTTGTGGGTAGGAAAAAGGGCTCAGGAAATGTCACGTGTATTTAATCCTCGTGGAGTTAACCTTTAGGACAAAAGAGAATCTGAAAAACAGAAAGGCAGAGGAGGAGAAAAATCCAGGGTAAAGGGAAGATGAGTCCAAGATAATATGGTAGTCCCAGCCTACTTTATTATTATTATTATTATTATTATTATTATTATTATTATTATTATTTGAAACACAACAAGATGAGTCCACAGCAGACACTGCTGGCTGTTGAATTAGATCACACGTCAGACAATAATAATAATAATAATAATAATAATAATAATAAATATTATTATTATTATTTGAGACACAACAAGATGAGTACACAGCAAACAAGATCACCATGCTGGCTGTTGTATTGGATCATATGTCGGACATGTGTCTGGGGCTATGTGATGTATTGGCAAATAATGCGTGCAGATCCAAGTAGGGTGGCCTTTTGCACCTGACAGATGATAATTTTATTTATTATTTATTTATATACCGCATTTGTATGCCGCCTTTCTCAGCCCATTTTTGTTAGTGCCAATTGTTTTTAAGTGCTGGCCAAGGTCTTTAGGCACTGCGCCCAGTGTGCTGTTCACCACGGGGTCTACTTTGATTGGCTTGTGCCAGAGTATTATTATTATTTGAAACACAACAAGATGAGTCCACATCAGACACTCAGTCCCACCACCCTCACAGTCGCGTTTGGTGGGGACGAGAGACAGGGCCTTCTCTGTGGTGGCCCCCCGGCTGTGGAACTCTCTCCCCAATGAGGTTAGGTCTGCCCCCTCCCTCCTGAACTTCAGGAAACAATTATTATTATTATTATTATTATTATTATTATTATTATTATTATTATTTGGAACACAACAAGATGTGTCCAAAGCAGACACTCTGCTGGCTGTTGAATTGGATCACACGTTGGACACTTCCCAAGTGTTTATTATTATTATTATTATTATTATTATTATTATTATTATTATTAACACAACAAGATGAGTCCACAGCAAAAAAATATCACTCTGCTGGCTGTTGTATTGGATCATACGTCGGACACTTTCCAAGTGTGTATTATTATTATTATTATTATTATTATTATTATTATTATTATTAGAAACACAACAAGATAAGTCCACAGCAAGTGTCTAGGCCTGTGTGATGCATCGACGAATAATGCATGCAGATCCCAGTAAGGTGGCCTTTTGCAGCTGGCAGATGGTAATTTTGTCAGCGTTGATTGTGTTTAAGTGCAGGCCAAGGTCTTTAGGCACTGCACCCAGTGTGTGTGCTGATCACCACTGGGACCATCTTTACTGGTTTGTGCCAGAGTCTTTGCAGTTTGATTTTTAAAACCTCATATCGTGTCAGCTTATTATTATTATTATTATTATTATTATTATTATTATTATTAGGTAAAGGTAAAGGTTTTCCCCTGACATTAAGTCCAGTTGTGTCCAACTCTGGGGTGTGGTGCTCATCTCCATTTCTAAGCCGAAGAGCCGGCGTTGTCCATAGACACCTCCAAGGTCATGTGGCCTGCACGACTGCATGGGGCGCCGTTACCTTCCCGCCGGAGCGGTACCTATAAATCTACTCACATTTGCATGTTTTCAAACTGCTAGGTTGGCAGAAGCTGGGGCTAACAGCAGAAGCTCACGCCTCTCCCCAGATTCAAACCTGCGATCTTTCAGTCCACAAGCTTAGCAGCTCAGTGGTTTAACCCACTGCGCCACCGGGGGCTAAAAATTATTATAATATTTATTTATTTATACCTCGCTTTTTCTCCCCACATTAAAAGCATTTCAGTACAATTTAAAATCCACAAATACATATTTATAAAATCAGTTAAAATCAATAAATACATATACACTCCGTTCCCATCCCTTGGCAAACAAAGAAGAGGGAGAAGATATACCTGGATCTGGAAGAATTCCCCCATCTCTAGTAAGATGGTCCTGGCATGGGAATGTTCTTCCTCACTATCGATGCCAACCTAGAAAAGGAAAAGCAACACGTAAACAATGGCTGGCACTCCCAGCCTCACTCAGTTGCTTTAAATGGCAACATGCATTGCTTCAGTTATGTAAAATCACTCTTTGGATATATTCTTTGCTGACCACCTTTTTCACATGCCCATGCTTGATAGTGCCCAACTGTAGTATGCCCAGATATTTATAGGCTTCAGTCTGCATTTTATGGTTTGTCCGTTTGGCATCTCTATGCCCTCACTGTGAGTAATTTTCCCTTTCTTTAATGCCACTGTGGCACATTTGTCAAGGCTGAACTCCATACTGATGTCAGTGCTGAAGATTCTGACTGTGTTGGTCAGCGACTCGGTTTCTGTTTCTGATTTTCTGTAAAGCTTGAGATCATCCATGTACAGCAAGTGGGACATTTTTGGTGATTTTCGTGCTGTTTGGTAGCCCAGGTTTGTTTTCTGTAGAATAACTGACAGAGGGATCAGTGCAATGATGAGTCACCCTGGAAAATTCCTCTCTTGATGTTAACAGTTCCATAGCTTTCGTTTCCCACGAACAACTCGGTTTTCTATTGCTCTTAATGAGACATGCCGCATTATCACGGGGTGTCTGCACCCTACATCACTGGAGAAATTCACTTGCTGAGGTGTTCCAGCAAGTGTCTCTGTAGATCTTAGAAAACTATTTCTTGATTTAAGTCGTTGACGTGCTGGCTGATACCCAAACAAGGGATGAGCTGGAGATGTCTCTGCCTTGGTCCTTTCACTATTGGCTGCTACTTCCCGGCGGATGTCAGGTGGTGCAATACCAGCTAGGCAGTGTAATTTCTCCAGTGGTGTAGGGCGCAGACACCCGTGATAATGCGGCATGTCTCATTAAGAGCCACATCCACTGTTTTAGTGTGGTGAGATGTGTTCCACACTGGGCATGCATACTCAGCAGCAGAGTAGCACAGCGCAAGGGCAGATGTCTTCACTGTGTCTGGTTGTGATCCCCAGGTTGTGCCAGTCAGCTTTCGTATGATATTGTTTCTAGCGCCCACTTTTTGCTTGATGTTCAGGCAGTGCTTATTGTAGGTCAGAGCATGGTCCAGAGTGGCTCCCAGGTATTTGGGTCATCATCATCATCATCATAGTAATAAAAATAATATTTTTCTCTTCTAGAGCATCATTACCATTCCCCTTAGCACCTTTCAGCAGTTGAACAAGGTCTTGTTTGGTGTCAAAAGGCATTTCAGAAATAATCTTTAATCTTCTTAAAACCTTGGGGCTTCTGTTGATCTTTGCTTTTGAAACACACCTGACTTTGATGATAATCCTGTTACCTTTTGCCATTTTGGCAGGACGTGTGCATAAGCCGCTTAACAAAAATGTGTGCCTGTAAGATTCCACAGCTAGCGACATACCCATTCCAGATAGAGATACATAACCCTAGCAGAGTTATCGTCTTAGACTGGATACGTTAAAGCCATTCTGTGTTCAATAAAGAGGGGATCAAGCTCTCAGACTATCACAATAACACAATAACACAAAGTCCAAAGCCCCCCAAGAAAGAAATCCCCAATGATGGAGGGACCCCTTACTCACCATGTACATAGCAGCTGCCACTGGGAGGTAGAAGGAGTAGAACGCCGTCTTGTATTTTACAATTGCCTTGTACCTGTCAAAGCAAATCAGCACCAAAAACGGTTTATATAAAAAGCTCCCTTCGCTTTGTAACCTCCCACAAAAGCTTCAACCCTTCTCTGTGATACTCCGTTCCAGTTCAAGAAGTTGGGAAAGTTACTATTTTGGACTACAGTATCCCAAATCCCCAAGCCATCCTCTTTTAATAATAATCTATATAAATAAAAATGTAATGTTCGTTTGTGGGATTCACAGAATTCAAAAACCCCTGGATGAATTGGCGCCAAATTTGGACACAAGACACCTAACAACCCAATGTATGTCCTTCACTCAAAAATAATTGATTTTGTCATTAGGGGGAAATAGACCTTGACATTTGAGAGTTGTAGTTGCTGGGATTTATAGTTCACCTACAATCAAAGAACATTCTGAACCCCACCAATGATGGAATTGAACCAAACTTGGCACACAGTTCTCCCATGACCAACAGAAAATCCTAGAAGGGCTTGGTGGTCATTAACCTTGAGTTTGGGACTTGTAGTTCACCTACATCCAGAGTGCACTGTGGACTCACACAATGATGGAGCTGGACCAAACTTGGCACAAGCACTCAGTACGCCCAAATATGAATACAATGATGGACCAAACTTGGCACGAATATTCAATATGCCCAAATGTGAACACTGGTAGAGTTTGGGGAAAATAGACCTTGACACTTGGTAGTTGTAGTTGCTGGGATTTATAGTTCACATACAATCAAAGAACATTCTGAACTCCACCAACGATGGAATTGAACCAAACGTGGCACACAGTTCTCCCATGACTAACAGAAAACACTAGAAGGGTTTGTTGGACATTGATGTTGAGTTTCGGAGTTGGAGTTCACCTACATCCAGAGAACACTGTGGACACAAACAATGATGGATCTGGACCAAACTCTACACGAATACTCAATATGCCTAAATGTGAACACTGGTGGAGTTTGGAGAAAATAGAATCTTGACATTTGGGAGTTGTAGTTGCTGGGATTTATAGTTCACCTACAATTACAGAGCATTCTGAACCCCACCAACGATGGAATTGGGCCAAACCTCCCACACAGAACCCCCATGTGAGCCACAGCAACGCATAGCAGGGAATGCTAGTAATAAATAAAACTATACCGCTCTATCTCCCTGAGCATCTTGTTTTTTGTGAATCCAAAATGTGGGATCTCAGCTCTCAAATCATATCTCAACCTGTCTCTTGGGCTGGAGTGAATCGGGAAACAAGGCCCTCGAAGAAGATAGGAATGTCTCCTTCAGTCCCAGCTCCAAAGGCAGAGAGGATGAGAGTCATCGTTGAAGACATCGCCAATCGATTCTTACCTCTCTTCTGTGAAGCTGTCCAGATCTATTGGAGGGGCGCTGATGAGGTCAAGAGTTTGGCCCAGTTCCGTCTGATACGTTGTCTGGGGAGAAAAGGAAGAGCGGAGGGCACATTGGGAGGAATTCACAACAAGGGGAAAAAATAGAAATCAAAGATACGTCGCCCAACAGATGTGTTTCCATCCTAAGGCAAGATTCCCCCCCTTCCTCTCTTCTCCCGCCCTCCTTCCTAGGTTCTCTCTCCCTCCCTCTTCTTCCGTTCTTCCTATGTTCACCCTCCTTCCTGTCTTTCTATCATCATTATCCATCCTTCCTTCTTATGTTCTCCCTCCTCCTACTGTCTTCCTTCTTCCTTCCTATGTTGTTCCTCCCTTTATTTCTTCCTCCCGCCTTCCTTTCTTTTTCTTCTCCGTTTCCTTCCTATATTCTTCCTCCTTCCTCTCTGTTCTCCCTCCCTTTCTTCCTTTCTCCTTCCTTGCTATGTTCTCCCTAACTCCTTCCTTCCTCTTTCCTTCCTATGTTCTCCCTCCCTCCTTCCTTTTCCTCCTTCCTTCCTATGTTCTCCCTCTCCTTCCATCCCTCTTTCCTATGTTCACCCTCCTTCCTGCCTTTCTATCATCTTTCTCCTCCCTCCCTTCCTTCATGTTCTCCCTCCTTCCTTCTTTCCTTCCTTTTTAGTCTTCTTCCTTCCTATGTTCTCCCTCCCCTTATTTCTTCCTCCCACCTTCCTTTCTTTTTCTTCTCCCTGTTTCCTTTCTATATTCCCCCTCCCTCTTTCTCCTTCCTTCCTTTTCTCCCCCTCCCTTTCTTCCTTCTTCCTTGCTCTTCCTCCCTGTTCCTCCTTCCTGTTCTCCCTCCCTTCCTTCCTTCCTCCTTCCTTACCATGTGCTCCCTACTTCCTTCCTTCCTTCTTCTTCTTTCTCTTTCCTTCCTGTTCTCCCTCCCTTCCTTCCTCCTTCCTTGCTATGTTCTCCCTACCTCCTTCCTTCCTTCTTCTTCTTCCTCATTCCTTCCTATATTCTCCTTCCCTTTCTCCCTTTCTTCTTACTTCCTATGTTCTTCTTCCTTTTCTTCCGTCTTCCTCTTTCCTTCCTATGTTCTCCCTCCTTCCCTCCTTTCTTAAGTTTAAATACAGAGAGAAGGTAATCATTGCACTGAGTTGGGATGAGACTCTGCCAATCTAGGAGAGAAGTAGAGGAGGAGGATATCCAATTCCCACGGAAGTGTTCCAAGTCCAAGCCCTCGAGGCATGCTGGATCTTGAGGAAACCCACCTGAAGGAACAGCTCCAATAGGTTCAGGTAATACGGCTGACTGCGGCAGTGTCGCTTCAGCAACCGGTAGATGCTCGACTCCAGCAAAAAGGAGTCGTTCACTGCTGCCAAGCCAACTCCTTCCTGCGGAGATGAGAAAAATGACAGTATATTCCTATGTATGTATAAAGGTGTTTTGGATAATACAATATCTGTTATAATGTAATATATAATGTAATAGAGTCTGGAGAACAAGCCCTATGAGGAGTGGCTGAAAGAGCTGGGCATGTTTAGCCTGAAGAAGAGAAGGCTGAGAGGAGATATGATAGCCATGTATAAATATGTGAGAGGAAGCCACAGGGAGGAGGGAGCAAGCTTGTTTTCTGCTGCCCTGGAGACTAGGACGCAGTGGAACTACAAGAAAGGAGATTCCATCTGAACATTAGGAAAAACTTCCTGACTGTGAGAGCCGTTCAGCAGTGGAACTCTCTGCCCCGGAGTGTGGTAGGGGCTTCTTCTTTGGAAGCTTTTAAACAGAGGCTGGATGGCCATCTGTCAGGGGTGATTTGAATGCAATATTCCTGCTTCTTGGCAGGGGTTGGACTGGATGGCCCATGAGGTCTCTTCCAACTCTATGATTCTATGATTGACATCTCCACCCCACCCTCTGTTCAGAAATCAGTCAGCATGTCAATGCCTGAAAAAAATAGTTTTCTAAAATCTACAGAGATATTCGCAGGAACACCTCAGCAAGCAAGAGTCCAAAAGTGGCAGGGTAAAACTTGGAACCTCTGTCAGTGGCTGAGTTCGGAGGAGAGACTCCTTCCTGGGCACACAGAAGAGTGGACAACCTGCACCACAGGATGCAGAGCCAACCTTAAGAAATAGGGCTCCAAAGTGGAGTCCACGACATGCGAGTGTGCAGGAGAGCAAACCATAGACTTACTACAATGCAACCTGAGCACTGCCACATGCACAAAGGAGAACCTTCTTACAGCAACAAGTGGCCAGCTTTTGCTCAAAGGATATTTAGGATCATGCCAAGTTTTTAACTTAGTTTGTGGTTTTTCTATATATTATAACTGTAATATTAATTAGCTTTTGACACAATAAATAAAAAAGTGAGAGAGAGTGCCTTGTCTGCAACTTGGAGGATTCTTTCCCCCGGGAAGCGGGTTGCTTAGCCCACTGTCTTCTTTGTTGCAAAATGTGTTCCTCTTTGGGTGTGACTGAAACACTTTGATGTTTGTTTTGTTGTGTAGGTTTTAATCTGTGGCATTGCTTTACCTTTTTATACCTTATGATACCATAAACTACCGCCACCTCCTGAGAAAAATGTATAATATCACAAAGGTCTACCGTCTCACCCGCCTCATAGGAAACCTGCTACAAAACAGGAGCTTTTTTGTTGAGTTCCAGGGCCAGAGAAGCAGATGGCGGAAACAGAAGAACGGCCTGCCTCAGGGGAGCGTGCTTGCTCCATCCATGCTCAACATCTACACAAATGACCAGCCACTGCCAGAAGGGACAGAGAGCTTCATCTATGCTGATGATCGTGCCATCACCACTCAAGCAGGGAGCTTTGAGATGGTTGAACAGAAGCTCTCCGAAGCTCTAGGTGCTCTTACTGCCTATTACAGGGAAAACCAGCCGATCCCTAATCTATCTAAAACACAGACATGTGCTCTTCAGACAAGCATCCCGAGCTCTGAGGATGATTACCTGGGAAGGAATCCCACGGGAGCATTGCAGCGCACCCAAATCCCTGGGAGGAGTAACTCTGGACCGTGCTCTGACCTACAAGAAGCACTGCCTGAATATCAAGCAAAAAGTGGGTGCTAGAAACAATATCATACGAAAGCTGACTGGCACAACCTGGGGATCACAACCAGATACAGTGAAGACATCTGCCCTTGCGCTGTGCTACTCTGCTGCTGAGTATGCATGCCCAGTGTGGAACACATCTCACACTAAAACAGTGGATGTGGCTCTTAATGAGACATGCCGCATTATCACGGGGTGTCTGTGCCCTCCAACACTGGAGAAATTACACTGTTTAGCCGGTATTGCACCACCTGACATCTGCGGGAAGTAGCAGCCAGTAGTGAAAGGACCAAGGCAGAGACATCTCCAGCTCATCCCTTGTTTGGGTATCAGCCAGCACGTCAACGACTTAAATCAAGAAATAGTTTTCTAAGATCTACAGAGACACTCGCTGGAACACCCCAGCAAGCGAGAGTCCAAAAGTGGCAGGCTCAAACCCAGAACCTCAATCAATGGCTGATCCAAATGAGAGACTCCCCCCTGGGCACACAGAAAACTGGGCGACTTGGAAGGCGCTGAACAGACTGCGCTCTGGCACCACGAGATGCAGAGCCAACCTCAAGAAATGGGGTCAGAAAGTGGAATCCTCGACATGCGAGTGTGGAGAAGAGCAAACTACAGATCACGTGCTGCAATGCAACCTGAGCCCTGCCACATGCACAAGGGAGGACCTCCTTGCGGTAACACCAGAGGCACTCCAAGTGGCCAGATACTGGTCAAAGGACATTTAGTCAACTACCAAGCTTGCAAATTCTGTTTTTTGTCTGTCTGTTTGTTTGCTTTTGTTAAAAATGTAATACAAATGTCTGGTTGCTAATGACACGATGACACGATAAATAAATACCTTTTTATACCAGCAAGGTTGCCCCCGTCGTGTCAGGGAGTCGTCCATGATGTCGTCAGCCACCAAGAAAAAGGCCTGGAGCTGCAACCAAATCCAGCAACGTTGTCAAAACAGTCATTTTTAAATAACTTTTGTGATATATTCAACGTAGTGACATGAAACACAATGGCATACAAGCGAGAAAGCGCTAGAAACAACAGAAATGGACAAACTGTCGCGTTTGAGAAAAGAGAACGAGATAGACAGCTTTTTAAAGACTGGGGACCTTTTATAACTCAGTTCCAAAAGAAAAGAGAACACAATGTGTGGGTATAAATGAAATGGGTGAATGAATCATTTTCGAGACACCATTCTGAAGATTAAGCCCTCCAGTGATTAAACCATTAACTACTTACTTGATGAATTGTAATTAAAACCTGATAATGAGAATTGAAATGGTTGACTTGCCCTAGTAAACTGTGATAAGAACTTTGACGATGATTAACTGTTGACCTTTTGGGGGGGAAACAATGTCTTTACATTATCAGAGACAATGGCCCTTTAAGGGAATGTTTACAAGGTTCCTTACATTAAGAAGGAAGTCAACACAAGGCTCCAACACCAATTCAGCAAAGTCAACATCTGCCAGGATGTTTCAGGCTAGAAAAGGTACACGATCTGTCTCCTTCCCAAGAGAAAGAGCGGTGGGTGGGCCAAACTCCTCCAGTCTGCCACAATTTTTGGATTGTAATGAGGTCTCTTATATACCGTACCTTGGGAAGTCTGATCTGGCCACAATGGTCCACGCTCTTGTTACATCCCGAATAGATTACTGCAACGCGCTCTACATGGGGTTGACTTTGAAGACTGTTCGGAAATTTCAGTTAGTCCAACGGGCGGCAGCTAGATTAATCACCGGAGCGTCATACAGGGAACATACCACCCCTCTGTTATGTCAGCTCCACTGGCTGCCGATCCAGTTCCGAGCACAATTCAAAGTGCTAGTTTTGACCTATAAAACCCTATACGGCTGCGGCCCAGCGTACCTGTCTAAACGCATCTCCTTCTACGTCCCATCTCGGAATTTAAGATCTTCTGGGGAGGCCCTGCTCTCGGCCCCGCCTCTGTCACAAGTGAGATTGGTGGGGATGAGGAGCAGGGCCTTCTCAGTGGTGGCCCGGCCTCACCTCTATCACAAGTGAGTTTGGTGGGGACGAGGGACAGGGCCTTCTCGGTGGTGGCCCCTCACCTGTGTAATTCACTCCCCGTGGAAATTAGGTCATCAACATCCCTCCTCTCCTTCAGAAGGAAGCTGAAAACATGGATATGGGACCAGGCCTTTGGGTAATCTAGCAGACTGACAAGGTAATGATGACCAGAATCTGGAAAGGACTATGGTAATGCTGAATGGACTTACGGATTTTAGAACTCGGTGAACGTTGGCCACTAGATTGGCTTTTAGTTGTTATTGTATTAATTGAATGTTTTAACTATTGTGGTTATTGCTGTTATGTATTTTATCTGTTGAATTGTTGGCATCGAATTGTGCCGGTTGTAAGCCTCCCTGAGTCCCCCCTGGGGGGTTGAGAAGGGCGGGGTAGAAGTGTCTGAAATAAATAATAAATAAATAAATAAATAGCAATACTTCTTGCTGATGTTGTAAGTGAATGAAAGATGAACATTAGCAAGAAGTATTGCTATATAAGAGACCTCATTACAATCCAAAAATTGGCAGACTGTGGCAGACTGGAGGAGTCTGGCTCACCCGCTGCTCTTTTCCAGACTCCTCCAGTCTGCCACAATTTTTGGATTGTAATGAGGTCTCTTATATAGCAATACTTCTTGCTGATGTTGTAAGTGAATGAAAGGTGAACATCAGCAAGAAGTGTTGCTATATAAGAGACCTCATTACAATCCAAAAATTGCGGCAGACTGGAGGAGTCTGGCCCATCCGTCATTCTTTGTGCAAAAGTGTAATAGAAATAGTCCCAGCATCTTGACAGTCTCTCTTTCTCTCTTTGTTTATATGTTTTGTGTATGTTGTTTATATGCTTATATGTTTTATACTTTAATGCTATGTTGTTTATTTTTTGTAATTTGTGTTTGGGCTTGGCCTCATGTAAGCTGCCGAGTCCCCATTGGGGAGATGGTGGCGGGGTATAAATAAAGATGATATGTATTATTATTAATAATAATTATTATTATTATTATTATTCTGTGACCAAACAAAGCACAAGGAAACAGATAAAGGGCAATTTTCTGGACCTGGCTCACATTGTTGTTGGGGATTTTGGAAATAAGAAATAAGGAAATAGTCTGATTATGGACTAAAGTGGCCTTAGGCTACGCCTGCCCCAAAATTACCCCTTTCTGGAGGAAGAGACTCACCAGCTCAATGCACCAGCCCACAACCATCGCGCGCTGAAAGCTCTTTGGATCCTGCTGTTCAGGCCCGGCCAGTTCCCTGAAGGCAGACACCACCGTCAGGCCCCGGTTGTACTTCCCGCCAACAGCATTGTATTCCACCACCTGCAGGAGAAACCGACATGGAAATTTTTGCCATGGTGTTGTAAATTATGGCCTGTAAACAACCTATGCAGCCTTCCCTCCCTCCCTTGACAATGCCCAAGGCCTCCCACTGATGCAGAAGCAAGATAAGAAAGATGTCTGAAGGTCTTCTTTCTCCCTTCTCCAGCTCGTTTCCATCATTTGCCTGAGAACAGGGAAGCCCTGGCCCTTGAGTGCTCCAGTTGGAGGCCAGCTGTGACCAGCAGTGCTGCAGAATTTGAAGAGGCACGAATGGAGGGGGAAAGAAACGTGCCAAGAGGAACCCCAACCAGGACCGCCTTCCACCTGGAAACCTTACAGTGGGAGAAGATGCAGATCAAGAATAGGGCTCCACGGTCACCTACGGACCCACTGCGAGGATACTACACTTGGAGGACCATCATCCTCGGACTACGAGGGATCGCCTAAGTAAGTAAGTAAGTTCATCGTTTGCCCGGCCTTCTCCTGGATCCTCATCATGGCAGTGCATTAACCCTCTTTCATTCATCATCTTTCCCTCTGAGGGAGCCTTTCAATCTATAGAGTGCCCTCTTGTGACTGCATCTTGGCACTGCACGCATACATAATTTATTTACGTTTTGGGGGCCCTAGCCCAGAATTGGTCTGGATATTTAATGGAAGGCCCAGAAGTATTTTAAGTTGGATTATGAAGGATATATGTCCCAAGTCTGAGTTAGATCAATCAAGCCATGCACAAGCCTTTGTGGAACAAACATACAAAAATATTTTCTAATATGTGTGCGTGTGTGATACTGATGCTGTTCCTTGCTGTGCCTTTTGACAATGAATGGTAGCTATGGAACATAATAAGGCCAAGGTTTCCCCTGACATCAAGTCCAGTCGTGTCTGACTCTGGGAGTTGGTGCTCATCTCCATTTCAAAGCCAAAGAGCTGGCGTTGTCCATAGACACCTCCAAGGTCATGTGGCCGGCATGACTGCATGGAGCGCCGTTTACCTTCCTGCAGAAGCAATACTTATTGATCTACTCACATTTGCATGCCTTCAAACTGCTAGGCTGGGAGAAGCTGGGGCTAACAGTGGGCGCTCACCCCTGCTCCCCGGATTTGAACTGCTGACCTTTTGGTCAGCAAATGCAGCAGCTGAGCAGTTTAACACTACGGGGCCTTACAAAGGGTCTGTGTCCCAAATTAGGTCCAGATCCATCAAGCCACTGAGAAGCCTTTGTGGAACAAACCTACGTACATATTTGCATGTTTAGATCTAGAGAGATAGAGATAGCTCTCATTGCCAATAGTGAGGACAATAGCAATTGCAACAGAAGTTACTCAATTTAGTGAGAAGTCATTAAACGCCCCCACTCCTGGTCTCTCGTTGAGGGAAAACTCTGAGTGCCTCCTCCGCTAGCCCTTCCTTACCTCTTTCAGGCGGGACACGGCCTCCGATACGTCCTTCTGGTGCAGCTCATCCTCGATCAGATCCTTCACGATTTGGGGAAAAAATGCCACAAAGCGCTCCCGGTCTGTGGCTCCTGCGGCGTGATTCCCATTGCAAGTCATCCTTCCAACTGGGACACAGAACAAACTGAAAGAAAGCCATATCACAGCCTTGAGAGACCGAAAGTCGCCTTCTTAATGTAGGGACATACAATGTACCATGTCCAAAGTGGGACCTATATATAGTGTATATCATGCAATGGTATTGGACGCTATTCACAATGGTACCGGACGCTATTTACAATGGTATTGGACGCTATTTCGGTCTATTTACAGCAGACTGAAAGCCAAAACCGAGGTTACAACAACATCTGTTATAGAACTCCAGTATGCTGATGACAACGTCGTCTGTGCGCATTCAGAAGAAGACCTACAAGCCACTCTAAACACCTTTGCAGAAGCATACGAGAAGCTCGGCCTGTCATCGAGAAAACCAAATTTCTCTTCCAGCAGTCACCAGCCAATCCCTCTCCAATGCCATTTCCGCTCCCTTGGCAGCCATCTCTCCACCAAAGTCAACATTGACACTGAAATACAACACCGCCTGAGCTCTGCGAGCGCAGCATTTTTCCAAATGAAGCAGAGAGTGTTTTGTTAGAGCTAGAAGAAGAATCGCGGAAGCACTGAATAATGGACTCTGGAGTCACCGGTGAAAAGCAGGTTTCAGCTTTACTTGAGCAGTTCATAAATCCAACACACACCATCAGCGAACAGACGCGAAGAACACAAAGCGAAAGAGATAGGCACTAAAGACAAACTGCAGCTGGAAAGGAGTTATCTCTGACACTCCCTAATTCTTCACACAGCAAGAAACTCAGGGTCACATTCTCACAGCTCTTTTGTGTAAACATACATCCTGGCAATACAATTCTATTACAGTCTATTACAATCACGATCCTATCACATAAAATTGCATTTAAACATACATCATACATAAATCATACACTGACATGTTTGAGGACTGGAACATCCGTAGGGAGACCAAGGGCTTGTTTATAAAGCTATTGTCCTCCCAACCCTGCTATACGCCTGCGAAACGTGGACTGTCTACAGATGTCAATATTGACACTGAAATACAACACCGCCTGAGCTCTGCGAGTGCAGCATTTTTCCAAATGAAGCAGAGAGTGTTTGAGGACCGGGACATCTGTAGGGATACCAAAGTGCTTGTCTATAAGCTATTGTCCTCCCAATCCTGCTATACGCCTGTGAAACGTGGACTGTCTACAGATGTCACATGCAACTCCTGGAACGATTCCATCAGCGCTGCATCCGGAAAATCCTGCAAATCTCTTGGGAAGACAAGCAAACAAATGTCAACGTGCCAGAAGAAGCGAAGACCGCCAATATTGAAGCGATGGTCCTCCGCCATCAACTCCGCTGGACTGGCCATGTTGTCCAGATGCCTGACCACCGTCTCCCAAAGCAGTTGCTCTACTCCGAACTCAAGAACGGAAAACGGAATGTTGGTGGGCAGGAAAAGAGATTGAAAGATGGGCTCAAAGCCAACCTTAAAAACTCTGGCATAGACACTGAGAACTGGGAAGCCCTGGCCCTTGAGTGCTCCAGCTGGAGGTCAGCTGTGACCAGCAGTGCTGTAGAATTTGAAGAGGCAAGAATGGAGGGCGAAAGAGAGAAACGTGCCAAGAGGAAGGCATGTCAAGCCCTTCCACCTGGAAACCGATTCCCTCACTGACAGAGAAGATTTAGATCAAGAATTGGGCTCCACGGTCACCTACGGACTCACCGTCAGGACACTACACTTGGAGGACCATCATCCTCAGACTATGAGGGATCGCCTAAATAAGTAAGTAAGTATTTACAGGATTTGGAATTGCACATGTAAACTTATTTCCTCTATATAATGCTGTATAACAGGATATTGGATGCCATTTATAAAATGCGATTTTGCACACATCATGTGAACTTACATTATTATTATTATTATTATTATTATTATTATTATTATTATTATTATTATTATTATTTTACTGACACAAAACACAGTATGTCACAGCAAATGAGATCTATATGCTGGATTTCGTATCACAAAATCAGAAGTCAAACACTTCCCAAGCGTCTAGGACTGTGTAATGTATTTTCGAATGATGCGCGCAGATCCAAGTAAGGTGGACTTTTGCAGTTGACATCATTATTATTATTATTATTATTATTATTATTATTATTATTATTATTAAGAGCCCCTGGTGGCGCAGTAGGTTAAACCCTTGTGCCGGCAGGACTGAAGACCGACAGGTCGCAGGTTCGAATCCAGGGAGAGGTAGATGAGCTCCCTCTATCAGCTCCAGCTCCTCATGCAGGGACATGAGAGAAGCCTCCTACAAGGATGATTAAAACATCAAATCATCCAGCCGTCCCCTGGGCAACGTCCTTGCAGACGGCCAATTCTCTCACACCAGAAGTGACTTGCAGTTTCTCAAGTCGCTCCTGACACGACAAAAAAAATTAAATTATTATTATTATTATTGGGTTACTGTGAGTTTTCCAGACAGTCTGGCCATATTCTGGAAGCATTCTCTCCTGACATTTCTCCCACATCTATGGCAGGCACTCAGAGGTTGTGAGGTCCTCCCAACCTCTGAGGATGCCTGCCATAGATGTGGGAGAAATGTCAGGAGAGAATGCTTCTGGAACATAGACATTCCAGAAAACTCACAGCAACCCAGTGATTCGAACAAAACATTACACTAAATTGACTTGTCAAAATATTATTGCTTCATAGGAGATGACATAAAAACGTATCACAAATCTGAAAACTATTGCACACAAAGGTTTTGGGCAAGGCAGGATTAGCAAAGGGGACGCACAAATATTTCAAAAGATGCTTTGAAGCCCCGACCTTTTCTTCTTCCACCTACAAAGGAGTGGCTACTTTCTTATCTATTGGCTGCTGGGAAGAGGCAATGTTGAAACGCATTGGGATTGCACTGAACACCTGTTTCACTTAGGAAATATTTGTATGTTTTCTCAATGGGTCTCTCCAGCTGCTCCAGTTGTTTGGAAACGAGGTTAGAATTTATATCCAGGGTGCCCCATACATAGGAAAAATAACGAAATTACATATAATATATTACATTTTATTGCATAACTGCAATAAAAGTCACTGTGGAGGGAGAGGAAAAAACCGCAATATGGCAAGTCTGCATAAAGCGAACCATGAAGCGGCGAGGGAACACTGTACTCACAGGAACAGCTCAGCAAGCAAGAGTCCAAAAGTGGCAGGCTAAAACCCAGAATGTCAATCAGTGGCGGAGACTGGTTGAGAGACTCCCTCCTGGGAGATTGGAAGGCACTGAACAGACTGCACTCTGGCACCACAAGATGCAGAGCTAGCCTTAAGAAAGTGGAGTCCACAACAAGCGAGTGTGGAAAAGAGCAAACCACAGATCACCTACATCTGGCCCGCCCACTGTGTTTGATTTTCCATGATGTTATTTTGCACTGTTTATTTTACTTTGAGGATTTATTTATTTTATTGTGATGTTATTTCTGTTGTTCTGTATTTTATTTTATATCTGTGGAATGACCAGGGTGGGACAAAGGACTCTTGTCTGCTGGACACAGGAGAAGCCACACAACCATGTGGACAATTTTAACAGAAAGGAGGAAACCATGAAAATGAACAAAATCTGGCTACCAGTATTAAAAAACTCTAAAATTAGAACAGCACAACAACAGAGAGGAAACAAACAAGGACATCTAATTACCTCTCAACAAAAGATTGCCCCAGGCACTGCCAGGCCATCAAATGCTAATCAAGGTGGTCAGTTGAAACATTCACACCTAGCTCCAGCAGACAAGAGTCCTTTGTCCCACCCTGGTCATTCCACAGATATATAAACCCTTTTTCCTAGTTTCAACAGACCTCACTACCTCTGAGGATGCTTGCCATAGATGCAGGCGAAATGTCAGGAGAGAATGCCTCTAGACCATGGCCATATAGCCCATATAGCCCATTCCTAGGTTAATTTCCTGAGTTCTTTTTTAATGTGCTGGCCCTTTAAATAAGCCCAAAGGGCCAGATTCAGTCTCAGGACTCTATTTTCCCATAGAATAGTATCAAGACCCAGTTTCCCTGCAGTTCCAAAGGAGCCTCTTACCTCTCCTGCGGCCTCTCCGGCTGTAACACAGCGCCGCCTCCACGCTCCAGTATACAAAGCCGGCCGTGCCCAAGTGCCTCTCGGGACTCGTAGTCCTCGCGCTGTCAGAGCCCCGCCGACGCCCCTTTGAGTCTTCCAACCGCGGCCTACACTTCCCAGGGTGCGTAGCGAGCAAGGCGAGACATGGTCAGAAAAGGCCATGGCAGCGCCACCGCCGGGATTGGTTCTCTCCATCGCATGAGGACGGACCATGGAGATTATAGCCAATCGGGCGAAAGGGGAGGAATTCCCGATTGGCTAATAGGGGAAGGGGGCGGGACCTAAGGGATGTCCGCCCCCCAGTGAACATTTCCTAAATTGCAACCCTCGATATTCCGTGGACTCAAGGTGTGCTTTGCTGCCCTCGAGTGGACACAATGGGAATTGCCTTTAAAAATGTATTTTCCTTTGCTGAGCTGTAGAGCCCGCTCCTTAGCGCCACTCCGCTGCCCTCCAGTGGACACAATGGGAATTGCAGCCTTTAAAAAATGTATTCCCTTTGAACGGTAGCGCCTTGCTCCTTAGCGCCACTCTTCTGCCCTCCCGCGGACACAATCAGAATTGCAGCGTTTTAAAATGTATTTCCCTTTGCTGAGCTGTCGCGTCTGCTCCTTAGCGCCACTCTGCTGCCCTCGAGTGGACACAATGGGGATTGCAGCCTCTTAAAATGTATTTCCCATTGCTGAGTTGTACCGCCTGTTTAGCGCCACTCCGCTGCCCTCCAGTGGACACAATGGGAATTGCAAGCGTTTAAGACTGTATTTCCCTTTGCTGAGCTGCTCTTAGCGCCACTTTGCTGCCCTCAAGTGGACAAAATGGGAATTGCAACCTTTAAAATGTATTTTCCTTTGCTGAGCTGTAGCGCCTGCCCCAACTGGGAAATAGAGGGAGAAACCGTGGAGGCCGTGACAGACTTTGTATTTCTAGGTGCAAAGATTACTGCAGATGCAGACTGTGGCCAGGAAATCAGAAGACGCTTACTTTTTGGGAGGAGAGCAATGTCCAGTCTCGATAAAATAGTAAAGAGTAGAGACATCACACTGACAACAAAGATCCGCCTAGTCAAAGCCATGGTATTCCCTGTAGTCACCTACGGATGTGAGAGCTGGACCTTAGGGAAGGCTGAGCGAAGGAAGAGAGATGCCTTTGAGCTGTGGTGTTGGAGGAAAGTGCTGAGAGTGCCTTGGACTGCGAGGAGATCCAACCAGTCCATCCTCCAGGAAATAAAGCCCGACTGCTCATTGGAGGGAAGGAGACGAGAGACAAAGTGGAAGTCCTTTGGCCACATCATGAGGAGACAGCAAAGCCTAGAGAAGACAATATGCTGGGGAAAGTGGAAGGCAAAAGGAAGAGGGGCCGACCAAGGGCAAGATGGATGGATGGCATCCTTGAAGTGACTGGACTGACCTTGAGGGAGCTGGGGGTGGTAACGGCCGACAGGAGCTCTGGCGTGGGCTGGTCCATGAGGTCACGAAGAGTCGGAGATGACTGAACGAATGAACAAAGCGCCTGCCCTTTAGCGCCACTCCGCTGCCCTCGAGTGGACACAATGGGAATTGCAGCGTTTGAGAATATATTTTCCTTTGCTGAGTTGTAGCGCCCGCTCCTTAGCGCCACTCTGCTGCCCTCCCGCGGACACAATCGGAATTGCAGCATTTTAAAAATGTATTTCCCTTTGCTGAGCTGTAGCGCCTGCCCTTTAGCGCCACTCTGCTTCCCTCCAGCGGACACAATAGGAATTGCTACCTTTACAAATGTATTTCCCTTTGCTGCGCTATAGCGCCTACCTCTTAGCGCCACTTTGCTGCCCTCGAGTGGACACAATGGGGATTGCAGCATTTTAAAAATGTATTTCCCTTTGCTGCGGTAGCGCCTGCTCCTTAGCGCCACTCTGCTGCCCTCCAGTGGACACAAAGGGGATTGCAACCTTAAAATGTATTTCCCATTGCTGGGCTGTCGCGTCTGCTCCTTAGCGCTGCCCTCGAGTGGACACAATGGGAATTGCAAGCGTTTAAGATCTATTTCCCTCTGCTGAACTGTAGCGCCCGCTCCTTAGCGCCTTTTTGCTGCCCTCCCGCGGACACAATCAGAATTGCAGCATTTTAAAAATGTATTTCCCTTTGCTGAGCTGTAGCGCCCGCTCCTTAGCGCCACTCTGCTGCCCTCCAGTGGACCCAATGGGGATTGCTACCTTTAAAAATGTATTTTCCTTTGCTGAGCTGTAGCGCCTGACCTTTAGCGCCACTCCGCTGCCCTCGAGTGGACACAATGGGAATTGCAAGCGTTTAAGAATGTATTTCCCTTTGCTGAGCTGTAGCGCCCGCTCCTTAGCGCCACTCTGCTGCCCTCCAGTGGACCCAATGGGGATTGCTACCTTTAAAAATGTATTTTCCTTTGCTGAGCTGTAGCGCCTGACCTTTAGCGCCACTCCGCTGCCCTCGAGTGGACACAATGGGAATTGCAAGCGTTTAAGAATGTATTTCCCTCTGCTGAACTGTAGCGCCCGCTCCTTAGCGCCACTCTGCTGCCCTCCAGTGGACCCAATGGGGATTGCTACCTTTAAAAATGTATTTTCCTTTGCTGAGCTGTAGCGCCTGACCTTTAGCGCCACTCCGCTGCCCTCGAGTGGACACAATGGGAATTGCAAGCGTTTAAGAATGTATTTCCCTCTGCTGAACTGTAGCGCCCGCTCCTTAGCGCCACTCTGCTGCCCTCCAGTGGACCCAATGGGGATTGCTACCTTTAAAAATGTATTTTCCTTTGCTGAGCTGTAGCGCCTGACCTTTAGCGCCACTCCGCTGCCCTCGAGTGGACACAATGGGAATTGCAAGCGTTTAAGAATGTATTTCCCTCTGCTGAACTGTAGCGCCCGCTCCTTAGCGCCACTCTGCTGCCCTCCAGTGGACCCAATGGGGATTGCTACCTTTAAAAATGTATTTTCCTTTGCTGAGCTGTAGCGCCTGACCTTTAGCGCCACTCCGCTGCCCTCGAGTGGACACAATGGGAATTGCAAGCGTTTAAGAATGTATTTCCCTCTGCTGAACTGTAGCGCCCGCTCCTTAGCGCCACTCTGCTGCCCTCCAGTGGACCCAATGGGGATTGCTACCTTTAAAAATGTATTTTCCTTTGCTGAGCTGTAGCGCCTGACCTTTAGCGCCACTCCGCTGCCCTCGAGTGGACACAATGGGAATTGCAAGCGTTTAAGAATGTATTTCCCTTTGCTGAGCTGTAGCGCCCGCTGCTTAGCGTCACTCTGCTGCCCTCCAGTGGACCCAATGGGGATTGCTACTTTAAAAATGTATTTCCCTTTGCTGAGCTGAAGCGCCCGCTCCTTAGCGCCTTTTTGCTGCCCTCCCGCGGACACAATCAGAATTGCAGCATTTTAAAAATGTATTTCCCCTTGCTGAGCTGTAGCGCCTGCTCCTTAGCGCCACTCTGCCCTCCAGTGTACATAATCGGAATTGCAACTTTTAAAAATGCATTTTCCTTTGCTGGGCTGTAGTGCCCGCTCCTTAGCGCCACTCTGCTGCCCTCCAGTGGACACAAAGGGGATTGCAACCTTTTAAAATGTATTTCCCTTTGCTGGGCTGCCGCGTCTGCTCCTTAGCACCACTCTGCTGCCCTCCAGTGGACACAATGGGAATTGTAACCTTTTAACATCCCATTGCTAGGCTGTAGCGCCTGCCCCTTAGCGCCACTCTGCTGCTCTCTAGTGGACACTATGGGGATTGCCTTTTAAAATGTATTTCCCTTTGCTGGGCTGCCGCGTCTGCTCCTTAGCACCACTCTGCTGCCCTCCAGTGGACACAATGGGGATTGGTACCTTTTAAAAATGTATTTCCCTTTGCTGGGCTGTAGCGCACGCTCCTTATCGCCTCTTTGCTGCCCTCCAGTGGACACAATGGAAATTGCTGCCTTTAAAAATGTATTTTCCTTTGCTGGGCTGTGGCGCCTAATCCTTAGCACCACTCTGCCGCCCTCCAGTGGACACAATGGGAATTGTAACCTTTTAACATCCCATTGCTAGGCTGTAGCGCCTGCCCCTTAGCGCCACTCTGCTGCTCTCTAGTGGACACTATGGGGATTGCCGCCTTTTAAAAATGTATTTTCCTTTACTGAGCTGTAGCTCCCGCTCCTTAGCGCCTCTTTGCTACCCTCCCGCGGACACAATCAGAATTGCAGCCTTTAAAAATGTATTCCCTTTGAGCGGTAGCGCCTGCTCCTTAGCGCCACTCTGCTGCCCTCCAGTGGACACAAAGGGGATTGCAACCTTTAAAAAATGTATTTCCCTTTGCTGAGCTGTAGCGCCCGCTCCTTAGCGCCTCTATGCTGCCCTCGAGCGGACACAATGGGGATTGCAGCCTCTTAAAATGTATTTCCCTTTGCTGAACTGTAGCGCCTGCCCCTTAGCGCCACTCTACTGCCCTCGAGTGGACACAATGGGAATTGCAACCTTTAAAAAATGTATTCCCTTTGGACTGTAGCGCCTGCTCGTTAGCGCCACTCTGCTGCTCTCCAGTGGACACAATGGGGATTGCAGCCTCTTAAAATGTATTTCCCTTTGCTGAACTGTAGCGCCTGCCCCTTAGCGCCACTCTACTGCCCTCGAGTGGACACAATGGGAATTGCAACCTTTAAAAAATGTATTCCCTTTGGACTGTAGCGCCTGCTCGTTAGCGCCACTCTGCTGCTCTCCAGTGGACACAATGGGGATTGCAACCTTTTAAAAATGTATTTTCCTTTGTGAGTTGTAGCGCCTGCTCCTTAGCGCCACTCTGCTGCCCTCGAGTGGACACAATGGAGATTGCAACCTTTAAAAAATGTATTTCCCATTGCTGAGTTGTACCGCCTGTTTAGCGCCACTTTGCTCCAGTGGACACAATGGGCATTGCAACCGTTTCAGAATGTATTTCCCTTTCCTGAGCTATAACGCCTGCTCCTTAGCGCCACTCTGCTGCCCTCCACTGGACACAATAGGAATTGCTACTGTTTAAAAATTCAACAATCCAGTAATTCCGGCCACAAAACCCTTCAACATCATCATAATAATGTATTGTCGAAGGCTTTCATGGCCGGAATCACTGGGTTGTTGTAGGTTTTTTCGGGCTTTATGGCCATGTTCTAGAGGCATTCCCTCCTGACGTTTCGCCTGCATCTATGGCAAGCATCCTCAGAGGTAGTGAGCTCTGTTGGAACTAGGAAAAAGGGTTTATATATCTGTGGAATGACAAGGGTGGGACAAAGAACTCTTGTCTGTTGGAGCTAGGTGTTAATGTTTCTACTGACCACCTTGATTAGCATATAATGGCCTGACAGTGCCTTGAGCAAACTTTTGGTGATGAGGTGATTAGATGTCCTTGCTTGTTTCCTCTCTTTTGTAATAATAATGATAATGTGAAGGTATTTCCCACGCTATCAATCTCTGAAATATGTAATGAACTGGAGACACAGAAGGACAGAAATGTGGTTTTTTTCTCCCCCCACTTTATGTTAAAACAAGAATAGTAATACAAGGAAGAGCATGTCCATTAATAAGACACAAAAACCGTAGCATCCTCCATAATTTGCATAGACAAGAACAGAGTGTGGCCAAGAGGGCAAGCAATGGTCAGTATGGAAGAACGCGCAGGAGTTTGCTTTTGCCTGAGCTTACTGATTGATTCCAGGGCAGGTATGGGCACAGTTGGATCCTGCAGGTGTTTTGGACTTGAACTCCCATCATTCCTAACAGCCTCAGGCCCTTTCCTTTTCACCCTCAGCCGCTTAAGCGGCTGAGGGTGAAAAGGAAAGGGCCTGAGGCTGTTAGGAATGATGGGAGTTCAAGTCCAAAACACCTGCAGGATCCAACTGTGCCCATACCTGCCCTAAGGCCTTACAAAGTAAGTCTCTGATTCTAAGCACTGAGATTCTACAAAAGGATGCTTCTGGCCGCAAGAGATCCTCTCCCGCTTTGTTCATGGAACTTGCTGGACTCTCATGATGTTGGTATAGCCGGCCCCTGGCCGCCATCCGGTCACCACAATGACCACTTCCTCGGAGCGGAGGAAGCCGCGCATCCGGCCTGTAAGGAGAGAGACAAGGGGCGGGAAAGAGCATCACCAAGGAGAAGATGGGCATGGTGGAAGGCATCCAGAGAAGGGTGACCCAAATGGTCAACGGTCTGGAAGCCAATCCCTATGAGGAACGGCTTTGGGAGCTTGGAGGAAAGGAGGCTGAGAAGGGTCATGTTTACATATTTGAATGGCCGTCCCAGTGAGAAAAGGGGCCAGCTTGATTTTCTGATGCTCTGGAGACCAGGACACAAAAGAGAAATGGGGAAAGAGACCACCTATACATTCGGAAGAACTTCTTACAGCTTTCCAATGTATTATTATTATTATCATCATCATCATCATATAATATCATCTTATATAAATAAAAATGTAATGTTCATTAATTAACTCAAAAACCACTGGACAAATTGCCGCCAAATTTGGCCACAAGACACCTACTGACCATCACTCAAAATAAATGTTGGATGGCCATCTGTCAGGAGGGTTTTGGTGGTGTCTATCTGTCTGGCAGAAGGGAGTTAGACTGCATGTAGGGTCCCCTCCAACTCAAAATGCCAAATAGACTGAGTGGGAGTCCAATGGAGTCTACTTCCCCGGAGGTTGTGAAACAGATGCTGGATGGCCATCTGTAGGGGTTTGGTGGTGTCTTCCTGCCTGGCAGTAGGGGGTTGGACTGGATGGCCCATGTGATGTGACTTCCTTCCAGATCACAGAACATTTAAGGAGCTGATCTCCCAAGGAGATGAATTCCAAGGAGAAAATGCAGTTATTTCTTGTTATTATAAATAAACCTTTTGTGATTTTTTTAAAGATTGGACTCCCCTAAGCTCTAAATGCTCAACTTTTGTATCCTGTTTGTTTCTGGATGCTCTGCTCTATATTTTGGATGCTCTGCTCTATATTTTGGATGCTCTGCTCTATATATTGGATGCTCTGCTCTGTATGGGCAAACTTTACAGCCACATCACATGGCACTTTACGCTTTGCTTGCTGTGAGTTGATGCTCAAACGTTTAGTATCCTGTTTGTTTTTGGATGCTCTGCTATATATTTTGGATGCTCTGCTCTATATTTTGGATGCTCTGCTCTATATTTTGGATGCTCTGCTATCTATTTTGAATGCTCTGCTTTATATGGGCAAACTTTACAGCCACATCACATGGCACTTTACGCTTTACTTGCTATGAGTTGACGCTCAAACATTTAGCATCCTGTTTGTTTTTGGATGCTCTGCTATGTATTTTGGGTAGCTTTCCCTAACATGGGATACCTGCCTGCCCTTGGGGTAATGAAAAGGGAAGCAGTCCTAAAGAGGCAGGTGAACTCTCGTACCAGACGGGCACAGAGCGGGCAGCTCTGCAGACTCACCGATCTCAATGCCAAACTGTACCCGACGGTCCACGTCGTCCGCCCAGACCTCCTGCTTGGCCCCTCGCCACAGGACGGGGAAGATGCCACGGCTGAGGTGGGCTTGGCGGGCCACCTGCTCGTTGCGGGTCACGGCAATGATGAGGGCCCGCGGCCGGTACCGGGAGAGCAGCCGGGCGGACCTGAATCAAACGCAGTGTTCAAATATCTCCAGCATAGGCATGGGCAAACTTTGGCCCTCCAGTGTTTTGGACTTCAACTCCCACAATTCCTGACCTCAGGCCCTTTCCTTTCCCCCCTCAACCGCTTGCCCATGCCTCCTCTAGCACCTATTTCCAATCAGGTACTAGAAACGAGGAGATGCAAAACAACCCTGACTTTACCTGCCAGAGGTTGTGAGGACGATAATGGCAGCCGCACAGCACTTGAATGAGGCCTCCACGGCCCCAATAGCTGTCACCTCCGTAGGGTCCTGGCTCAGTGGGGTCAGGCGACGCAACTCTTGGAAGAGCTGCTGGTGATACATGGCTGCCTCGGCCTCTCGGGCGATCTGGGCATAGAGAGAGATTGAGAGGATGCTTTAGTTTCAGACGGGAGGCGTCAGAGCAGATAGAACTGAAGGCGGAACATTCTGCATGTCCGGATCTGTAGCTTTCTAGTGAAATAATGACCTCACAAACAACATTGGAAAACTTTAATTCAAAAGTATGCATTAAGGAACGCGACAAAATTCCAACTGCCAGTTTATTTCCCTCACACTTCCTATCCTTCACACTGGCCCCTTCCTTTTCCATGGCAACCCTCACTCTTGTTTCAAATGTACACAGGCCAGATCTAAGGCATGGCCTAATGTCCTGGTTTCACACAAAACCAGCAAATAAGGTCATTACACTGCATGCAAAACAGAGACTCTAATTCTCCTCCATAATATAATGCCTTCAGATACCAAGAAACATGTAAACTATTGTCTCCCAATAATGTCTTATGATATAATAGGAGTATTTATTTATTTATTTCCTATATTTATACCCCACCCTTCTCCCCCCAAAAGGGGGACTCTGGGCAGCCTGACAAAACCATCGTACGATGCTAGCATCATAAAAACAACCACAGTACAATCAGAATATTAAAAATTAAAACAAGTAATTAAGACACATCCATTAAAATCGATATCCAAAAAGCAATCCGGATCAATTCATTGCCATAATTTGTGTGATCTTCTTCCACTTGCTGCTCACTGATCAAACGCTTGGTCCTATAACCAGTCTTGATTTTCCTTCTAAGAGACAAGAAGGAGGTGGCCAATCTGATATCTCTAGGAAGGGCGTTCCATAGGCAGGGGGCCACTGCTGAGAAGGCCCTGTCTCTCATCTCCATCAACCATGTTTGCGATAGGGGTGGGATCGAGAGCAGGGCCTCTCCTGAAGATCTTCATGATGGTTCGTGGCAGGAGATACGTTCGGACAGGTAGTCTGGGCCAGAACCGTTTAGGGCTTTAAAGCTTAAGACCAGCACTTTGAATTGTGCTCGGAAGCTGATTGGTAGCTAATGGAGTTGGCATAACAAAGAAATTGTATGTTCCCTGTACGTCACTCCGTTGAGCAACCTGACTGCCGACTGTTGGACTAGTTGAAGCTTCCGGGCAGTCTTCAAAGGCAGCCCCACATAGAGTGCATTGCAGTAGTCTATTCGGGATGTAACAAGAGCATGGGCCACCATGGCCAAGTCAGACTTCTCAAGGAAGTTTTAAATGTGCAAAAGCTCCCCCGGCCACTGCTGAGACCTGGGGTTCCAGGCTCAGTGATGAGTACAGGATCACTCCCAAGCTGCGAACCTGTGTCTTCAGGGGGAGTGTAACCCTGTCTAACACAGGCTGTAACCTTATCCCCTGTTCAGCCTTTTGACTGACCAGGAGTGCCTCTGTCTTGTCTGGATTAAGTTTCAATCTGTTCGCCCTCATCTAGGCCGACACAGCAGCCAAGCACCGATTCAGGATCTGCACACCCTCCTTAGTGACAGGTGGGAAGGAGGGATAGAGCTGAACATCATCTGTGTACAGATGACATCTGACCCCAAAACTCTGGATGATCTCTCCCAGTGGCTTCATGTAATGTACAACGTCTAGACCAGGCATGGGCCAACTTCTGCCCTCCAGGTGTTTGGACTTCAACTCCCAAAAACCTGGAGGGCTGAAGTTTGCCCATGCCTGGTTTATACATATAGATTTAGCTTGGTTGAAGGAAGGCTAAGAGAGAACATAATGGCCATGTTGAAATAGCAGAAAGGAGGTTGGTTGCTTTGATGGCACCTTCGCTATGACATCCTTTGAAATATCTCACATTTGCACAATCTACCATCTAGCGATAGTGGAGACGTACCGCATGTTGCATCCGCACTGCCTCCACCGGATAAACCCCCTTGGCGGTCTCCCCAGACAGCATGATACAGTCAGCACCGTCCAAGACTGCGTTGGCCACGTCGCTGCTCTCTGCTCTTGTGGGACGCGGTTTCTTCACCATGCTCTCCAGCATCTGTCAGAAGAGACATGGAGCAAGATGATCAACTCTGCTCCTTGTCCTTAACTCCTGTGAGGACCTTAACCCAAGTCTCCTGAGACCAACATATGTTCTACCTGCTGCACCATGCTCTTTTCTGCTGCTTACCTGGGTGGCACAGATAACTGGCTTGCCAGCACGGTTACAGCGGCCGATCATCATCTTTTGAGCCAGGAAGACCTTTTCAGCTGGGATCTCAATGCCCAGGTCTCCACGAGCCACCATGATGCCATCGCTAGCCTCAAGGATCTCATCAAACCTGGCAGAAGGAAGAAAGTATTGACACTAAAGTCAAAGTATGGCTGGATTAATGTATTGTTGAAGGCTTTCATGGCTGGAATCATTGGGTTGTTGTAGGGTTTTCAGGCTATATGGCCATGTTCTAGAAGCATTCTCTCCTGATGTTTCACCTGCATCTATGGCAAGCATCCTCAGAGGTTGTGAGGTCCTCTGAGGATGCTTGCCATAGATGCAGGCGAAACAGGAGAGAATGCTTCTGAACATGGCTATGTAGCCCGAAAAACCTACAACAACCCTATGGCTGGATTGTTATTTTTACTGAGGTTCATTGTGTTGGGTTTGTTGGGTTGGGTTCATTGGATTGGGATTATATTCATTGGACTGCATTTGAATTCATTGTGTTGGGTTGAGTTCACTGCATTGAGAGTGGGTTTGTTGGATCGGGATTGGATTTTTTGGATTGTGGTTGAGTTCATTGTGTTGGGTTGAGTTCATTGTATTGTGTTGGGCTTGTTGGATTTGGGTTGAGTTCACTGTATTGGGTTCATTGGCTTGTAGTTGAATTCATTGTGTTGGGTTGAGTTTTCATTGTGTTCGGGTGGGTTCATTGGATTGGGATTGGGTTCACTGTGTTGGGTTGAGTTCATTGTGTTGTGGTGGGTTCGTTGGATTGGGGTTGGGTTCATTGGATTGGGGTTGAGTTCATTGTGTTGTGTTGGGTTCATTGGGTTGGGACAGAGTTTGTTGGATTGGTGTCATTGGGTTGGATTGGAATGGTTGGGTTCATCGGATTGGATTGGGTTCATTGTGTTGGGTTGAGTGCATTGTGTTGGGGTGGGTTCACTGGATTGGGATTGGGTTCATTGTGTTGGGTTGAGTTCATTGTGCTGGGTTGGGTTCATTGGGTTGGGACTGAGTTGTGTTGGGTTGAGTTCATTGTATTGTGTTGGATTGGAATGGTTGGGTTCATTGGATTGGATTGGGTTCATTGTGTTGGGTTGAGTTGTGCTGGGTTGCGTTCATTGTATTGTGTTGGGTTCATTGTGTTGGGGTGGGTTCATTGGATTGGGATTGGTTCATTGTGTTGGGTTGAGTTAATTGTGTTGTGGTGGGTTCGTTGGATTGGGGTTGGGTTTATTGGATTGGGGTTGAGTTCATTGTGTTGGATTGGGTTCATTGTGTTGGGTTGAGTTGTGTTGGGTTGTGGTGGGTTTGTTGGATTAGGGTTGGGTTTATTGGATTGGGGTTGAGTTCATTGTGTTGGGTTGGATTCATTGGGTTGGGACTGAGTTTGTTGGATTGGGGCCATTGAGTTGGATTGGAATGGTTGGGTTCATTGGATTGGACTGGGTTCATTGGGTTGGGTTGAGTTAACTGTTGAATTGTGTCCATTGGGTTGAGTTCCTTGGGTCAGATTTTGTTCATTGGACTGGATAAGGAAGAGTCAAGTGCAGTGATGGACAATTCCTCCATTGAGGATGAAACACATGCAGAGAAAGAAGTGGGCAATTACTTTTTGACACCCTCGTGGTTCTCGATCTTGCTGATGATCTTGATGTTCTGGCCACGTTCTCCCAGCACCTGTCGGATGGCTTCCACGTCGCTGGCCTTGCGGATGAAGGAGGCAAAGACGATGTCCACCCCTTGCTCCAGACCAAACTGAAGGTCCTGGATGTCCCGCTTTGACACAGCTGGGAGATCCACCTCGGCTCCCGGGAGGTTGACTCCTTTGCGGCTGCACAGCATCCCACCATTCTCCACTTCCACCACAACGCTATCTGCACCTGGAGGGTTTGGAAGAAGACAGACACACTGGTTCGGATCACAGAAACATTGTTCTTTGGTTGAACTTCCCTGCTTGGCATGGAGTTGGACTGGATGACTCTTGGGGTTTCCTGCAACTCTAGGATCCTAAGATCTGGCTACAAGGAATCCCTAAGCTGAGGAGGAGGAGGTACGTACGGATTTCCTTGACGAGTAAGGAGATGAGTCCGTCGTCAATGAAGATCCGCCCGCCCACCTTGACCACTTTGGGCAAGTTGGCATAATCCATCCAGATCGTCTTCTGATCACACAGTTCCTTGAACGCTGGGTCGGTAGTAACAATCAGCTGTGATCCTTTTATCAGTTCCACTTCTTTATTCTCGCCCTGTAGAATTAAAAGCCAATTGTGTGTCATGAACAATCTGACACAGTTCAGGAAACATACTTCTCATAGCACAGGAACTAGGCTAGCATGAATAGGCCAGTAGCTAATCATTTCTATCTATATAACACCCTCTTGTGGCTACACCTGAGCACTACATACATATTATGAACAAGTTTTCTGAAGCTGTCACGGAAGAAGTCGACACTCAACATCTTTAAACTTACTTGCCCAATGATGCACAGTATTCACATCAACACAATCCCCATAAACAGTTTGCATTCTCTGATGAATCTCCTTTGGGGTGACACCTTCTGCTGTCAAGAATTCAATGACTGCACGTTGCTTAAGTCGCATTGACCGACCGTCTGCGCAGGGTTCCATACTTTGCACTTTAACAACACAACCGTTCAATGCTAAGGCTTCCTGCCAAAATGGAACTGTAGAGGAGAGTCTACTGAACAAGCCAGTACCTGCCGCATACCAGTACTGCCATATGTTGAGGAGTTACGAAGGTGGAGGCATTACTTTTCATTCAACCCTCGTATCTATACATCGCCCTCTTGTGGCTGTACCTGAGCACTGTATACATACATCCCTATGGGCCAGTAGCTAATGTTTCTATCTATACACTGTCCTCTTGTGGTTGCCCCTGGGCACTGCGTACATACATCCCTATAGGCCAATAGTTAATAATTTCTATCTATCCACTAAAACCCTCTTGTGGTTGCCCCTGGGCACTGCATACATACATCTCTATAGGCCAGTAGTTAATCATTTCTATCTATACACTGCCCTCTTGTGGCTGTACATGAGCACTGCATATACACATCCCTATGGGCCAGTAGCTTATCATTTCTATCTCTATACCACCCTCTTGTGGTTGCATCTGAGCACTGAATACATACATCCCATAGGTCAGTAGTTAATCATTTCTATCTATACACTGCCCTCTTGTGGTTGCCCCTGGGCACTGCGTACATACATCCCTATAGGCCAGTAGCTAATCATGTCTATCTATACACCGCCCTCTTGTGGCTGTACATGAGCACTGTATACATACATCCCTACGGGCCAGTAGCTAATGTTTCTATTTATATACTACCCTCTTGTGGATGCCCATGAGCAATGCATACACACATCCCTATAGGCCAGAAGCTTATCATTTCTATCTCTATACCACCCTCTTGTGGTTGCATCTGAGCACTGCATACATACAGACCTATTTTTTCGTTTTTGGGCCCTACACCCAAATGGGGTAGATTTTGAGTTGAAACCTGAATAGTATTTTTAAACCGGATCATGAAGAGTATGTGTACAAAGTATAGTGTATATCCATCAAGCCATGTAGGAGCCCTTATAGAACATACATACATACATAGAAACACAAAGATAGATAGATAGATAGATAGATAGATAGATAGATAGATAGATAGATAACAAGAGCTGTTAGCCATACACTCGATGGTGTTAGATCTCCATATTGACCTTACCCCTTTGACTAAGCCGGTGCGGATCTCGGGGCCTTTGGTGTCCAGCGCAATGGCGATCGGTCTATAGAAGAGTGGGTTGGAGGCAAAGCTTTCAGTGGCTTCTCGGATATTCACAATGGAGCCTGCATGGTACTGAAAGCGAAATGGGAGGGAAAAAATATTGGTGGTGCAGGATGATGGGAGTTATAATTCATAAGTCCCTCTGTGGCAGCCATTAGGAGAAAATAAAATAATAAATAGAAATCATAATAATTTAGAATAAAATAGAAGATTCATGTTCCTACCTGATCTTAAAAAGACCATTTCTAATGAGTGAATTTGCAAGCATGAGAAACCTACAGGTGATATTGATTGACACTGGACCTTGGGGTCAGGTTGCTCTAGCTCAGTGGTTCTCAACCTGGGGTCCCCAGATGTTTTTGGCCTTCAATTCCCAGAAATCCTAACAGCTGATTAACTGGCTGGGATTTCTGGGAATTGTAGGCCAAAAACATCTGGGGACCCCAGGTTGAGAACCACTGCTCTAGCTGATGTTTGCTCTAGCCGATGTTTACATAGATATGAAGTCAGCAAGAGAAGTTTGGCAGGACAAAGAAATCAATAGTATCGATCTAAGACTTGGAACATCTAAGGTCATATGGTGAGAAAGCGCCATCCTCTGACCACTTAATGTAAATAGCAGGCAATTTCAGAAGAGCTTCATCCTAAGTAAATTCCTTCATGGTCTTCATATTAAGAAATAAGTTATAATGAAATAATTAAGGCTGGATTGATTAGGAGATTGCCTTGATCAAATCTTATGTTATAAGCATATAAAAGTTATAATTCAATTAGAGATTTAAAGGAATTGAACATATACGTGTCATCTTAGGGTAACGGGTGAAGGTTGGGATAAGTTACATAATCGAGCAGATGTTTGGGTTCACAACGTGGCTCCCAAGACCTGATAAAGATGTTTTTGGAAACTATATATGGAAACACCGGTTAATTATTGTATTGTGTAAATGCCAGACTTTTTCTGTGCATGTGTGGAAAGGGTGATATTCTGCTATAAAAGACCGAAGCGATTCAGACCTTAGTTGTGACAGTCATTTGAGCTGTTCACCCTATACTCTGCAGAGATAGTAATAAAGCCTCGGAAATCGGACAAGCTGTCTCCATCTTCTTCCTTCTCCAAAAGCACTCTAATGATCTCGGGTAACGTACATTCAGCAACACCTCCTGTGGGATCCATCCCAGCCAAAGAATCCCCCAAAGAGACCCAATTTATGCAAGAAAATATACCCAAAGCAAAACAGAGGGGAGATGAACACTGACCCATTTTGGAATAATGTTAACACGACGCCATTGGCTTTAAGAGGAGCATTTCTAAGTCCTGCCCTTCATTTATATGCATTACAATCCGTCCAGGGCATGTGGCTTTCTTCAGGGAATGTTAAAACATACAGGGAGGGAGCAAAGGAATGTGCATAGATGAATAATCATAAGCAAGGTATGAGCCAAAGAGATGCGCACCTCGTGAGAGCCGTGGGAGAAGTTCAGCCGCGCAATGTTCATCCCAGCCTTGATCATCTCACGCAGCATTTCCACAGAGCGGGAAGCAGGACCTGAAAGAGGAGGGTCTTTTACTCCTTGGATGCTAAGTACACAGCAGGCCTTTTGAAATAGGTACAAAATGTCCTTCACTAAAAAAATTGATTTTGTAATTTGAGAGTTGTAGTTGCTGGGATTTATAGTTCACCTACAATCAAAGAGTATTCTGAACCCCACCAACGATGGAATTGAACCAAACTTGGCACACAGTTCTCCCATGACCAACAGAAAATACTGGAAGGGTTTGGTGGGCAGTGTCCTTTGGTTTTGGAGTTGTAGTTCACCTACATCCAGAGATGCACTGTGGACTCAAACAATGATGGATCTGGACCAAACTCTACACGAATACTCAATATGCCCAAATGTGAACACTGGTGGAGTTTTGGGGAAAAATAGACCTTGACATTTGATAGTTGTAGTTGCTGGGATTTATAGTTCACCTACAATCAAAGAGCATTCTGAACCCCACCAATGATAGAATTGGACCACAACCTCCCACACAGAACCCCCATGACCACCAGAGTGGGCCACAGCAACGTCTGGCAGGGGAAGCTAATAATAATAATAATAATAATAATAATAATAATAATAATAATAATAATAATAATGGAGATGGAGTCTAACAGTGTCTGCAAGATTTCCCAGCCCTGCCCCAAACAGTCTGGGCCAAGTAGATGGTCTCCTCCAATGTGTCATGGAAGGTTATTTTCAGTTATTGCAGTACTTATTATACCTTGCCCTCCATCTCAAGAACGCAGGGTGGCACACAATGAGACACAGAACGATCAAAGGTTTGGAAGCCAAGCCCTACAAGGAGTGGCTTCGCGAGCTGGGGATGTTTAGCATGAAGAAGAGAAGGCTGAGAGACAGGCGCATGGGAGCCATGTTTACATATTGGAAAAGCAGAGTGGACAAGCCTGTTTTCGGCTGCTTTGGAGACTCGAACATGGAGCAATGGATTCAAATGACAAGGAAAAAGACTCCTCCTAAACCTTAAGGTGAACTTCTAATGGCAAGAGCTATTTGACAGTGGAATATGCTGCCTTGCAGTCTGGAGGTTTGCAAGCAGAGGCTGGATGGCCATCTTTCAGGAGGGTTTGGATTGCATTTTCCCACATGGTAGGGGGTTGGGCTGGTGGACTCTTCCAACTCTAGAATTCTAGGATCATCATCATCATAATCTGACTGTAAATAGAAGGTCAGCTGCTGTCCTCTCCTTTTTGCCTTGTATCTAACTATCCAATGCATGTCCTTCACTCAAAAAATTGATTTTGTCATTTGGGAGTTGTAGTTGCTGGGATTTATAGTTCACCTCCAATCAAAGAGCATTCTGAACCCCACCAATGATGGAATTGAACCAAACTTGGCACACAGTTCTCCCATGACCAACAGAAAATACTGGAAGGGTTTGGTGGGCAGTGTCCCTTGGTTTTGGAGTTGTAGTTCACCTACATCCAGAGATCACTGTGGACTCAAACAATGATGGATCTGGACCAAACTCTACACGAAGACTCAATATGCCCAAATGTGAACACTGGTGGAGTTTGGGGAAAATAGAATCTTGACATTTGGGAGTTGTAGTTGCTGGGATTTATAGTTCACCTACAATCACAGAGCATTCTGAACCCCACCAACGATAGAATTGGGCCAAACCTCCCACACAGAATCCCCATGTGGGCCACAGCAACGTGTGGCAGGGGACGGCTAGTACATAATAAAAGTGTGTATGTTGCCTATGAGGGGCCACCAAAGGCCCTCTCTCCAATGACATTGCAGGTTATAGCGAGCACCGTGAACATGCACAACCCCTGCCAGTGTTGTTCACCAACACCAAACTGCCCACCACCCAAGTGAAGGCACAATTTCATCCTAGATTTTCTGTTTTTCCTCCACCGGCACACATCCCAGTGTTCCTGACTTTCTCCATTGGTGTGGAATTTGCATGACCCCCACCCACTGCATCTCCCTTAACCCTTTCCTATTCTTTTCTATGGCACACAGCAAACAGAGGAATTGATCAGCAACGGAACATACTAAAGAGATTTGGGGGGAAATTCACCATGATTTAGATGAGTTGAAGGTACTGGGATGTTTAGTTTACCTGCAATCTAAGAACTGCACTAACTAACTTGGCACACAGAACCTCAATGACCAACAAAACATACTGGAGGTCTTTGGAGAGACTTATAGGAGTTGTAGCTCACCTACCTCCAGAACACACCGCAATGAGGAAGTACTCCATCGGTGTCACAAGTGGATGGTGAAGCAACAGCTCCCCCGGTGGCCGGAATTCAAAAAGCATACCCTCATGAAGCTGGAAAGTTAAATAGCCTCTGTGTCTCTGTCTATATATGTTGTGTATCTATGGCATTGAATGTTTGCCATGTATATGTGCATTGTGATCCATCCTGAGTCCCTTGTGAGGTGAGAAGGGCAGAATATAAATGCTATAAAAAATAAATAATCCCTTTGGACAGAAGGCCGTTCTGATATCGGACCAGAGAGGGTCGACCTACCAATGGTGCAGACGATGCCCGTGGTCCGTGCGGCGATGGGCTCCGAGTCGATGTCCAGCAGGCATAGATGCTCCAAAAAGGTGTCAGCCATAGAAGCCGGCAACTGCTGCCGTTGGAAGAAAGCAGTGCCCAGCTCTTGGGTCAAGGTGGCCATATCGTCCGGCAGGATGAAGGTGCTTCCGGCTGCGAGGAAATGGGAGAGCAAGGATTACAAGAACTAGCCTTACCTTTGCGTGACACGTCGATGTGTCGCGAAAGCCCTGGATGAATGACTAACAGTCCCAATTATTGTCGTTACTAAAATATTGACCATTTCCGCTACCTTGGCAGGCACCTCTCCACCAAAGTCAACATTGACACCGAAATACAACACCGCCTGAGCTCTGCGAGTGCAGCATTTTTCCGAATGAAGCAGAGAGTGTTTGAGGACCGGGACATCCGTAGGGATACCAAGGTGCTTATCTATAAAGCTATTGTCCTCCCAACCCTGCTATATGCCTGCGAAACTTGGACTGTCTACAGACGTCACATGCAACTCCTGGAACGATTCCATCAGCGCTGCCTCCGGAAAATCCTGCAAATCTCTTGGGAAGACAGGTGTCCTGGAAGAAGCAAAGACCACAAGCATTGAAGCGATGGTCCTCCGTCATCAACTCCGCTGGACCGGCCACGTTGTCTGGATGCCCGACCACTGTCTCCTAAAGCAGTTGCTCTACTCCGAACTCAAGAATGGAAAACGGAGTGTTGGTGGGCAGGAAAAGAGATTGAAAGATGGGCTCAAAGCCAGCCTTAAAAACTCTGGCATAGACACTGAGAACTGGGAAGCCCTGGCCCTTGAGCACTCCAGCTGGAGGTCAGCTGTGACCAGCAGTGCTGCAGAATTTGAAGAGGCACGAATGGAGGGTGAAAGAGAGAAATGTGCCAAGAAGAAGGCGCATCAAGCCAACCCCGACCGAGACCACCTTCCATCTGGAAACCAATGCCTTCACTGTGGGAAAAGCAGATCAAGAATAGGGCTCCACAGTCTCCTACGCACCCACCAGAATACTGATCCTGGAAGACTATCCTACTCGGCCAACGAGGGATCGCCTAAGTAAGTAAGTAATCCGGAGCATGGAATTATTCCTTTGCTAGATCCACAGTCTTGGAATCCCACAGCCACCAGAGTTTAGGAAAGTTACTTTCCTTGGGGCTATAGCTCTAAAAATAGTGTTTTGAGGCTCTAGAATGACTATCGGCACCTTCAGGTGGTAAATATGGACTCATAGCACGGCTCCCGATAATCACGGCTCGGGCTCATGAGCCAAGCATGTGTACATGGACACGTCCTTCCTTCCTTCCCCTTCCCTGCCCTTCCTTCCACCTGTCGGTAGAACCCAAGCCAGGTTGTCTCAGTCTGGGGACAGGAAAGACGCACCTTCCATCTTGCCTCCTTCAGCCCTCCTGCAAATGACTCTGCTCCCTCCACCAGGCTTCCAACCCACCCACTCCTTGCAGGGTTAAATATTGACCAATGAGATTCTAAGTCCACAATATTCAGCAGAAAGGTAATGCATGAAGCTTGCTGCTCCTGCCTGGTTAACTCACTAGGGTCAAATGATAACAAGTTAACTCACTAGAGTCAAATAGTAACAGTAATGATGACTAACAACCAGAATAGTACTAGTAGGAATAGTAACAGAATTATTATTATTATTATTATTATTATTATTATTATTATTATTATTATTATTATTTATACCCCGCTTTATCTAACCAAAAAGAATCCAAAGCAAATAGCATTATGATTATGATTGCTACAGAAACATGGTCTGGAATAATAACAATAACCATATTATTATTACTGTTACTACTACTACTATTAATATATTATTATTATTATTATTATTATTATTATTATTATTATTATTATTATGTGGGTGGTAAGTATGGAGTCGTGGCACAGATTCCAATAATCAGGGCTCGGGCTCATAGTTAGTATAATAATAGTAGTAGTAGTAATAATATTAATAATGGTCAAGGATTCCCTTTGACATTTGAGTCCAGTTGTGTCCAACCCTGGGTGATGCTCATCTCCATTTCTAAGCTGGAAACAGAGCTATGGTCTGGAATAATAACAATAACCATATTATTATTACTGTTACTACTACTACTATTAATATATTAAAAGGAGAGAATGCTTAGACCATGGCCATATAGCCCGAAAAAACCTACAAAAACCCACCTATTATATTATTATTATTATTATTATTATTATTATTATTATTATTATTATTATTATTATGTGGGTGGTAAGTATGGAGTCGTGGCACAGATTCTGATAACCAGGGCTCAGGCTCATAGTTAGTATAATAATAATAGTAATAGTAATAATAATAATAATAATAATAATAATGGTCAAGGATTCCCTTTGACATTTGAGTCCAGTTGTGTCTGACTCTGGGGGTGGTGCTCATCTTCATTTCTAAGCTGGAAAAAGATCTATGGTCTGGAATAATAACAATAACCATATTATTATTACTGTTACTACTACTACTATTAATATATTAATAATATTAATATATTATTATTATTATTATTATTATTATTATTATTATTATGTGGGTGGTACGTATGGAGTCATGGCACAGATTCTGATAACCAGGGCTCGGGCTCATAGAATAATAATAATAATAATAATAATAATAATAATAATAATAATAATAATGGATTCCCCTTGACATTGAGTCCAGTTGTGTCTGACTCTGGGGGTGGTGCTCATCTCCATTTCTAAGCTGGAGAGCCGGCGTGGTCCATAGACACCTCCAAGATCATGTGGCCGGCATGACTGCAAGGAGTGCCGTTACCTTCCTGCTGGAGCGGTACATATTGATCTACTTACATTTGCATGTTTTCAAACTGCTAGGTTGGCAGAAGCTAGGGCTAACAGCGGGGGCTCACTCCACTCCCCAAATTCGAACCGCTTACCTTTTGTCCAGCAAGTTCAGCAGCTCAGTGGTTTAACCCACTGCGCCACAGGGGGCTCCATTAGTACTAATAATAATAATAATAATAATAATAATAATAATAATAGAATAGCAGTATTACTATTCGAATGCTATTATTATTATTACAACAAAAACTATTCCATGGTCTGGATTAATAACATTATTATTATTATTATTATTATTATTATTACAAAAACAATTCAATGGTTTAGATTTCTATTATTCTTATTAATTATTATGAATATATTGATAATAATACAATATTAGTAGTAGTAGCAATAGTAATAATCATAGATTAAGAATAAAATTCCAGACCATGAAAACAATTCTATGCCCTGGAATAATAACAATAACATTATTATTATTATTATTATTATTATTATTATTATTATTATTACTGCTACTAGTACTATATTATTATTATTATTATTATTATTATTATTATTATTAGCAGTATTATTATTACTACTATTACAACAAAAACTATTCCATGTTCAGGAATAAGAACAGTAACATTAGTATTATTATTAATGATAGAATAGCATTATTATTATTTCAGGCCATGGAATAGTTTCTACTTTTAGATTCAAAGTCTCAGAATTAAACCTTGGGAAAGTTACTGTTTCTAAAAGTAGAATTTACTGGCTCTAAAATAACCATCACCACCTTCACCACTGCATAGGTGTCTTTCATCAATAGGAATCTAGTGTCTAGATAAGGCCTGGGCAAACTTGGGCCTTCCAGGTGTTCTGGACTCCAACTCCCACAATTCCTAACAGCCGATAGGCTGTTAGGAATTGTGGGAGTTGTAGTCCAAAACTCCTGGAGGGCCCAAGTTTGCTCATGCCTGGTCTAGATCAAGGGAAGTCTTAGTCCCACTCTCTTCTGCTTTGACTAAACCTGACCCAGAATAACCCTGTCTGTGTCCAGCTCTGGACAAAGCAATTCAAGGAGATGGACAAGAAGGAAGCGGTTCAGAGAAGTCAAAGGTCCAAGGTCTGGAAGTCAAGCTCTATGAGGAATGGCTTGGGGAGAACAGTATGTTTAGCTTGGAGAAGGTGGAGAGGAGACACGAAATGATGCAAAAATGTCCCATTGAGGAGAAGGGGGCAAGCTTGGAGACCAGGACACAACAGAGCCATGGATTGAAATGGCAGGGAAAGAGTTCCACTGGAATATTAGGAAGAGCATCCTAACTGTTCGACAATGGAATATGTTGCCTGGGAGTAATAATAATAATAATAATAATAATAATAATAATAATAATAATAATACTTTATTTGTACCCCGCTACCATCTCCCCAAGGGACTCGGTGCGGCTTACATGAGGCCGAGCCCAAATACAACAATACAAGCAATAAAACAACAATACAAACAACAATACAAGATACAAGCAATAAAAAATAGACAATAAAATATACAACATTATCAATAAGACAACACACAGTTAAAAACAGTGGGAAGGCCAAATGTAAGGTTAAAATTGATGCTGGGACATGAACGAAAAGGTGATAGTGGTGTTTGTGGAAAGGGAATACGAGCAGACCTAAAGAAATGTAAAGTGCTTTGGAGGACAAAGTGCTATGGGATCATTATTCCGGGAAGGCACACTGGAACAGCCATCTTCAAGCTCCTCCTGAAGACTGCCAAAGTTGGGGCCTGTCTGATGTCTTTAGGGAGTGAGTTCCAGAGTCGAGGGGCCACCACCGAAAAGGCCCTCTCTCTCGTCCCCACCAATCACGCCTGCGATGCTGGTGGGATCGAGAGCAGGGCCTCTCCGGATGATCGAAGGAATCGTGTGGGTTCGTATATGGAGATGCGGTCACGCAGGTAGGCGGGTCCCAAACTGTTCAGGGCTTTGAAGGTAAGAACCTGCACCTTGATGAATGGCAGCCAGTGGAGCTCCTTGACCAGGAGGGTTGACCGCTTCCTGTAAGGCGCCCCAGTTAACAACCCGGCTGCTGCCCGTTGGATCATCTGGAATTTCCAGGCCGTTTTCAAGGGCAGCCCCACGTAGTGCATTGCAGTAATCCAGTCTAGAGGTGACTAAAGCGTGGGCCATTTTGGCCAGATCTGCCTTCCCGAGGTACGGTCGCAGTTGGTGCACGAGTCTTAATTGTGCAAAAGCCCTCCCGGCCACCACCGACGCCTGAGCCTCAAACGTAAGTGAAGAATCCAGGAGGACCCCCAAACTGCGGACCTGTGACTTCAGGGGGAGTGCAACCCCGTCCAGCACAGGTTGCCACCCTATACCCTGGTCTGGTTTACGATCGACCAGAAGGACCTCTGTCTTGTCGGGATTAATCTTCAGCTTGTTCGTCCTCATCCAGACAGCCACAGGCACTCGTCTAGCACTCGAGAGGCTTCCTTGGAGTTAGGTGGAAAAGAGTAGTAGAGTTGTGTGTCATCTGCATAGAGGTGGCACCCAACTTCAAAACTCCGGATGACCTCTCCCAGCGGTTTCATGTAGATGTTAAAAAGCTTGGGAGACAAAATGGAACCTTGCGGGACCCCACAGGTCAAAGGCCAGGGGTCCGAGCAGGCGTCTCCCAGCTTCACCATCTGGGATCGATCCTCCAGGAAGGACCGGAGCCACGACAAAGCCGTGCCTCCAAGGCCCATCCCGGAGAGGCGTCCAAGAAGGATACCATGATCAATGGTATTGAAAGCCGCTGAGATGTCCAAGAGAACCAACAGGGTCACACTCCCCCTGTCCAGCTCCCTGCGGAGGTCATCCACCAAGGAGACCAAAGCCGTCTCGGTGCCGTGGCCAGGCCTGAAGCCAGACTGTGACAGATCCAGGTAGTTGATGTCATCCAGGGAGCCCTGGAGCTGAGTAGCGACCACCCGCTCCAGCACCTTGCCCAGAAAAGGGAGGTTTGAGATTGGTCTATAGTTATTCAAGACCATAGAGTCAAAGGAGGTCTTTTTCAGGAGTGGCCTATCCACAGCCTGTTTTAGCCCAGGTAGAAAAATTCCTTGCTCCAACGATGCATTAATGATTAACATAAACCAATCAATCAGACCATCCTTTGCCGATTTAATTAGCCAAGACGGACAAGGGTCCAGAGCTGATGTAGTGGCTCTCACTGCCCCAAGGGCCACCTCTACGTCCTCAGGACGAACAAACCAGAAGGAATCCCACAAAACTGGACAAGCAGATGCCTCGGTCACCTCTCCTGGAACTGCGATCAAACTGGAGTCCAGCTCAAGATGTATCTGAGCAACTTTGTCTGCAAAGTGCTGCGCAAATTCGCAGCACCGAGTTTTCTGCTAATATTTCCATTTTTGGAGGTTTTTAAGCAGAGGCTAGGTGGCTATCTGTTGAGAGGGCTTGCAGAAGAGATCTGCAAGCAGGCCTCAAAAATGTCATCTATCTATCTATCTATCTATCTATCTATCTATCTATCTATCTATCCATGAAGATAGAGTATAACTTCATTGCTTGGCAGCGTCAAGAGGGGAACTGTGAGCTTTGCTTCAGGCTGCAATTCACTTGGAAGGCCTGACTTGTTGAAAGCATTTCCTTTGGTCCCTTGCCAGCAGAAAGAGGTGCCTTTTGGACTTGAAGCCAGGAAGAAGGGAAGGAGGAAAGGGAGGGAGGAAGGCGGCATACCTACCTGTTGTTCTTCTCTAGTCTTCTTTCTCCTCCTCTTCGGCTTTGCTCTAGTTTGGTGGAGCTGCAGGAAGGAGGAAGGAAGAAGGCAGGCAGGGTTTCTCCGGAGAGCCTGCCCCTTGCCGCCTACGGAAACTTCCATCCCAGCGGCCAAAGCTGTCAGCCACACCCAGGCTTTCCTCCAGGCCTCAAGCGGCCGGAAGACAGCTAGTATTATTCAACAGAGAGAAATAAAAGACACACTTAGGCAATAGAACCAAACTGTAGACCAGTGTCCTTGTGCCACCTTTATAAAGCTCTGGAGCAGCGTTTCTCAACCTGGAGAAACCCTGGAGGGGTCGAGAGGGGGTTTCAGAGGGGTCGCCAAAGACCATCAGAAAACAAAGTATTTTCTGTTGTTCATGGGGGTTCTGCGGGGTGTCTGCACCCTACACCACTGGAGAAATGACACTGCTTAGCCGGTATTGCACCACCTGACATCCGCCAGGAAGTAGCAGCCAATAGTGAAAGGACCAAGGCAGAGACATCTCCAGCTCATCCCCTGTTTGGGTATCAGCCAGCACGTCAACAACTTAAATCTAGAAATAGTTTTCTAAGATCTACAGAGACACTCGCTGGAACACCTCAGCAAGCGAGAGTCCAAAAGTGGCAGGCTCAAACCCAGAACCTCAACCAATGGCTGATACCAAATGAGAGACTCCCCCCTGGGCACACAGAAGACTGGGCGACTTGGAAGGCGCTGAACAGACTGCGCTCTGGCACAACGAGATGCAGAGCCAACCTCAAGAAATGGGGCCACAAAGTGGAATCCACGACATGCGAGTGGGAGAAGAGCAAACCACTGACCACCTGCTGCAATGCACCCTGAGCCCTGCCACATGCACAATGGAGGACCTCCTTGTGGCAACACCAGAAGCACTCCAAGTGGCCAGATACTGGTCAAAGGACATTTAATCAACTACCAAACTTGCACATTTTGCGTTTTGTCTGTTTGTTTGTTTTGTTCTGTTAGAAATGTAATATAATTGACTGGTTGCCCTGACACGACAAATAAAAAATGGGGGTTCTGTGTGGGAAGTTTGGCCCAATTCAATCATTGATGGGGTTCAGAATGGTCTTTGATTATAGGCAAACTATAAGTCTCAGCTACTACAATTCCCAAATGTCAAGGTTGATTTCCCCCAAACTTCATCTCTCTTCACATTTGGGCATATTGAGTATTCATGCCAGGTTTGGTCCAGATCCATCATTGTTTGAGTCCACAGTGCTCTCTGGATGTGGTGAACTACAACTCCCAAACTTAAGATCAATGCCCGCAAACTGTTCCAGTATTTTCTGTTGGTCATGGGAGTTGCGTGAACCAAGTTTGGTTCAAATTCTATCGTTGGGGGAGTTCCGAATACTCTGTGATGTAGGTGAACTATAAATCCCAGGAACTACAACTCCCAAATGACAAAATCATTTTTTCTGAGTGAAGGACGTAGATTGGGTTGTTACGGGTATCGTGTCCAAATTTGGTGCCAATTCATCTAGTGGTTTTTGAGTTCTGTTAATAAATCTCCTTGAAGAGAAGTATTGACAAGCTGGAATGTGTCCAGAGGAGGGCGACTAAAATGATCAAGGGTCTGGAGAACAAGCCCTATGAGGAGTGGCTTAAGGAGCTAGGCATGTTTAGCCTGAAGAAGAGAAGGCTGAGAGGAGATATGATAGCCATGTATAAATATGTGAGAGGAAGCCACAGGGAGGAGGGAGCAAGCTTGTTTTCTGCTTCCCTGGAGGCTAGGACACGAAACAATGGCTTCAAACTACAAGAGAGGAGATTCCATCTGAACATGAGGAAGAACTTCCTGACTGTGAGAGCCGTTCAGCAGTGGAACTCTCTGCCCCGGAGTGTGGTGGAGGCTCCTTCTTTGGAAGCTTTTAAACAGAGGCTGGATGGCCATCTGTCAGGGATGATTTGAATGCAATATTCCTGCTGCTTGGCAGGGGGTTGGACTGGATGGCCCAGAGTTAGAGCCGAGCATTGTCTCCATTACAACATGAACCTCAATTCACAGAAACCACCCAAGGTTCATTTGCAATTTTAAAATTAATTATATTGCCAGTGATGTCAACAAGGCTAACCGGACCAACAGAGCCAGAGTACGAAAACAATTTCCAATTAGCTGTATATCAGTGTTTCTCAACCTTCCTAATGCCGCAACCTCTTAATACAGTTCCTCATGTTGTGGTGACTCCCAACCATAACATTATTTTCGTTGCTACTTCGTAACTCTAATTTTGCTACTGTTACGAAATAAAATGTAAATATCTGATACGCAGGATGTATTTTCATTCACTGGACAAATTTGGCACAAATTTAAATACTTATTGGGGTTGGGGGAATTGATTTTCCATTTGGGAGTTGTAGTTGCTGGGATTTATAGTTCACTTGCAATCAAAGAGCATTCTGAACTCCACCAATGATGGAACTGAACCAAACTTGGCACACAGAACTCCCATGACCAACAGCAAATACTGGAAGGGTTTGGTGGGTATTGACCTTGAGTTTGGGATTTGTAGTTCACCTACAACCAGAGAGCATTGGGGACTCAAACAATGATGGATCTGGACCAAACAACGATGGATCTGGACCAAACTTGGCACAGATACTCAATATGCCCAAATGTTAATGCTGGTGGAGTTTGGGGAAAATAGACCTTGACATTTGGGAGTTGTAGTTGCTGGGATTTATAGTTCATCTACAATCACAGAGCATTCTGAACTCCATCGATGGAAATGAACCCAAACTTGGTGCATAGAACTCCCATGACCAACAGAAAATACTGGAAGGGTCTAGTGGGTATTGACCTTGAGTTTTGGAGTTGTAGTTCGCCTACAACCAGAGAGCACTGTGGACTCAAACAATGATGGATCTGGACCAAACTTGGCAAAGATACTCAATATGCCTAAATGTGAATGCTGGTGGAGTTTGGGGGAAATAGACTTTGACATTTGGGAGATGTAGTTGCTGAGATTTGTAGTTCACCTACAATCAAAGTGTTCTGAACCCCACCAATGATAGAATTGGGCCAAACTTCCCACAGAACCCCATGACCAACATAAATTACTGTCCTTTCTTATGGTTTTTTGTAACCCCTCTGACGCCCCCAGGGGTCCCGACCCCCATGCTGTACACAGTCATCTCATCCTCCTCCTCTCCATATGCTAGCGAGCCAAGACGGGGTTTTAGTTGTTTTTTAAACTATAGCAAAATGTGCTGCAGGGTGTCTGGCAAAAACAAAGGGTTTTTTTTACAGTTTAATATACTTTCCTTTTGTTTTTATAATTGAACAGATTAGGAAGTTACACTAAACAGTTCAGGACCTGCCTATCTTCGTGACCGCATCCTCCCCTATGAGCCCACACGCTCCTTAAGAGGGATGCTCTTCCCTTCCTCCCGCCCCTGTCACAAGCGCAGCTGATGGGGGCAAGAAAAAGGGCATTCTCTGTGGTGGCCCCTCATCTCTGGAACTCTCTCCCCAGGGAGATTAGGCTAGCACCCTCTCTATCCACATTCCACATTCCGTAAGGAACTAAAGACGTGGATGTTTCATTGTGCATTCGATTGACGACTAATGTGACAGATGATCTGAATCATGACTTGAATCATGACTTGAGTCTAAATTCCTATATTTCATTACTACATTTTTAAAGCTAAGCTGAATTGATCCTGTTGAATTGCTCTATTTCTATGCTATTATTCCTATGCCACTATACGTTTCTATCCAACTTATTGACCACCCTATCCTTTAACTAGTTTCGCATATTGGCCCCCTCCCTCCCCTCCAAGAATGAGTCTGTTGTTGCTTTTGATGCTTGTTTATGCTGTTTTAATGCTATTTTAATATGTTATTATTCTGTTTTCAATTGTATGTTGCCTTGGGCTTGGCCCCATGTAAGCCGCCCCGAGTCCCTTTGGCGAGATGGAACTGGGATAGAAAATAAAGCTGCTGCTCCTCCTCTTCTTTAACCCAGGAACAAAATTCTTGTTGTTGTTGTGTGCTTTCAAGTTATTTCAGTCTTAGGTTGACCCTTGCTGATTGGGTTTGGCCTGTACACGACTCAGCCACAAGAGGGCACCCTTGTGTAACAGTTGGAGCTCAGCCCTGTGCACTGATCCCTGATAGACTGTCATCTGAGTCAGGCAGGGGCAAACTTAAGTGGCTGAGGGGTAAATGGAAAGGGCCTGAGGCTGTCAGGAATGGTGGGAGATGAAGT